AATTCATTCTTCAAAATAATTGTAAATAATTACATTTTCTAGATTAATGTACCCAATGGAGCCCTGATATAGTAGTTTTTACTAGAAAAACAACACGAACAGCATTGATTAGGCTAATTTAAACAAAGATCAGAATTGGGCAAGTCATACATCATCCCTTATGACATTTTATGGAAGTGAAAGTTGGATTTTGAAGCAGGAAAGGAAGAGAATTGATGCCTTTGAACTTTGGTGTTGGGAGAAAATTCCTGAGAGCACCATGGAGAGCCAAGAAAACAAACAAATGGATCATTGAACAAATCAATCCGGAATTCTCACTGGGCACAAATGAGCAGGCTTAAATTATCCTGTTTCAGACACATAATGTAAAGTCCCGGTGCTCTGGAGAACGGTCTAGTGCTGGGAAAGATGGAGGGAAAGAGAAGAAGAGCAGCAAGATGGATGGATTCAGTTATAGTAGCCTTGAGTGCATGGTTGGAAATGTCAAAGGACCAGGTTGCGGCAGATCATCAAGGAGAAGATCAATCTATGCAGTCACTAAACAACAATGACTTCGTGGGATGTAATCAAATTATTGAAACCAGGGGTGTCAAACCTTGGCAATTTTAAGACTTGTAGACTTCAACTTCCAGAATTTCCTAGCCAGCCAGTTGAAGTCCACAAGTCTTAAAATGACCAAGCCTGGACACCCCTGACTTAAACCAAAAACCACTGAAGCAGATGCTTAATTCTTTTTCCATCTCTCTGCTCTATTCCCACTTCTCCAAATATAGTAAGCAGCCACATCACCTGTAACAATATCCATTTAATGTGTCTCGTATTTATGCAGCAAGATTTCAGGGGGAGCCCTGGTGGCACAGTGGCTAGAATGCAGTATTGCAGGCTAACTCTGCCCACAACCTGGAGTTCGATCCTGACTGGCTTAAAGTTGTAGACGTAAAATGAGAACCCAGATTGTTAGGGGCAGTATGCTGACATTGTAAACAATCTAGAGAGTGCTGTAAAGCACTATGGAGCAGTATATAAGTCTAAGTGCTGTTGCTATATCCTCCAAACTGCTCACCTTTCAGTCATCAAATCTCACTGACAAAGCCAGCTTTCTGAAATTGCATTGTTTTTTTAACTGTCTGGGGAACTTTTCCAAGAAGGCATCTGTGTTCAGGGGTGATGGATCTTGTGCCAAGGTTAAAACAGGGAGAACAGTAACAAAATGGTTCACCTCTTAATCTCTATAAACAACCCACATAACTTACAAGTTATGACTCTGAACTCTTATAAGAACAAGTGCTTTATCCAAGGTGGAAAGGGAAGAGATTTACAGATCCCAAGTAGCACTGAACCCTGATTAATAAATGATTTCCTTCCTTTATTCCACCTCTGCCCCAGCAAATTCTGGATTTTTTAAATTAATCATTATTTCCCAAGACAGTTAATCACCCGGGGGGGGGGGAACCCTGTCCCAAACAAACAGTGTAGGGATGTAGAGTAACTTATGAGAATGGGGTGGGTGATTAGAATTGTATTGTTCCTCCAAGAGGAAAACCATTATTATTACGGGGGGGGGGAGAGGTTTCATTAAACAAAATTAACAAAATTAAGACTTGTACTCCTGAGCAACCAAGATTCATTCACAGCTATCCTTTTTAATTTTCGGAAAAGGATTATCATTGCTATAAAAATATTTTAAAAAGAAAAGCACAGTAAAGCTTTTCATAAAATGTAGGCCCAGCAGACCAGTTCATTATTTTTTTGGGGGGTCTTTATTACCAGTTTTTCCATCTGATGCCTTCTGGCAGTTTACAGAATTACAGACAACATAAATGTATCATGTAGCACATTCCCATATGCTAAACCTGGCATTTCATAACATCTCCTCCTCTTCAACTGGTAAAAGCTCATTTTAAATTGATTTAATAGAAAAAAAAAGAAATCCCACAACAACCATGATGGTAGAAAATACTTATCCAGATTTTCTTACTGGCCCCATCACTTCTGGCTGTTTGATTGTTTGGGCTCTTTATAAGCTGCCATCTCTGGATTTCATAGAATAGAATAGAATAGAATAGAATAGAATAGAATAGAATAGAATAGAATAGAATAGAATAGAATAGAATAGAATATAGAACAGGAATAGAATAGAATAGAATATAGAACACGAATAGAATAGAATAGAATAGAATAGAATAGAGAACAGAACAGAATAGAATAGAATAGAATAGACTATAGAACAGGAATAGAATAGAATAGAATAGAATAGAATAGAATAGAATAGAATAGAGAATAGAATAGAATAGAATAGAATAGAATAGAATAGAATAGAATAGAACAGAACAGAACAGAATATAGAATAGAATATAGAACAGGAATAGAATAGAATAGAATAGAATAGAATAGAATAGAATAGAATAGAATAGAATAGAATAGAATAGAATAGAATAGAATAGAACAGAACAGAACAGAACAGAACATTGAATAGAATATAGAATAGAATATAGAACAGGAATAGAATAGAATAGAGCAGAACAGAACAGAACAGAATAGAATCTGGAAGGGACCTTGGAGGTCTTCTAGTCCAGCCCCCTGCTCAAGCAGGAGGATCTATACCATTTCAGACAAGTGACTGTTGACTCTAGCCTCTTCTTAAAAACCTCCAGTGATGGAGCGCCCACGATTTCTGGAGGCAAGCTGTTCCACTGGTTAATTGTCCACACTGTCAGGATGTTTCTCCTATCTCTAGCCCACTCTTACAGTAAAAGCTGAAGCATCATTTCTTCACTTAAGGAGGAGAAGACAGACTCTAAACCAATTTATGTGACGCTTAACACCCAGTTCACACATTCAAAAATATGTTAGCCTTTCTTCATTTCTACTTTTCCAGTGTTTGCCATGGAAAAGGGGGGAAGGAAAAATTTCCACACAGAAGAAAACCAAGCTAGTATGAGCATTAATGTAATGTTGCACAGCTGCTGTGCTTAGGAGAAGTCTGTAAGCGTATTTTACATTGGCAAACTGATGTGAGAAGGGAGCAGAGAACAAAGCACACCAGTTGCTTCACAATGGGGATACGCTGGGATTATAAGAGGAACAGGTTTTCAATCCACCCAAAGGGGATATAGGTTTCTCTTTGACAATGGTATGGTGAGAGACCTGGTTAAGGTTCTTGACAATAAGAAGGGTTTTTGACAGTAAGAACAATCAACCAGTGGAACAGCTTGCCTTCAAAAGTTGTGGGTGTTCCAACATTGGAGGCTTTTAAGAAGGAACTGGACAACCATTTGTCCAAAATGATAGAGTTTCCTACTTGAGCAGGAGGTTGGACTAGAAGACCTTCAAGATCCCTTTTAACTCTGTTATTCTCGTTTCCTCAAATTAGAAAGTTCTGAATCCTGATCTGCCTTCCCTACATGATTATCCTAGAAAAACATCCTATTCTGGGAATCTGGGCCATTTTGGTAATGCAGTCTAAGTACGTATTTCCATTTGCTTTGCTTTGTCCTTTAGTATCTGATTATTTCATATTTTATCCTCTGCCCCATTATTATAATTCTTTTTGTAGAAACCTTGTTGAGTTTTTATCAGCCTGCAAAACACCATGGAAATAAGAACAAGCTAAACCTAGATATATAATTATTCAGCAGCATAGGAAAAAGACGATCGTGATGCACAAACATATTTTCTTTATACGGTTTGCACAAGAATTAAATTTTCTTTACACAGTTTCCACAGGAATTCAAAGTCAGGTGTCACCTTTAAATCATTTTTCACATCTTGGTATGAAATTTGGCTTGCAAGGTTAGCACTGAATTAAATCAAATGCGTTGGCAGTTAAGGCTACTCAGCAGCAGATTGAGAATAGAGCTATCTCCCTGCATTGTCTAAAATTAAAGAAGCTGACAACACAATAAGAAAAATATTCACAAAGCAGAAGAACATCTGTCCTAGCTGCAGGAAATAAATGGAAAAATCCATATTGCTATGGATTACACCTTCAAAAGCAAATAGTACAACTACTGAGAGTTAGAATTATTCATTACCTTTCTGAAATTGTCTCTCCTCAGTCCCAAAAGCCACTATCCTATAATTATTGCCCTGGAAATAATTTCCCTGAACTTAGTGGCGCTACTAAATAATTATGTATAGGATTTCACTATGGTTATACTCTTACGCATCACGAAGTCAAAACTGGACAAGTACTGGTGAATAATAAAAAAAAGACTTTCCTATAAGAACCACCTGCTAAAAGCAAAACAAGAAAACACTCTAAATCTTGAAAGCAAGCTTCTAAAAAATAGAATTCTTACAAATCAGTGAGAGCAACCTCACTTCATGAGTTTTAGATACGGAAACAGGTTTCTTTATTATCACGTCCTTAGTAATATTGCCTTTTTTCTTATAAATATATGATACCTTTATAATACAAAATATTTATGAGATGCTGTACAGTATCAGTGTTTTACCCTAAGGTTGGATGCATATAGCCCATCCAGGCTACCTCAAAGGGGGGCGTTTACAAGGTCAATTCCTGCAGATTTGTTAGCTCTGAGCTACCCTTTTGTCTAAATAATCCAGCAAATTATAAGATTAATCAGGATTCATGCTGTGATCAGGCCCGTTGATGAGTAAAAACCTGAGATTTTAATCTGTTAGGAAAAGCACCAAAAACAGAATAGATTTATTTAATCTGGATGAATCAGTCGCAAGAGTTTCATTTTTCAAATGCTTCTAAAGAATGAATGATATTCTTGCAACAAAACTGGAAGTTTGTAACCTACTGAATCTAGCCAGTCCTTTTGCACCAGTAAGCGAAAAATAATAACAATAACAATAATAATTCTACAGTAATGCTCCCCCCCCCTTCTTAAACAGGCACTCCATTATGAATGAATTTTCCTGAGGAACAGACCTCTCTGAAAGAATCCGAAATTGCATGAATTGCATGAAAACAAGACAACCTTACCTCATGGAGGAAAATGCTTTAAAAAAAGAAAAAAGAAACTTACTCCAGATCAGAGTATACAGATGGGCCTTGGGAATGAGAAGAAGGGAATACACAGCCCCAATGTGAAGCAAGGCCATTAGGATGACATTCCTCCACACAATTATTTGCTTGTGTTCCACTTTCTGCTTGTTTTCTTCTTCTCTTGATCCAAAAGGGCTCTCGGCTTGTCCATTGCAGGACGTGTCTGTCTCTCCATCTCTCATGCTCTTGGTTCCTAGCTTGGACATGATGGCCCAGAAGAATACCACACTCGGTGGTGGACCTTCACGGACTGCAAACGCCGGTAGAAATTCTTGCTTTGATTGAGGGACTGGAAAGGCAGGGGGGGGGAGACAGGGGGACGAAAGCCTACGATTCTCTTTTGTTCTAGGGGTCGGGCTTCCGTTTCTCTTTCCCCTCCCTTCCTTGCCTTTCTCCCTTCCTCTTCTTTTCTTTCCCAGGACTGTTGTGCAAAGGTGTCTAGGGATGCGCAGCTTGGAGTCGAACAGCTGTTGCCAGCATATTATCCATGCTGCTGCTGCTGTGGCAAAGCTGAACTCCTCACAGTAATGAAAAACTGGGGAGGGGGGCAGGGGAGAAGGAAAGAGAAAGAGAATGGGAGAAAAACCCTGCATAGCTACAGCCAATCATATGCGTGCTCTTAAAGAGGGATGGAGGGAGGGATAAAGGGATGGAGAGCAAGCAGTGCACAATCCCTGCCTTCTGCTGCTGCTGGTACGTATGGGTGAAGCTGCATGGACAGAAATTCTCCAGCTCTGATAAAGAAGAAAGCTGTGCAGATATTCCCGATGCAACTGGAATCAGAGGGAGAGAAGATCGGTTTGGGATGAGGAATAGCCCAAGGCATTTGGGGCTTGGTGTGCAAACCATGGTTAAAACCAAAAGAAATGAGGGTGATCAGTGAAACCAGATCCTGAATGTGGTAGGGTTATGTGAAGGTCTGCCAAAGGAGACAAGAGTGGAATATACTATTAGTACATTTTGAACCTTTGTAGTTTGCAAGAAAGGTCTTTGCTATTCGGATCAAAGCAATCACAATTCAGATGCAGGGATCTATCATTCTCTCTCTCTCTCTCTCTCTCTCACACACACACATCTATCTATCACCTATTTATCTTTATCTCTTTCATCTATCTTTCGTCTATCTCACTATCTATCTCTTTCATCTATCTTTCATTTATCTATTTATCATCTATCTATCTATCATCTATCTATATATCTTTCATCTATCATCTATCATCTATCTCATCTATCATCTATTTCTCACCTATCTATATCTTATCTATATCATCTATCTATCTTTTATCTGTATCTTCTATCTATCTATCTATCTATCTATCTATCTATCTATCTATCTATCTATCTATCTCTATCTTTATCTATTATCTATTATCTATCATCTCTCTCATCTCTCTATCTATTTATATCTATCTATCTATCTATCTATCTATCTATCTATCTATCTATCTATCTATCATCTATGTGTTATATTCTTTTATAAGAATTCCAACGAAACACTGAAGAACCAACATGCTATACCCATATTCCCCAGTTTAGGATTTCCCAATTGCTTTGAACCATGATTATAAATACGTCATCATGGCAAATCTAATATCTACAGGGGCATCAAGCCCAGAGAAGCTGATTTAAGCTCTTATGAAGCAGGTAGATAAGGAGAGCAGCTGAAAATAATCCATAATGCAAGATGTTTAACAGCTTTTCCCAACCCATTATCCTCCAAACATTTTGTTCTGCAGCTTTCATTGTCCATCAAGAAAGTTGGAGGATTATCTGAATTATTGTCTGGGAAAAGAAATCCTGTAGTTTTATCTTTCAGTTTAAAAGACATCAATAGCATACAACATCTTGAATGGCTCATACTTCATATTAAATCCCAAATTAATATAATTTTTTTCGGTGCCCTGGAGACAGTTTTTGATTCTTGTTAACTGCATGGGTTAGCTTCCATACTATTAAAAAAGAGTTTGCATCAGGTTTTGGAATACTGTAATTTAGAAACAAGCTCCTTGGTCAGGAGGAAGCCTTGCTGAACTTGAATGATTACTCAACTGCTCTTCAGTAGATTTATATAGATGGTGATACTTGATGTCTTCCCATTTTGTACATCCCACACACTTCATTTATCCAAATTCTTACCAAAGTCTATCTGATCCCAATGTCGCTTTAATTAAAACCTCAAATTAGACAAGACACGGATGAGATGCTGCAAGAGAAGAGAATAATCAATCTCTATTATATATATAAAACAGCTTGTGGAAAGGAGGGAAGCAATCTGTTTCAGATGTCCTTGATGTCAGATAGGAACCAAGGATATAAGATAGCTTTTCTCAAACTGTTGCTGACCTTAGCCTCCAGACTGTAGTTCCAGCAGATTGAACAGGCTACTTTAACACAATGCAGGAACAGTTTCATCTTGGTTGCTGTTTGTCGAAATCAGACCAAGGTCAAAGAAAAAGCTGAAAGAAAAAGAAAGACAAAGATTTCTCATAGTTCCATGTCCTACATCAGTCTTCACTATGTGGTCCAGATATCCTTGGCATCTTTAGCCTGCAGTTAAAACAGGTTCTTTGTAACAACAAAAAGGATGAGTAAGAAATCTTATACAGGTATAGTATAGAATGATGTTACTTTGCTCAATAGTAGTAATTGTGAGAGGGATCTCGGAGTCCTAGTGGACAATCACTTAAATAGGAGCCAACAGTGTGCTGCAGCTGCCAAAAAAGCCAACACAGTGCTGGGCTGCATTAACAGAGGGATAGAATCAAAATCACATGAAGTGTTAATACCACTTTATAATGCCTTGGTAAAGCCACAGTTGAAATACTGCACCCAGTTTTGGTCACCGCAATGTAAAAAAGATGATGAGACTCTAGAAAGAGTACAGAGAAGAGCAACAAAGATGACTAGGGGACTGGAGGCTAAAACATAAAGAATTGAGTATGTCGGACTTCCGGTTTTGTGATGTATCATATGGCCAAGGGATTGCGAAGCTCCGCACCCCATGGCTAGTTTCGCCCTGCCAGGGAACCCTAAATGGGTCTAAAATTGCCCTGGAGAAGCGACGAAGAAAGAGGGACGCTTCAATGATCGCGGAATGACAGCAATCATCCCACTCGATTCGGGGGAAGCCCTCTAACCTGACAGGAGAAAGGCTGGCCACACCTCAGTGACCAACCCAAGCTACTTGCAGCCGAAGTCCAAAGGCACTAACCAGAACAACAGTGAACAGCGTGCTTGAAACTGGGTGAGGAATTCGATCTTCTTCCTCCTATTTTGTATCTGATTTCCTGGAAAAGATTCCCAAGAAGCAAAAATCTTCCCAAAGTGAGAAGGGAGGGAACTACACCACCACCCTCCCATAGACGGAAGCGGCGAATTAAACTCTTATGCGGAACCAAAATATAGTGAAATAAGGTTAAAATACTACAGTCTGGACAAATTTGAAAAGTAAGAAAACTGTTAAAATTCCATACCTGAAAAAGTATTGATGAAATTATAAAATAACAACAACTCTTTGCTTTGAAAATTGGAAAATGAACAGCTACTGACACCTAGTGGAGAACTAGAGAAAACTATAGCTGCAATGACTCAAAATTTGGCAAGGTGCCCAGAAATACTGTGTTTTCCTGAAAATAAACCCCATCCCCCCAAAAGACCTACCCTGATTTGTGGGGGTGGGCTAATATAAGCCCTACTCCAAAAATAAGCCCTAATTAGGACCCCACCCACTCCATCCCACCTGACTGCCGCAATGAGGCAGGAGGCCGCATGGCACATCGTGCCACTGCCATGAGGTGAGGCAGGTGGGGGAGTGGGTAGAGCTGACCCATGTGCCCCGCTCTGACTTGCTTCAGGGGCCTCCCAGCCAGGCCATTCCTTGCTCCCTTTCACTACCGTATGGAGGATGGGCAGGGTAGGTTTGGTCCCCCTCTGCCATTTCGGAGCCAGAGGGGAGAAACGGCAAAAGGCTCCACTGCCGCTGTGCCCCGCTGGAGGGGCTTTCTTCACACTTTGCCCCACAGATCACCTGCCTGGTGGTAGCCACCTCCTTCTCCTCCGCCAACTCTCCTGTGGCTTGTGTTGTGACCAGGTAGCACAAGCCTCCCCCACTGCCTCCCTCCGCCAGCCCTCCTTTGCCGCCACTGGAAAGAGCAGAGAATGGGAAGCGGAGTGGCTCTGCACAGTGATACAGAGCAGAGAAGAGCACCTGTTTGCCACCCTGCATCGCCCCGCATCTCCTTTCTCCGTTCTCAAAATGGCAGTCCTGTTTCCTGCCACTTCTCCTCCTGGCACTGCTATAGAGCTTGGCACACCATCGCCCAACTCCTCCCTCTTCCTGAAAGCAAAAAAATTCTTCGCTAACCTGCTTTCCAGCTCTGGCACGTTTCTCTCTTGCTGCAGGGAAACGGAGTTTGTGGGACTAAAGAAAGTTCAGTCAGACCTTCCAACTTCGTGAGATCATTTTTTTTTTTTGTGAGAAGTTGGAAGGTCTGACTGAACTAATGAAACATCTGCAAGAAAACAACCAATCCCAGGAAGCACGAAGGACCCCACAGTTCAACCTTGAGCTACAAATATTCTCTTCTAAAGGCAGTTGCTGGTGTTATGCCTTTCTCCAGCCTTTCCTCAATACGCTGATAAAAGGATCAGTTCTTGGACCTTATCAGACACGGGACAACCTCCATTTCAGCCCCGTCATCCACAATTAACAACAAGTCTAAAAGATAGCAAATGCTGATATAGAAAAATATGTGATTTGGGGGTATCAAGCCACCTCCAGCATCAAAGACCATGGGGTATCTCCACATCAAGAAGCAAAGATATCTTTGTAGAATCTGCTCCCTCAGACCATTTAGCTAAACAGCTTGAAGCCGAATTTCTACCTTCCTCTTTTACATGCAATGTGTAAAACCAGGAACTTAGTATCTCCTGTGATCATCTTTTTTCCCTTTTGTCATTTCCGGAAGGAGGTGGTGTAGAAGAGGTTCCTGTGACAAGAAATTCTCAAAAAAATAAATAAATATAAAATTGCAGATAAACCTAAAGTGATTTGTGATGGTAGTGCTAGGCCCGGTGGGTGAAGGAGATACTAGTGACAGGATTAAAAATGATTAATTGATCTCAGATTAGTGTGTGTGTGTGTGTGTGTGTGTTTTGTTAAACAAATAAGAAATCAGCACATTAATAATGCAATTTATGTTTTTTAATCTTTTCATGTTATGAAATCATGTAATCTAATGTTAACATTCTGAATTATAAACAGCCCATAAATAGGGTGTGATTAAAATTTGATAGGTTAGAAAAAGAGGCTTGGAAATTAATAAACAGGTTCAGAAAATTTGCCCAAATTTAATATTTTGTGGGAGGAGGTCTTCTGGTGGAATATTTCAGGCAAATATTTTGCTCTAGTTCAGATTCAGCTCTGGAACCTCCATAACAGAGGACATCGCTTCAGTTTAAAACTGAATTGGCTCCTCCCCTCTACTTTATTACATGGTTTCTTCAAGACTCTGGAGTAATATCTAAATAGTAATAGCTAGGAATCACAGTCAGTGTGATAAAAAGGGGTTTATCCAGGTTATAGACTTAATTAGCACTCTGCATAGATGTTGCCTAGTGACCAGATGGAATTTAGCTGGGTTTCTTTTATCAAGGGATTGTAACATTTATAAACCTTGATGTGCTTTTTTGCATATTTTACCCCAAAACCTTATTTAACAATTGTTCTGTGCCTCTGGATTTCTTCCATTTTATTTTTGATTCAAAATCTTTCCTTCCTGGATTTTGTCTTTTTTGTTCAGAGACATTGTGCTAATATTCAAGGACTCCTGCACAATTCTGCAGGGTTTTTTCAAGGGCATTATGTAGACTATACAGCGGTTTTTAAATTGCACGGCCTATATTTACTTCCGATCCAAGGGCCACTGATAATCATCAAAACTAATTCAGAGCTATAATCTATCTTTTCCAGACCAGGGATCATCTTATAGCCCAAATGTGCACTTGGAATACCCCAGTTTTTACTTTTCCTTGTCTATAGCATTCATACAGTTGGAACTCTCTTTAAACTATGCTAACAATAGAAGGCCAAAGATTTATTTAGGACCACTTTTCCTAACCTCCAACTGATCAGATTTTCTAGAATAGAAGATGCACAATCTGGGTCCCATTCAATTCCCATTTTTACAGTAGGAACAGCTATTTTTTGCACTGCTTCTTGCTGAAGCTGCTGTGTTAAAAGAATTTTTAATGACTTGTCGCTTTTTTTTTCTTCAAAAAAAATCAATTTTAATCCACTTTTCTCTTTAAATGAGTACTCAGATGACTAATACTGGTTAAATAAAGCAAAAAAAAAAAAAAAAAAACATTTTCCAAAAGTTATTTTTGTATCTACTTTACTGAACACCTGAAAAGCCTAGTGGAAGAGATGCATCTTTACAGATTTTCTAAGAATAGAATAGGGCCCAAATGCAACTCCCAAGGCTTCTGACTAGCTCATTGCTGCCATTGTTAGGTTTTTGATGTTTTGATAACTTGGTGATTTTCTTGCAACTATTTCATTATCCCAACAGTTCAGCTCTGTGCTGTCATTCTCTATTGGAAATATTGTTCTAATCAACCATTTAAAAAATGTGTGGTTTCTTGAAATCTAAATAAACTCCTTGAAGCTAAGCTTCAACTACCAAATATAGCTGGGGGAAAAATAAGGTTTTTTAAAAAAAGCAGTGGAAGCTTTTAGGTTTAGATCAGTGGTACTCAACCTTTTTAATGCCGCGACCCCCAACTGGTCGTAAGTCGAGGACGACTCAACGGTGCAGCACCATTTGCAGAATGGGACTTTTGGCGGGCTCAGCAGGGCAGAGACAGCCTGGACAATTCCTATTGGCTTTTGAAAGCCAATAGAATTAGATTCTATTCAAGAGAGTTTATTCTATTGGCTTTCAAAAGCCAATAGAATAAAAGGGAGTAGCACAGCTAAGGAAAAGGGGGGAAAAATGGTGGACTGCATTGTTTGGCGACCCCCGTGAAATGGTCGTTCGACCCCAAATGGGGTCCCGACCCACAGGTTGAGAACCACTGGTTTAGATCCATCTAGGAATAAGATGACAATATGAGGAGGATTTTCATTCTTTGGATTGTAGTAGTAAGTCAAGATTTGAAACTATCTGGAAAGCCATGGAATTTAAATAGACGAAACCTTTTGACATATAATGAAGCATGCACAATTTTTCCAAATTAGTGTACCATGGATACCCCTGGATTTCTATATGAGGGCACATTTTTATGATCCTGCATGCATCCCTCACTCTACTTCTAGCATTGTAACACAATTAGAATTAAACTGCATCTCTTAGGGAAGCATCAACTGATTCGTGTAAGCTAAACCTAGAGAGAAACGTTGCCACCATCTTTGATATATTTAGTAATTGATTACATAAAACGGTAATCCCTACATCGTGAGGGAAATTATATTTTGTATTAATTGGGTTTATAAGCCTTAGTCACCAGTGTGTATAAGGCGGACATTTTAATAAATCATGAAGTATAGATTCAATCTGTGTCTGAACACATTACAAATTGCCAGCATCTTAGCAACGCAGTCTGCACAGATCCCAAAGAGATCTTTGGCTTTTATGTAATTTATTTATCTGATTTCCACCCCTGAACTACTGTATATATTTTAATGTTTATGAGTTTGATCTTGGACTGTAAATTAATCAATATACAGTGTACATTTTTGTAATGCTGCACAGAATCATGAAAAATAGGCCAACTCCCTAGTATTTAATCTGAATATTGCTTATTGTCCTCTCAAACCTGAAGGGATTGCTTAGTTGGCCAACATCTCATGAAGATCCAAAGTGTCCAAACATAAAATATCAGAAGAAATAATGAATCCAACAGCACGATTCCATCACTGATATCATCAGTACAATAATCCGTTTAAAACAGCCTTCGTGTAATTTTGACACGAAGTCTGAGGTACTGAGCCTGAACTGAAATAAGGTTGAAGTTTAATTTTGAGAAAGTACTTTTTATTTATTTTTATTTTATTTGTTTGTATCCCATCTTTGTTATGTTTACAAAGAACTCAAGGCAGAAAACATATCCAACACTCCTTCTTCCTCCTATTTTCCCCACAACGTTATGAGTTGAGTTGGCATTCATGGCTAAGACAGGACTAGAACTCTCAGTCCCCTAGTGATTGGCCCAAGGTCACCCAGCTGGCATTCATGGCTAAGGCAGGACTAGAACTCTCAGTCCCCTAGTGATTGGCCCAAAGTCACCCAACCAGCTTTCATGGCTAAGGTAGGACTAGAACTCTTGTCTACTGGTGATTGGCCCAAGGTCACCCAACCAGCTTTCATGGCTAAGGCAGGACTAGAACTACGATCTTCTGCTTTCTAGCCTGGTGTCTAAATAAGCAGTCACGTGGCCCCAAAAACCATCACATGAATTGAAATTTCAGCTGATTATAAAGGAAACAACAAAGGATGCTTAAAAGAATAAGTCAGCACACATGTAAAATAGAATCTGGAACTTTTAATTGGTTGATAATGAGACTTGTGGAAGGAATTTTTTCGACGATGGCTGCCTCACACTCTCTCTTTACAGTATTTAAAAGCCACTTTCAAAGCAGCAGATACCATGCATTTAAAATGGACGATATGGAGGGGGTGGCATAATTAAATACAATATCTGTAGGTAGAAATAATAAAAAAGAGAAGAGAAAGAATAAGCACCAGAGCTCACGAGCCCTTCTAAAATGGAGCTCCTCTGGCAGGGACACTGCCGTGACTTGCTCTCTACCGCATCATGCTCTAAAGGGACAGAATATGGAACACGTCATGCACCCTTCCACAGCTCTATGACTTCGACCGAAGGCTACTTTAGACTCCAAGCTTGTTGGCTTGAGTGAGGACTACTTTCAGCACGGGCATGAAAGCTGATGTTTCGCTGAAGTTACTTGTGCTGACGATGTGAGTGTGGATGTTCAGCCCCTCAGTGTAGTTCCGGATTTCAATGCTCCTGGCAATGTTGTGCAAGCCGTTGATTATCATTGGAGAGAGCTGGAGAAGAAGGGAAAATAAACATGAGAACCGTCCTTGACACAATGATTGTTTTTCCCAACCTAGGCCTGTTTGGGCATCAAGGACTTTCCAAATTGATGTGTTAGAGAACATCTGTAGCTTTTGTGATGGCTTGGATAGTAGTTGAATTTGCTTAACGAAAAGCAGCTGCTGATAGGTAAGGATAGATGCACACGCCAAGTCAACTGCATCCTCTTCCCCCTAACAGTACAGATAATCTTTGATTTATGATCACAACTGAGCCCAAAATTTCCATTGCTAAGCAAGACAGTTGTTAAGTAGGTTTTGCCCCATTTTATGACCTTTCATGCCACAGTGGTTTAATTAGTGCATTACTGCAGTTGTTAGTAACATGGTTGTTAAGTGAATTTGGCTTCCCCAAATGATTCTGAAGGTTGCAAAATGTGATCACATGACCCCAGGACACTGCAACCATCATAAATACGAACCAGTTGCTAAGCGTTCTAATTTTTATCTGGTGACCAATGAGCATTAAGTGTGAAAAATGGTCATAAGTCACTTTTTTCAGTGCCCTTTAAACTTCCAATAGTCATTAAATGAATGGTTGTAAGTTGAGGACTGCCTATGTGTGGCTTACTAAGCTATTTCCCCCAAGGTTTTTTTTTCAATTTGCCAATCGAAATGCACAGAGAATTTGCCTTCTAGGTTATAAGGGCAAAGATGGGCTTTGGGGCTGAAACTACACTTATGGCTACTGTCCTACCCTAATCTTAATTTTGGGGCAAGCCCTTCATCTCTTATTCTCTTAGAGCATCCTCAACCATTGTTGGTTTGGGGAAACAATCGGGAAACAAAACTAGGGGTTCAAAAGAGATCTCCATACAGATTTCCTAAACAAGCGATTGTTTAGATGAGAAGTCCATATCAACTAAACCGACCTTGGAAGTCACTCTGTGAATGCATAAACTATTTCACTGCAGCCATCTTGCACAAGTAGCCACGTCTCTCCCTTCAAACCTTGCAAAATATTTCCACTGTATCACATACACTCAACCGTAACCTGTTTTTATCGAAGACAGCAAAGTACTGAATGGCAGAACCTACAGTCAAACCATCTTTTGTGGTTCCACTGCTAGATCATGGGGGATTGAAAGTGCAAGAGGAAGTGGCCAACTGAACAGGTTCATACAAGGTCTTCAACCTTGAACCTTCTTCAAGGTTCACCTAGTTCTTGTATTGATTTGGAATCCTCAAGAGGTAAATTAGACTTAGTCCTGACCACAACTTACTTCTTGGTTAACTGCAAAAATGTAGGGTAGACAGCATCGCCACCAGATGGATTTGTACCTGGCCGACCAACCACACTCAACCTGCAAGCCTCAATGGAACTACATCTACATGGAGGGAAATAAGCAGTGGGGTACCCCAAAGGTTCTGTCTTAGCCTCAATACTCTTCAACAATTTAAAAAATGATTTAGATGAGGGGATAGAAGGGGAACTCATCCAATTGGCAGACAATATCAAACTGGAGGGAATAGCCAACACTTCAGAAGGATCTTGACGTACTTGAACACTGGGCTCTAGCCAACAAAATGCAATTCATTCACTGGATGTAAAAGATAGGCATGGCAATATATAAAGCTTACCGTCTGATCTCTAAGCTTATCGTACAGAAATTCGAGGCGTTTGTTGGCATCATCTAATTTCCTCTTGGTTTGCTATGGGAGAAAGCAGAACAGAAAATTACTGAAAATACTGTCTTATTGCACTGACAGAAGACCACAGTTGCATTTATCTGTTTTCAAGGTGTATATCCATGGGGAAAGGAATACAGTTAGAATTTTTACTTTAACCATTTTACTTTAACCATAGAAGCTACAAAGGACAACTGGCTTGGGATCAAGAAAAATAAGCTTCTTAATGCAGGCTGAATCCAAGTTCTGGATTTGCATCCTAGTAGTGGGAAGAAGTAAATACTCAGTTCTGGATCCTCTCCAGAGAAGAACTGACAGATAGTGTGTGACATGTAAACAAGTAATTCCTCTGTCTTCTCTTCTATCTAGCTTCCAATGGCTCTATGGACCTGCCAAATTGAATTGAACCCACTAATTTTTCTAGAGCTCTTGGTATTTCCTTGTAGGTTTCAGGATAGTGTAATGCTCAAATCTGTTATGCATGTCAACCTTTTTAAATATTTATTCTACTACTACTTCTATAATTTCCTAACACTTCCTATCTTGGCTGGGGATGACAGGTGCTATAGCTTATCATAAACGGAGTTGGAAAAAATAGTTAAATGTTTTTCTGTGCAAAAATAATAATAATAAGTAAGCGCTGAGTAAATCAGGAGCTAACAGGACTATGGGAGTCATCTATTTCCCATTTTAGACATAACTGTAAATGGATGCTTTGCATACTTTTAAGTTTGCTTCCCATGGGTGCTGCTGGCAAGCGCTAAATTTCATCAGAGCTTCTCAAGAGGAGAGGCTCCCTCTATGGCCCACAGCATAAATCACCCAGTAGCTGCAATTCTGCAATTTCCCTGATAACCTGACTATATGAAGCATGGCGAGAGCAGAGCCAGGAGTAATAAATCAGATCTGGTGTGACTTGTCACCTAATGATGGATGCCTCAAGTTATGAATGTACGATTATGCTGTGCAAAATACATTTTTTTTAAAAAAAATAACAGAGCTGGCTTCTCCTGTGAAAGATGTACCGGATCTGTAGCTGAAGAGAGACATCTCTGGATCAAAGCTTCAAAAGTGGTCTTTAGGATGAGGTGTTCTTCAGGAATGGGCTTTTTTGTTATCTTCTCCGTGGGCAGGGATTGCATGTGCTGGGGAGAGAAAGAAATAACTGAATAGGTTTTTTTTGGAGTTTGAAGTGTCCCCAACATTGGTCAGTGTTGGTGGGAGTGGGCTTGGTTTGGGGTCTTTGATTAGGCCAGTGGTTCTCAACCTTTCTAATGCCGCGACCCCATAATACAGTTCCCCATGTTGTGGTGACCCCGAACCACTTATGCATCACCGGGTGCCAGGGGCGTGGCCAAAGAAAAGGGGGGAAAATGGCAGACAGCCTTGTTTGGCGACCCCCGTGAAATGGTCGTTCGACCCCAAATGGGGTCCCGACCCACAGGTTGAGAACCACTGGATTAGGCTATTGTTTATGGTTAGCTTCTTTGGCAATTCCTGCCAGGGCACGCCATTAGAATATAAAATGAGAACAAACCCCACTCCCTACTAGCACTGATAAAGTTACCTAAACTGGTGATGAAATGTCTGCAAGAAAACAACCAAAAGCTCAGAGAGCACCACAAACTCCATAGTTCAATCCAGTAAATATTCTCTTCTATAAGTTCATACCATAGTCAAAGTTCAGTCTTAGACAAAATTCATATCATAGTTCTTTTCACAGAAAAACTTCAAGTGGGAGGGACAGAGGCAACCACTCCGGGCTTCTTCCCCAGTGGAATTTCCTGAAAATCTTCCTGCAGACACTATTTCAGAATTGCTCTCTAGCGGACCCCTCTCCATGTATGTCCCAAAGGTGCTTTTCAAAAATACAACCGGAAAGCATTTTTGAAAAACACCTTTGGGGCAATCATGACCTGGATGATGCAGAATCTCCGCAAACATGCCCCATCTATGGTGCCTTCAGCCTCCGGAGATCTTTGCAACGTTCCAAGGAAGACTCTTCTAGTGGAAAGGCTGTGCCTGCACCTCTTAGGCAAGTAAGAATTTGGTGACCTCCAAGCACAATCGTTGGCCTATCAAGACAACCTTACCTGCATGGTGTTCCCTGTTGGTGCTCCAGGTGCTCCTTCCATGCTAGACGTTGATACGGCTGGAGTCATGATTGTCTGGACCCCTGGCGGAACATTCTGGAAGGGGTTTTGTAAGCCTGGCTGGCCCGGAGGCAGATGGGAAGGCTGGAAGGGAACCTGAGGCGGAGGTGGGGCTGATGTGGGAGGCTGCTGCAGCTGAGCTTGTGGGTCTGACAAAGGAGTCATGATGGGTGCCATGATGGGAACAGGAGGCAAGAAGGTATCAGGCACCTATGAGGAAAACAAAGAACAAACGAAGGAATGGTTGACTAATTAAAATGGCTGCCTGATAGTTGACCAATTAAAATTCGACGCCACCTCTCTCCCGTGTGTGTCCAGCTCCCATCTTTGCCATCTTTTTTCCTTCGTTTTATCTGTTAATATTTTTTAATCTGCTGGGTTTTTATAATGGATGATGTTTTTCAGCATTTTTATGTTGTAAGCCACCCAGAGTTGTTGGATATGAGAGGCAAATAAAATTTATAAATAAATAAATGAACGAGTCAAACATTGCAAAAAGAAAATGATGATGGAACTGTGTCAGTTGAAGCAATGATGGGAAATACGTCATCATTAATACCCTGAGTAAAATAATCTTAGCAGGTGGTATCAACCGACTGGTTTAAAAGTATCCATGAAAATTAACTATTATTAAGAGCTTAGCAAAAGGCTTTTTAAACATGTAAGACAATTAACTAGAAAGAGAGCCAACTGTTTCCAATCAAAACTGCCATAAAAAAAAGTTTTGTTGCATATCATAAAACTGTACTCATAAAAATCTGGATCTTTACATCCTTGTCAATTTAATAAAAATCCTATCTTTCTTCCCCTCAATCTTGGAGGACTCAAATTTTATCATCTTTGCAATTCTTTTACAAATGATGTTTGAAAATTAAGGGTGGGCAACGTTTTCTGAGCCAAGGGACAAAGCTGTCCTCTGAGTGGCATTCAGGGCTGTAGGGTTTAAAAAAATGTGGATGAGAACAGGGCAATCCCATTTAATTTATATTCAGTTAAGATGAAATGTGATTACTATTACTCTCCATAACATATTTTTTTTAGTAATTTTCTATTTCTGTCATATTCAAAGTCACAATTCTGTAATAATGTTTTCAGGATCCCTTCAACATTAAGTTGTATATTTCCGCTATTTAAGGGGAAAAATGACATATTCACCATTTCGGTGGTGCTTTTTTTTTCTTTTTGCAGGTCTGTGTCTCTGCATTTAACACTTTCCAAAACAACTCTTTTATCAATTAGAAAAACTGAGAAAACCCATGAATGGTCCAATCTGCATGCTGTTCCGAACAAATATTATGTTTTGGGCCAGACAGAAGAAATACAATTTCCATGATTCTGTTAAACCAAAAATAAATTCTGGTGTATTATTTTCCCAAGAGAGGACATAGAAAGAGAATAAGAGGAAGCTTATAGATGTCGTGTTTGAAGAAGGCACCATCCTGCCTGCAGGGTTAAATCCTGGTCAAACATTATTTGTAAGCCAGACTGGTGTTTGTCGGTTCATACTTGTGTAGCTAACCTTTTTCTTCTTTGCAGTTCTGCTTAGAGCAGGAGGATCATTCCAGCCATTTTGAGGACCTGCAAGAAGAACAAACAGTCAGAGGCAAATCTGGAAAATCTGAGTGGCAAAAAGAAAGACCTGCCATATTCTAGGCCAGGGCTAGGCAACCTTGGCTCTTTTATAACTCGTGGACTTCAACTCCCAGAATTCCTGAGCCAGCATGGCTCAGCTTGGAAACCTCTCCCTTTCCCCTCAGCATGGCTGGCTCAGGAATTCTGGGAGTTGAAGTCCACGAGTCATAAAAGAGCCAAGGTGGCCTAGACAAAGTTCATCAATTCATCAAATCTAGAAATGTCACAGGAGGATGAACCTTTCCTATTTGTAACATGGATGTATTTAATGAATCTAAGAAGCCTGGAGCTTAACTCCTTCCTCCTAACCTTCAACGTAAACCAAACTCTATCACACTGCTCTGCAACTATGTACATTTTGCCTCCTCTAATGTCTCCTCTTGTCCACATGTACAGGTAGTCCTCAACTTACAATAGTTCATTTAGTGACTGTTCAAAATGACGACAGCACTAAAAAAAAGACTTATCCCCATTTTTCACATTTACGACCACTGCAGCATCCCCATAGTTATGTGATCAAAATTCAGTTGCTTGGCAACTGGCTCACAGATGGTTGCAGCGTCCCCGGGGTCATGTGATCCCCTTTTACAACCTTCTGACAAGCAAAGTCAATGAGGAAGTTAACAACCGTGTTACTAACTTCCTAACTTAGTACTAACTTAGTAACCCCTGTTACTAAGTTAACAACCATGTTACTAACTTAACAACTGCAGTGTTTCACTTAACAAGTGTGGCAAGAAAGATCTTAAAATGAGGCAAAATTCACTTAACAAATGTCTCACTCAGCAACAGAAATTTTGGGCTCAATGGTGGTCTTAAGTCAAGGACTACCCATAGTTTGGAAACATCTTGGAGTAGAGACTTGGAATTTCTGCTTAGCTGATTTCTAAAATATGATATAACTTAATAGTTAACATAAAATGTTTCTGCTCCTGTTGCCTCTACATCAAGTTGGTACTGGCTTATAAATCAGCAGACTGATGTAATTGCTCTAAGTGCATATACTATCACATCATTGTGATCATTTATTGCTATTCGTTTCTTATTTTCCAGTAAGTGAATTGAGATTTGTTTTAACAGATGAGAATAGAGGACAAGGCTTTGGAACAGCCCTTTTTAATCTGGTGCCCTTCAGATGTATCAGAATACAAATCTCATAATTTTTAGCAAGCAAGCCAATTGTAGCATCTGCAGTTCTGGCACATCTGGAATGCACACTGAGAAACTCAACTTGAATACTGAATTAAGAGCCATCAGTTTGGATAAGCATCCCTATTCACTTCTATGGCTCTGTGTATTCCATACAATAAATGTTTCAACCCTAGGGGGAATCTGTATCCTAGATCTTCTAAGATTTGACTAGTTATCCAATGGGTACAATCATTATTAATTACAATGAACTGGACCTGTAATATAGTTAATTTTTCTTAATACCTAGTTTGAATCTGTTCTATGGTTTAACAGATACTGGGAAAAAGCAAAATAATTTTATATCTGCTGTGTCTCATCATGGAAATTTCTCTCCTCACCTTGAAAAGGCCATCTATCTTTCACTGCACTAATACTCCAAGCCATAAATCCATAGCAACACAACATACAGGAAAAAGTTCAGATTAAAGCAGAAAGATCAGAAATCACAGTGTCTGCCCATTTATAATGTACAGTTTCTGTGCACGTTGAACTATCAGCCAATATAGCTGCTCAAGTTGCTAATCATCTTAACTGGTAACAAAAGAAGGATTCTGCATACTAATACTTCTTCAGAAGTCCTGGGCCTCAAGTGGATTGACTTTCCATATCTGTAAACAGTTTTAATCTCAGAAACCTGGTTGGTATCATGGTTAAGGTGAAGGATTAGGAAGGAAGTATTTAAACCTCTTAATTAGGGGTTCTTGAAACATTTCAAGCTTCAGACAGCTTGTTCCAACTTTTGTTAAATTTATATGCCCCCATCTCATTCTGAAAAGTGACTATGGGCGGCCTATACATTTAATAAATTCTTGGAATACTTCTAATATGGTGGAGCAGCTGTTTCAAATTCCAAACAGAGGGCTTTGGGCAAAACCAAATTTCACAATGGATCACAGGAGTGACTTTGGGTCAGCTCAATGTTGATGTTTTTGTTGCAGGCTAAAGTAAAAAGGGCAGAGTGCAATATATATACCACCTTGGCTCTGGCGGGAAAGGTAACAAGTAAATAAATAAAAGCCCTTGGGGCTTTTCTTCATTGCAGGTCAGCAGCTTACTAAATGGAACTGAAATAGGCTGGGACAGAATCTACAAGGTTAGACCATAAGCAGGGCTCTGCCATATTAGATCCATGCCCATCTGGTCCAATAGTCTATTCTCATGGTGGTCAACCAACTGCACAAGGAAGGCACCAACCTCCCAGCAGATGGTCTTCAGAGGCAGTCACACTTGCCATCAAGATTAATAGCTGTTGATCTCCATGACTTCTGTGTATTAGCCCAATACTTTTGGGAAGCTCGACAAGATGGTAGCCCAGACTACCTTCTACATGTGTTTCAAGCTTTTAAGCCAATTATTAATTGGCTTCTAAGCCAGTGGTTCTCAACCTGTGGGTCGGGACCCAATTTGGGGTCGAACGACAATTTCATGGGGGTTGCCAAACAACGCAGTCCGCCATTTTCCCCCCTCTTCCTTAGCTGTGCTACTCCCTTTTATTCTATTGGCTTTTGAAAGCCAATAGAATAGACTCTCTTGAATAGAGTCTAATTCTATTGGCTTTCAAAAGCCAATAGGAATGGTCCAGGCTGTCTCTGCCCTGCTGAGCCCGCCAAAAGTCCCATTCTGCAAATGGTGCTGCACCAGTTGAGTAGTCCTCGACTTACGACTGGTTGAGTAGTCCTCGACTTACGACTGGTTGGGGGTCGCGGCATTAAAAAGGTTGAGAACCACTGTTCTAAGCTAACTATTCTAATGTTCCAATGCTTAATGGAAACACTGTGGGACGGCTTTTTCAGCTCTAAACAAGGATCCTGAAGGAAAATGTACACATCTAAACCTAAAAAGAAACTAGGGTGGAAAATACTTTCACAGTCCACAGGAAAGGGACTGGTGAGAAACAGGGCAACTCACGTCACATTAGGATGTGCACATGCAGATCAACTTGTAAGAGGGAGAAAATGTGAGCTCAAATGAAATGGGTCCCTTTGTATATACTACAAGGGAAAGTGGGTTTGCACAAGAGATCAGGCTGAGAGTAAATGTACAATCCTAAAAAAATGGGTAGATAATCCGCTGCATATAAATCTAGCTTTATTCAGGGCTTGGGCTGGTATAATTCTGAGCACATTTTAATCACAGTCCATTAGGAATTGCTTCTGAGAAAGTCCAGCTGAAAACGGAGCTTCTCTGAATTGCAAAGCTGCAGGAGCACATATTCCCACTGGAATTTCCTCTTATTCCCAGAATTCCATTCTAAAATAGTTTAAATGGTAACCTAGAACTCAATGTTCTGTCCTTCATTCATTGCAAGGATTGTTCATATAAAAATAAAAAAAAAAACATTTATTGCACAACAGGGCTGTTTTGTTTTTTTTAACCAAGGACTTCTGCGGGTTTTTTTTACAAGGTTATCTGATTGTATTTTTTTTAAAGCTAACCAGAATTGGACAGCCTACAAATCTGCAAAGTAAATATGAGAAATGCACGAAATGAAAATAATTACTGCTGGCCTTTGAGCTGTAAATCTAGCAACATATGCCATCAATTCAGGTAACATCTAGGTCTTCTAGGTCTGCTCAGCATCAAGAAGTATCAATTCTGCTTTACAAGAATCCCAGCTTTGCCTTTGTTGCTTTTAAGAACGAGGTGCGGAAAAAACACTAAGAGAACATGACTAATATTTGGTCAAAATGCAGAGATGGGCCACCTGCTGGATTTAAGATGACCAAAGATTCGGTGTTCCACATTCCTCTTTCATCAACTAGCCAAAAACATAACAGAATCTCAATTTGTAATGCACCCAATGGAGTAGGTGAAATTGATTTTTTCCCCTCCAGCAGATATATCCTTAGGACTCTGAATATACAAATTATTCCTGGCTGTTGCATCTCTTAAACTCCCCGGTTTATGTTTTTCACAACATAATGAGGGGCGAAGCTTGTTTTTCTTCTTAGAATCTTTTGCTGAAAAGCCACTTCAGTTTGTTTCCTGCTTCTCTTCTCCCCCTGAAATCTGAGTGCTGGCTTCTAAGGTCTGTTCTGTAACACGACTGCCTGGTTCCAAAAACCCTGTCTTGCCACCCCAAAGACAGGACATGTATGTGGTCAGCCCTTTCTCTAGGACAATTTTGAATATCTTACGAGGCAAATGAGGTCATTTGAGAGCTGGTAGGGCAGTGGTTAGAATGCAGGACCGCAGACTATATTTCTGCTGGCTGCCAGCATTTTGGCAGTTCGCGTCTCACCGGCTCAAAGTTGACTCATCCTTCCATCCTTCTGAGGCCGGTAAAATAATAATAATTATTATTATTTTGGATCATCGCACAGTCAGCCAGATGTTCAGACTGGATCTGGCATTTTGTCTACCTATCGAGTCCTTACCCAGGACCTGGGATAGGCAGATGTGGATGTTTGATGGTATTACAGGTATTGTCGCAGGATGGAAGCAGTTCAAAAGGCCGCCTTTTGCAATTGACTAATAGTGAATTTGTCAATGCCAATGGTGTTCAAGTGGTGCTCCAGTTGTTTTGGGATTGCACCCAAGGAGCCTATTACTATTGGTACTATCCTTGCTTGCTTTTGCCACAATCTTTCTATTTCTATTTGTAGGTCTTTGTATTTTGTTATCTTCTCCAGTTCTTTCTCGTCTATTCTGCTGTCTCCAGGCACTGCCACGTCCACTATCCAGACTTTTTTGTCTTTCTTATCGACAATTGTTAAGTCTGGGGTGTTATGTTGCAGGTGCTTGTCTGTTTGAATTCTGAAGTCCCAGAGCAGTTTAATTTTATCATTTTCTATGACTTTCTCTATTTTATGATCCCACCAGTTTTTGCTTACAGGCAAATGATATTTTTTGCAGATCTTCCAATGCACCATTGTTGCTACTTTGTCATGCCGCTGCTTGTAGTCAGTCTGTGCAATCTTCTTGCAACAGCTTACCAGGTGGTCCACTGTTTCTTCAGCTTCTTTGCATAGGCGGCACTTACTGTCTGTTGCTGTCTTCTCAATTTTGACTTTATATGCATTTGTCCTTAAGGCTTGGTCTTGTGCAGCCAGAATTAGTCCCTCGGTCTCTTTCTTCAATTTTCCTGCTCTTAGCCATTGCCAGGTCTTGTTATTATCTGCTTTCCCAGCTATTTTTTTAATGTATTGGCCATGTAGTGCTTTGTCTTCCCATGCCTCTATTCTGTTCTTCATTTGGTCTTTCTTGTAAGCCAGTTTGGTCTCTCCAGTAGTCAGTAAGCCTTCCTGATATACTAATTTCTTCATCATTGTTCTTGAGATATTCTTCCAAAGCCATTTTTTCTTCTTCAACCATCTGATGTACTTGTAGCATTCCACGCCCACCTATTTGCCTTGGTAGATAAAGTCTGTCAATGTCACTGCGTGGATGAAGAGCATGATTCATTGTCATTATTTTTCTGGTCTTCCTATCCATTGCTTTTAGTTCTGCTTGAGTCCAGTCCACCATTCCAGCTGTGTACCTAATGACTGGGATTGCCCAGGTGTTGATTGCCTTTATGGTATTTCCTCCATTGAGTTTGGACTTTAAGATCTTCTTCACTCTCTTGATGTATTCACCTCTAATCTTTTTCTTGACTTCAGTGTGCTTGATGTTGTCAGCTTGAAGGATACCCAAGTATTTGTAATTGTTGTTATTGTTATTATTATTAATACAGTTGGAAGGGACCTTGGAGGTCATCTAGTCCAACCCCCTGCTCAGGCAGGAAACCCTATACCATTTCAGACAATTGGTTGTCCAGTCTCTTGTTAAAAACCTCCAGTGTTGGACCATTCACCACTTCTGGAGGTAGGTTGTTCCACTGGTTAATTGTTCTAAATATCAGGAAATTTCTCCTTAGTTAAAGGTTGCTTCTCTCCTTGATTCGTTTCTATCCATTGCTTCTTGTTCTGCCTTCAGGTGCTTTGGAGAAGAGCTTGACCTTCTCTTCTTTATGGCAACCCCTGAGATACTGGAACACTGCTATCATGTCATCCCTAGTACTTCTTTTCATTAAATTACACATACCCAATTCCAGCAACCGTTCTTTATGTTTTAGCCTCCAGTGCCCTAATCATCTTTGTTGCTCACTGACTCAGGGTTGACTCAGCCTTCCATCCTTTCGAGGTCGGTAAAATGAGGAGCCAGATTGTTGGGGGGTTAATAGGCTGACTCTGTAAACCGCTTAGAGAGAGCTGTGTAAAGCACTGTGAAGCGGTACATAAGTCTAAGTGCTATTGCTAAGTGCTAATCCGGCCTGGGCATTATTGCTATTATCTACAAGTGATGGAATAAGTTTGCCCTAGATGAAAATTGTCATGGATTTTTTTGGATTCCTTATTTTAGGGGTCCACTTGAGAAACTACATATAGTGCTCGATTTACAACCCTTCGTTTAGTGATTGTTTGAAGTTACAAAGGACTTATGACCTTTGCAGCATCCCCATGGTCATGTGATCCAAAGCCGCAAGATTGGCAACTGGCATTCATTTAGTAGGGTGGTTGCCAGCATCCCGGGGTCACGTGATCGCCCGGTGCGACCTTCCCACTTGCCTTCGAACAAGCAAAGTCAATGGGAGAAGCCAGATGTGCTTAAGGACCATGTCATTTCCCTTAACACCTGCAGCGCTTCACTTAACTGTGACAAAAAAGGTCGTAACGTTGGACATGACTCATTTTCCTAGATTTGTCCAGATTGAAATATTTTAAATCAAATTTTAGTATATTTCTTTCAACCTTTTATGTTAATTTGCCGCTTCCATCTGTAAGGGAATGGGGATATAATCCCCTCCCTTCACTTCTGGAGGTTTTTTTGCTTTGGGGATCTTTTCAAGGATTTAAATAGTAGATAGAAGAAAGAAGATCAATACTCTCACCAAGTCCAAGCACACTGTTCACCGATAAGTTTAAATTCGTGCTCTGGGACTTTGGCTGCAAGCAGCTTGGGCTAGACCAGGGGTAGGCAACCCAAACCACTCAAAGAGCCACTTGGGCCCGTTTCCTACTGAAAACAAAGCACTGGGAGCCGCAAAACCCTTTTGATATCTAAAATGAAGATAACACTGCATATATCCTTTTTTACCATTATATATTGTGTGTATGTATGTATGTATGTATACACACACACACACACACACACACACATATCATAAAGGTAAAAAAGGGTATATGCAGTGTTATCTTCATTTTAGATGTCAAAAGGATCTCTCTGTCTCTCCCTCTCTCTTTCCTCTCTCTCTCTTTCTCTTTCATTTCCCCCCCCTCTCTCTCTATCCCCCCTTGGTCTGCCAGTCCTCTTCCCACACACTCTCTCTCTCTCTCTCTCTCTCTTTCTCCCCCTCTCTCTTTCTCTCCCCCCCCTCTCCAATCTGCTGCTCACCTGGCAAGCTGGCTTCAAGCTGTTCTCCAACAAGCTCAGAGGTAGGCAACCCTGGCTCTTTTACGACTCATGGACCAACTCCCAGAATTCCTGAGTCAGCATAGCTGGGCTAGCTAGCTCTCTCCTGCCCTTCCTGCTTCCTGCAGAGACACAGCAAAGGGAGGAGCTCCGCCCAGTAAGCTTTTCAGCTCTTGGAGAACAATGTGAGTCCACTCTCTTTTTTTTACACACACACACACACACACACACACACACACACACACACACACAGAGAGAGAGAGAGAGAGAGAGAGAGAGAGAGAGAAAAGGGAAGCGCAAGTGCCTCTCTCTGTCTCTGTAAATGGCAGAGGAAGCTGGGAGCCGCAGGGGAAGTCTCAAAGAGCCACATGCGGCTCCGGAGCCGCAGGTTGCCGACCTGTGGGCTAGACGCTGATCTCACGCTAGCCTTTCTCCTGTCAGATTCGGAGGGCTTTCCCTGGATCAAACAAGGCGATTGCCATCGTTTCGTGATCGACGGGGCACCCCTCCTTCAGTCACCTCTCTGGGGCAACTTTGGACCCATCTAAGGTCCCCCAAGCAGGAAGAAACTAGCCGTGGGGAGCAGAGGTCTGCTCCCGCGCGGCTATGCACTGCAGATGCAAAAACCGGAAGCCCGGACATGACTCATTTAACAATCGCCTTGCTTAACAACGGAAATTCTTGTCCTAACTGGGGTTGTAGGTCAAGGACTGCGCGTATTAGATAATTTCTGTGAAACTCTTTCATTTGCGTAAATTAAACAAATAATTCCATCTTGGACAGCACAATCTCTATTTTTTTTATAAATACCATACATATTTTCCAAGCTAGGAGTACTAGTCTAAAGACTGCATTTCTGTTTCTTTGGTTCACCCTGCTCATAACACGTAGCTGAATTTTCTTGCGGGTACAAAAGTTGACTTACTCATTATAGTATTCACTGGATATTAAATATTTTGTAGAAAGATTATTAAGAATTTTGATAAAACGGTTTAAGAACAGAACTTTGATTGGAAAACCCAGATTAGTTACTTTATTTTATTATCATTTTTATTTTAAAAATGTTATTAGATGCTAAATTTCATTGAAATTTACTCAATTTAATTCACTCCAAATCTGAAATCACACAATCACATGCAATGCTAGATTCAAACTTCTTAGAACCTTTTGCTGAATTTCATTTATTTTACAAGATAATTCACCTTGCAGGAAACTGGCTGGATCTTGTAAAGAATGATAGTCTGCAGGTAAAATACAAAACAACTTAGGAGATATTTTAAACTATATATTATGAACGAGTATTCAATTTTTTTTTTTTAGGCTTTGTATTTGCAGATGCAGTTAACCCCATGAAAGCAACATTCGTACCGTTCTCCACATTCAGCCCCGGAATTTCATCAAATATGCAATGAATGTATATAATGCTCTAAGCCAGGGGTAGGCAACCTTGGCTCTTTTATGACTCGTGGATTTCAACTCCCAGATTTCCTGAGCCAGCCAAGGTTGCCTACCCCTGCTCTAAGCCATACCGAGGATTCCTTATTTTTGGTTTAACATATTGTGCAAACTCAGCCACTGGAGATTAGAAAGCTTGGTTTATAGCTCAGACTTAGTGTGAATCCATTAATTGTACCGTAGCTCAATAATAATAATAAAAAAACAATTAACAAAATTATAGTTTGAAGAGATCAACCCCGACTGCTCTTTAGAAGGCCAGATCCTGAAGTTGAAACTCAAATACTTTGGCTACCTAATGAGAAGGAAGGACTCACTGGAGAAGGGCCTAATGCTGGGAAAGATTGAGGGCAAGAGAAGAAGGGGACGACAGAGAATGAGGTGGCTGGACGGAGTCACTGAAGCAGTAGGTGTGAGCTTAAATGGACTCCAGAAGATGGTAGAGGACAGGAAGGCCTGGAGGAACGTTGTCCATGGGGTCGCGATGGGTCGGACACGACTTCGCAATTAACAACAACAACAATTTCTTATTACTGAAATGGGAAGGAGTGTATGCTAAAATGAGCACAGACTTGACTGAATTTTGAAAGGATGGTGATGTAGATTTTCTCCCTGCAGGATGGTGTGCCTTCTGAAAACCTTTTACTCTGCCGAAAAACCTGCAGCTTTACTACTGATAGTAAAATTTACGTTCCTCCAAATGTGCCCTTTGACACACTGGCTGATGGATCATTTTTATTTATTTGGGTCCCCCTTTATTATTTTTACAAATAACTCAAGGCGGCAGGCATATCCTAAACACCTTCTTCTTCCTAGTTTCCCCCACATCAATAACCATGTGAGGTGAGTTGGACTGAGACAGAGTAACTGGCCCAAGATTACCCAACTGGCTTTCATGCCTAATGCAGGACTAGAACTCAGCTTCTCACTGTCTAGCCTGGTGCCCTAACAACCGAACGAAATTAGATTATACTGGTTCAAGACCAATCGGTTCCTGAAAGAAACCAAGTTGGACAAAATTATATAGTTAGATCAATGTAATAAGGTTGGACATCAAACAGGAAAGGAAGACATTCCTGAATAACTTTTAGGGTCATTCTGCTGATAACAATGTCGCCCTTTTCTCTACATTCAGAGATGCAGTACCAGTGTTTCCCAAACTTGACAATTTTAAGGCATGTGGACTTCAACTCCCAGAATTCCACAGCCAGCAATGCTGGCTGTGGAATTCTGGGAGTTGAAGTCCACATGCCTTAAAATTGTCAAGTTTGGGAAACACTGCAGTAGACAGAGCTGTGTCATCTTGGAAAACTTTGCGGAGGTATCTTTCAGATAATGTCCTTGCTGTAATTTCTTAGAAAACAAAGAAAAACGTGCTCTGAACAAGGAACAACTAGTCTTGAAATCCCACACTCTGGAAGTACTGAAGAAGTTTGTCTACACCTCAATTCGTGGTTCCCATCTGATTGGGTTGGAAGATACAAGGGTAGCAATGTAAAAACAAAATGGCATCCGTGGGACCACAGCCCATTTGCCATCTTTCACCCTTGCTGGATTCACAATGAGAAAACAACACCTGCCCTATCGTTCAATACCAATCTGATCTGCATGGTCCCGAGGAAGGACAGTAAGGCGATCTACTGAGCATCCTTCCAATTCTGTAATGCTAGCAGTAGACATTGGACTCTGAAGACTTCTAAAGATCAATCCATCCAGGTCAACAAGGGGCATAGCAAATGTCCAGCTGAAAGCAGTAGATGCTATTTGGTAGGTTGGGAGAGTAATAGATGGGATTGGGCCTTATTTGATGTCTCCTCATTGCTTCATGTAAAAGTTTTTGGTCACCATATCACAAAAAAGATGTTGAGAGTTTGGAAAAAGTTCAGAGAAGAGCAACAAAGATGATCAAAGGCCTGGAGACTAAAACATATGAAGAACGGCTGTGGGACTTGGCTTTGGCTAATCTAAAGAAAAGAAGAAATAGGGGAGACATGATAGCAGTGTTCCAGTGTCTGAGGAGCTGCCACAAGGAAGAGGGGGGACAGGTTGTTCACCAGAGCACCAGATGGAAGGACGAGAAACTATGCTTGGAAACTGATCAAAGAGAGAAGCAACCTGGAATTAAGGAGAAAATTCCTGACAGTGAGAACAATCTACCAGTGGAACAGCTTACCCCCAGAAATCGTGGGTGCTCCATCACTGGAGATTTTTAAGAAGAGACTAGGCATTCACTTGTCTGAGATGGTATAGGTTCTCCTGCTTGAGGAGAGGGCTGGACTAGACGACCTCCAAGGACCCTTCCAGCTCTATTCTATTCTATTCTATTCTATTCTATTCTATTCTATTCTATTCTATTCTATTCTATTCTATTCTATTCTATTCTATTCCATCCCATCCCATCCCATCCCATTCTCCTTTTAAAAAATGAGAGAATATTAAATGACATCAGTAAAGGAACAGATCTGTTACTATGCATTAAAATGTAGCCCACGACCAAAGGGGGAAAAAGGAATAAAAGCAAGGTTAAAAAAAGCTCATTTTTAAAAGCCACAATTTATCTCCTGTCATGCTTAGCAAACTTAGAGCAGCAGATGCTTCAGTCATGCACACGTGCTTCTGTTCAGCCCTTTGGGAGGGGGGGGGGGAGAACTGCAATGTTTAAATGGCCTTCTAAACTGCCTTGGCATTTGGGTGCAACTTGAAGGCAAACACTCTCTTATCAGTGAATATAGATTGAATGTAGTGACTCACCGGCCAAAAATAGTCCACTTGGTTGGAGTTATGACATTTAAAAAAAAATAGGCCAGATTTCAGAGAGGTGGGCCAATCGTGACTCTGAAATCACTTAACACTATAGAATCCATCAGCTCAGTGGTCCCCAGCCTTTCCAGCTTGGCGGATTGGCAGAGGCGGGGGGGGGGGGGGGAAAGAGGGGATAGTTTTGGGTAGATACACCACTTTTACAAATGGAGCTTCGCAAGCTTCTGCGGACCGGTTCCTAGTGAGCTAAGGCCTGCACTGGGCTGCGGACTGAGGGTTGAGGACTCCTGCATTAGATTACGTTGCTAAAGTGGGAGGGGCAAATTACTAAATCCTTAACTCAGGGGTCTTCAAACTTGGCCCTTTTATGACTTGTGGACCTCAACTCTCAGAATTCCTCAGCCAGGCACGCTGGCTGAGGGATTCTGGGAGTTGAAGTCCACAAGTCATAAAAGGGCCAAGTTTAAAGACCCCCGGTAAATTTGTTTCTGAAAAGGGGAGAGAGGGTAAAAAGATATGCTAAGATGTCAAATAAATTTTTCATACCTAAAACAGCTATTGGGAAAAAAAAAGAGTACTCCCAAAATAATATTTAAAAATCATTCCCACCCACTTGCCCAGTATCAAATCTTTGCCCTCCAGTGCTATCTCTCAAAAAATGCAGCAGAAAACTACAGCATCCCCCCCCCCCCAAATGGCTGAAGGCAGATGGCTTCAAGAAAGTGCATACACTTTTTGCAAATTAAAAAAAAACCAACTGCTTTGCATAGATAAATATTTTATACAAGGAGGGGTGTTGGGTACAAGCATAAAAATAAGGTGCAGTAAGAACGCCACTCCAAGAACCTATAGAGAGGTAACATCTTGGAGGTCCAGAAAAGTTTAGTGCTTAGACAAGGATATGAAGGACCCTGCCATCATATCCCAGTCAGTTGTGAAGCTCGTTACATTCTATGGCAAGATTCTCCAAACTTGCAACTTTAAGATAATTCTCAGAATTCCCCAGCCAGCATGGCTGGCTGAAGAATTCTGGGAGTTGAAGTCCACAAGTCTTAAAGTTGCCAAGTCTGGAGATCCTTGTTCTATGAAGGGGTCTTCAAACTTGGCCCTTTTATGACTTGTGGACCTCAACTCCCAGAATTCCTCAGCCAGGCATGCTGGCTGAGGAATTCTGGGAGTTGAAGTGTACAAGTTTTAAAGTTGCCCAAGTCTGGAGACCCTTGTTCTATGAGATCAGCCGTAGGCTGCTGGATTGACACATCATACTGACATAGTTGTGAAACCAATCATATCGGCTCTGACAACAGATGATGGTTAAAATAAAACTGTGGTTTGGCATAATGCATGAACCAGTTATTATGCCATGGTCTGGTCCACCTCTTGAGGTTGGCAAAAAAACCCAAACATTTATGTAAGTGCTCTGAACCTCTTGGAAGGAAGGATGAGAATAAACATGTCAGTAAATAAAAGAGCAGCATGCTAGTATCACAGCAAGGATTCATGGCTGGTAAGCCACAGATTGCAAACAATAGCTAAACACTCCTGGGACAGAACAAAAATAGACCAAGAGCCAGATTCTCTTCCAGTCTCTTGAACCAAACAGCTTATTGCTCCTACAAGCTGCTGATTCAGAGCTGCCAATTCCGTCTGACAGGCACAAACACGCTGCCTTTTGGTGAGCAACTGCACGATGCCTTTTAACTAATAAAGTTATGGAAGCTGCTTTTCCTAAATACCCCCTAGAACAGTGGTTCTCAACCTGTGGGTCGGGACCCCATTTGGGGTTGAACAACCATTTCGCGGGGGTCGCCAAACAACGCAGTCCGCCATTTTTTCCCCTTTTCCTTAGCTGTGCTACTCCCTTTTGTTCTATTGGCTTTTGAAAGCCAATAGAAGAGACTCTCTTGAATAGAGTCTAATTCCATTGGCTTTCAAAAGCCAATAGGAATTGTCCAGGCTGTCTCTGCCCTGCTGAGCCCGCCAAAAGTCCCATTCTGCAAATGGTGCTGCACCAGTTGAGTAGTCCTCGACTTACGACCGGTTGAGTAGTCTTCGACTTACGACCGGTTGGGGGGTTACGGCATTAAAAAGGTTGAGAACCATTGCCCTAAAGGAAAAGGGGGAGTGCCAATTGCACCCCAGCTTCAGAGGGCCCCCAAAATGTATCATCTTAATTGCCCTGAGCAGGATGTGAGGCAGTGTTGGATGCCACGCGTGCAAAGAGGGCAAGCCCTCCGCAATTCGTGACCCAGATGTCACGTCAGTCACAGGACAAGATCGCCGCACCCATGCAATGTTAATAATACGAATATAAAAGGCACCCTTGTCTCAGTGTGCAGTGCAAACTTCCCCACAGTCCTTTTTTAAGCGCAGACCCGTTCTTTGGGAAGCAGCCAACTCACTGGCCGAGGTCTCTGTACCTGTTGGTCCGGGAGGCAACGCGTACGGCAGAGAAGATGCTGGAGCTCCTGGCCGGCCATGCTGGAAGGAGCCACCAGAAGGAGGGGGAGCAGGAGGAAGAGAAGAACTCGGATTCAAGCTTGTTGGAGAGGCCTGGGGCTGGGAGGCATATAAGGGAGGAGGCATGGCACTGGCAGGGTTAGGGGGCATGTAAGGGGGGTTAGGGGTAGGGTAGGAGGCCGAAGTAGGAGGAGCGAGAGGTTGCTGCGGCTGATAAAGTGACGGTCGGAAAGAATACGGCTGGGTTGGTTGACAAGCTACATTGGAGAAGAAAGAGGACAACGTTAGTAAGAAAAACATGCTGACCACTGTCTGCAATTCTTTCAGATGACAGGTTGTCCTCGACTTAACGCCCATTCTTCTAGTGACCGTTTGAGGTTACAACGGCACTGAAAAAAGTGACTTATCACACTGACAACCAATGGTGGGATTCAGCCGGTTTGCACCATTTCGGCAGAACTGGTAGCTAATTTTTTGTGGCCCAGGCCCAGAATGGACTTCCGGAAGCGGCATCCACACAGAGAACCGGTTGTTCACCTATTTGAATCCCACCACTGCTTACAACCGTCGCAGCTTTCCCCGTGGTCACATGATCCAAAGTCGACGGGGGAAGCCTGATTTGCTCAACGCCTGTATGATCCAGTTAACAACTGCAGGGATTTGCTTAACACCCACGGCAGAAAGGTTGTAAAGTGAGGCACAGCCCACTTAGCAAAGGAAAATTTGGCCTCACTTGTGAGATTGTAAGTCGAGGGCTACCCATGTAGATTTCTGAACAGGGTTCCTGTTTAAGAGTTTAAAAACCACCAAAATGAAGCTTTGGGACAGAATTAAAACATCCGCATACAAACAAGGCGGAACTTGTTTTACAGATTTGTATCGGTTTAGAAAAGATATTAATCATCCAAGTGCCGGTTTTTGTTTCTCCTTCAAAATGCGATCATTAAAAGTTGGGATGTATTATTAGTCAGCCTAAAAGCACAAAATACTTTGCCCAGAATAGAAATTGCTAGACTGTGAAGAATTGTTACACTAGTTATTGATTAGGTTGGGGGGGAGGGGGAGAGAAAAAAAAAGGAAATCAAATGAATTCTCACTAAACTGCAGCTCTCTGACTGGAAAATCTATATTCATTTTCTTTAATGCCTCTAAGATGCCCTGGGGGAAATTAATCAACTAGAGTTGCAAATAACATAGTACAATATCCAAAACAGGAGAGAAGGAGAGATCCGGGCTGAAATCCGGCTCAGTCAGAAACCACAAAGGGTGGGCCACTTGGGCAAGGCAGCATCTGCAGTTCACACGGGGCTACCCTTGAAGAGTATTCAGAAGCTACAGCTGGTATACAACGCAGCTGTATAGATACTTCCTGGTGCCCCTCAGGTGGCCCATGTTAACACCAATTTTATGGGAGCTGCGCTGGTTGCCTGTTGCTTCTGGGTCCAATTCAAGGTGTCGGATATTACCTATAAAGCCAATGGGATTGGCCAGGCCTACCCACGCTGGCAGTAGCGGCATACTTTGGATTATAGGTTTTAATTTTTTTATAATATCAATTTATGGTAAGCTGCCTAGAGTTGTAGAACAGTGAGATGGGGCAGCAAATAAATTTAATAAATAAATAAATTTGTGATCCTTTTGACAGTGCTGGGAAAATAGAGTGAAATAAATAACTCATGTGTTGTTTCTAATGTAAACAACACATTTTCCAGACCTCTATTCAACCACTTTCGGATATAGTAGCCAACATTTTATTGCAAGCTTCAAACTCCTCTGTCACAATGGATGAAGTCCATACAAGGGACATATATATATAATTTGCATAATGTGTCAGATCACATCCTTCACATAAATATGCAATTGTGCAAAGGATGTGCATTAATACATCTGGCATTAATAGCGTCAATCTCAGTTTATCAGACATTAGAATTTAACAGACACTCTTCCCTCCAAGTGGTGCAGTAAACCAAGGCTTGGCTTAGCTGTGGTTAATTAAAACTATTATGCCCTGCTTTTTCTCTTCACACAGCAGCCTTCCTCCACTTAGCACCCTTGAGACATGTTGGATAGAAACCTTATCAAACATAGTGATTTGGCAAGCTAGCTGGGAATAATGGGATATATAGTCTAAGGTAGTAATGGTGAACCTTTTAGAGACTGTGTGCTCAAACTGCAACCCAAAACCCACTTATGCATCGTCGAGTGCCGCGTGGGTGTGGCCCATTGGCTGGGTGTGGCCCTTTGGGTGGGCGTGGCTGCGGTGGTAATGGCAGACTGGGTGGCACTAAAAAGTTCAATCAATTCCAACTTTTCAAGATCTTTTTTTTTCCCGCAAGAAGTTGAAATTGACTGATTGAACCTTTTTTTTTTTTTTTTTGCACACGGCGGCGGAGGCCTAAAGCGAAAATGTTTTATAAAACCCAGCTGAAGGCCTAGCACTGGGGCGATGGCGCGTGTGCCCACAGAGAGGGCTCTGAGTGCCGCCTCTGGCACCCGTGCCATAGGTTCGCCACCACTGGTCTAAGGCATCTGGAAAGCACTGGCTAAGGAAGAGCTCTGTACAAATTATTCTAGAGTTTCTTAACGGTAGCAATTTTAAGATGGGTGGACTTCAACTCCCAGAATTCCCCAGCCAGCATTGCTGGCTGGAGAATTCTGGGAATTGAAGTCCACACACCTTAAAAAGGCTGAGTTATTCTATTGACAGAGAAGGCCACAGCAAAATTTTCAGGTCCTTTTTACCATCCAAGCAGTGTCCAAGAACCAGAATCATTATTTTATCCCTGAAAGGGGAAATGAATCATAGCAGAAGCTGTGACAATTTATCTTTATCCACTTCTCTATTCCAGAGATAACACTTTCAAGGGATACCAATAGTAACAAACAGCTATAACGTAGAAATCAAAAGAAAAGACGAAGGAGATGGAAAAACTCTCTTTTAATAATAAATCAAGACCCATGTTCTCCCCGCTCCTCAATTTTCTAGGAGAAGAGAAAGGGTTAGCTTTCTTACATTGCATTATATTACATCAAGTTATATTAGATTTCATTGGGGGTTAAGCTGCTTAACATTATAACATTATCTTTAGAGAGAGGAATTAGATCAGGGGTCTTCAAACTTGGTCCTTTTATGACTTGTGGACTTCAACTCCCAGAATTCCTCAGCTAGGCATGCTGGCTGAGGAATTCTGGGAGTTGAAGTCCACAAGTCATAAAAGGGCCAAGTTTGAAGACCTCTGAGTTAGATTCAAGAAAAACTAAAGCAATATATTACCCTATTTTAAGAAATCCAGCATGTGAGATTCGGAGAAGATGGCAAGCTACTTACGTTGTGGGCATGGTGGTCTTGTGTACATATTGTAATCAGGATGGGCAGGCGGATGCATGTTGGGATTCATGTCCTTTTGCATAATAAACCCTGGAGGAGGTGGGGGATTCTCTCTCTGGGGAAGGAATGCAAGAAGGGAGCGAGAAACAGAGAAGTTAGACTTGATGGGTAGCAGCAGAAGACCTGCAGTGGAAGCGAGACGTTCTGATCTCAGCTTGCACATTCTTTCTTTCTACCATTGCGTTACGACAAGGATTTTGAATCTAAAACATTCAAATCTGATTTGCCAGGAAGCTTACAGTCTCAAGCAGCAACATTACGGAATGCATATTGAATTGATTACTGTGTTGGCCAGGGAGGGGAAATGGATCTGTTTCAAGACTTTTATAAACAGGGACCATTTTATAAATGGGGGAGCATTTCAAGCAATCTGGGGGGTTAGGAAAGGATGACGAGACAATTCAGGATCTTCTGGGCCACAAATTAAAACTCCGGGGTGTGTGTGATTAGTTGATCTCCAAATTCATTGATTATCTGACATTCAGCAAGTATCTTTAAAATAGAGCAGTGTTTCCCAAACTTGACAATTTTAAGGCATGAAGACTTCAACTCCCAGAATTCCACAGCCAGCAACGCTGGCTGTGGAATTCTGGGAGTTGAAGTCCACATGCCTTAAAATTGTCAAGTTTGGGAAACACTGAAATAGAGCAATATCTTTTGTGGGAGACAAAAGATGGAGAAACCCAGGATAAGCTGAAAATCTGAAACTGCTTCCCAGATGGCCAAGAATTATAACAGTGTGTTAAAAAAAAAAGAGGAAAGAGTGTCAGGAATGTGGCATGAGGTCTACAGGGAGGAGAGCAGATTCTGCTCAAAGAGGAATAATGAATGTTATACCTGTGTCTCAGAGGGAGAGGCTGCAGGAAGGCTGGGAAGGGCAGTGGGTTTTTTGTTACTCCAGGTAGTAACAGTAGGGGCAATTCTAACCTGAATTGAACAGAGAGATACCAATCATGGAAAAAATAAAAAAAAATAAAAATAAAAGGAAGTGAAAAGCCAAAACGTTTCAGACAGCCTGCTCAGGAATGCACTAAGAAACTTTCAAGTCATTTACAAAAATTGGTAGAAGACCCCTGTCATCCATGCAAGCAGCAATAAGGAGATAAGCAGAGAGACTAAATATACCAGCAAGCAGCTAATATTTACCAGAACAGCCAACTCTTAAGAGTAAATATTCATGCTAAGTGTTAGAACAGGGGTCTTCAAACTTGGCCCTTTTATGACTTGTGGACTTCGACTCCCAGAATTCCTCAGCCAGGCACACTGGCTGAGGAATTCTGGGAGTTGAAGTCCACAAGTCATAAAAGGGCCAAGTTTGAAGACCCCTGTGTTAGAAGCTTATACTATTTGCAGCTTGTGTATTTTTTTCCACTGACAAAGGTAAGTAGCAAGTTAGAATCATCATGCTGAATAACACCCAAAGAAAATTAGACAGAAATGTCTTGCTAATGTCAAAAGAATGAGAAGCAAGTATCCTTCTATACTTTCTTTGGAAAGGACTTTCTGTTGTCAGAGTTTAATGCAGGGCCTAACCCACAGCATTGTGATATATACAAGAAAAGGTACAGGAAAGGATAATGGCTGGTTCATGCAAAACTCAGTAAGATAGTGGACCATTTTATGTCCACCACAGTTGCTGGACTGGGAATCTAGGATTAAGACATGGGACAAGTGGAAAAAAAGCTCTATTTGCTTAATAAAGCTGCTAAATGAGGTTAGATAATTAAAGCAGGCAAAAGGGAAACATATGGGTATAACTTAAGATCAAATCTTGTGTTATGTTTCCAGGACTAAAGACAAAACTCAAATCCGTCAGGTAAAACTGTGCTCCTTTTCAGAAACAAAGCACATTCCCTCTTCTGTCAGATAACATTTCCTAAAACGCTGCAATGTTTCATATGCAGACTAATGAGGTAAAAATAGACATAATGGGACAACTGGCAAGGGTGCAGAAGCCTCATCAAAATCCAGCAGTAACTTGATTAAAATTGGTGTGATGCTTTCCCACCACAGAACATAGAATAACAGAATTGGAAGAGGCCTGGAGGTCATCTAGTCCAACCCCCTGCTCGGGCAGGAGACCCTATATCATTTCAGACCAATGTCTGCCCAGTGTGTTCTTAAAAGCCTCCAGTGATGGAGCACCCACAACTTTTGAAGGGAAGCTGTTCCACTGATTCTGTCTTGTGATGGGAAGCACAAGAACCACTAGTGTTAAGCCCTAAATGAGGCTTTGTGCAATTAAAGAAGAATAAAATCTAACCCCACATCCCACCCCACCCCACCCCACCCGAAAACTGGGAAAAGAATATCCTGACCTGTTTACCTACATGACACAACCTCCACATTCTCCATCACTGCAACACCCATACTAGGTTCCACCTCACAAAAAACATTAAGAAGGGGCCCTGGACACCGAAGGTTGCCCACCTTACCTTTATAGACATTTATTTTGCCATGCAAATTATTCCATAGCAAAATAATATATTTTGAGCTGCCCGGCATTTCTTTTGTTAAGATTAAAAGTTCAGATTGTCCCTTTCTTTGTCTTTTCTCAAGTTCCAGCAGCCAGGTGACTCCCATCAGTGATAAATATATTCTGCTGGCTTGGTACTGTTATTAATTAGTGACCACCTTTAAAAACTAATTGTTGGATTCAGATGTTAGTTGTGGCTCCGTAGTGCTTTCTGAGCTTCCTGTTTTTTATTGCAGATGTATCATACCAAATTGGGTAACGCCCTCAATGCTAACACTGATGATGTTACCTACTTTGGTAATGAAATGTCTGCAAAAAAACCACCAAGCTCAGAGTGTACCAAAGTTCCCACAGTTTAACCCTAACCCTACAAATATTCTCTTCAATCGGTATCATATGCAGTTGTTGGCTCTTTCTTCAGCCGTGTGTTGATGAAAGCTCTTCTGAAATAAGGCTGGCTTTTGCTCTACATAGAGCTGCTGTAAAGTGCTCTTATACCTAGCTTACTTGAAAGAATTGTGGTCTTCTGCAACTGGAGGTTTTTGGTTCCTTGATCAAATGGTGCAATACAATTAAGGAAGTCAAGGGGGGAGGGGTCAGAGGGAAGGAACATGGATAATCAAGGGTGGACAGCTCCCTCGCAGGCAAAAGAATAATAGACCAACAGAGATGGAAGGGACCTTGGAGGTCTTTTAGTCCAACCCCCTGCTCAAGCAGGACACCCTATACCAGGGGTACGCAACCTTGGCTCTTTTATGACTTGTGGACTTCAACTCCCAGAATTCCTGAGCCAGCATGGCTCAGCTTGGAAACTCTCCCTTTCCCCTCAGCATGGCTGGCTCAGGAATTGTGGGAGTTGAAGTCCACGACTCATAAAAGAGCCAAGGTTGCCTACCCATGGAATAGGCCTAGGCCACTTTATGACTCGTGGACTCAACTCCCAGAATTCCTGAGCCAGCCATGCTGAGGGGAAAGGGAGAGTTTCCAAGCTGAGCCATGCTGGCTCAGGAATTTTGGGAGTTGAAGTCCACGAGTCATAAAAGAGCCAAACTTGCCTACCCCTGTCCTACACCATTTCAGACAAATGGTTATCCAGTCTCTCCTTGAAAACCTCCAGAGCTGAACTGGAGTTCCACTGACAAATGGTTCAGGAAATTTCTCCTTCGTTCTAATTTAATCAAAGACTAAGAACCTACAGGGAAGCAGATAATGTTGAAGCACACTTTTTTTTTAATTTGTGGGGATTTTAAGAAGTAAAATAGGACCTTTACGTCTTGGTAAGAGGGCAGCCAGATAGCAGCTTAACAGCTCCACCACTTGCTATTTGGACCCCAACAGAGACTGGTATCAAACTACTGTTCCAAATTGATGTCTATATGCCAATGAGAAAAGAGAATAGGATGTGTCTGAGGAATCAATGCCCCCTCTAAGCCCAATTTATTATGGGGGAACGAAGCAAAAAGAAATACTGTACTGTAGGTTTCGTTCTACATATCCATAAAATGACTTTATAATCAGCTTAGAGAAAGAAAGCTCTTGAAATGTTGATTGACAATCAACCCACAAAAACCTTCATGCTGGTGATTTGTGTCCTGAAAGAAATGAGTCATCTGCTTTTTGGTTTATGAGCTTTTTTTTTTTTTTTTTTTGCTGTAGAGAGATTATTTACAATAGCCGTGGTCCCCAATCTTTCAGGCTCTGCAGACTGGTGGCGGTGGCGTGTGTGTGGAGGGTTTCATGCATGTGCGTTCCATTTGTACAAATGCAGCTTCGCACGCTTGTGCACTCGTCCACCACTTGTGCAGCCTGGTTACCAACAGGCCACAACCCGGCACTGGGCCATGGACTGGGGTTTGGGGACCCCGATTTACAGGTCTGTATAACAATCACCTACTTCAGTCTGTTGTAAGGAGATAATGGGAGCTGCCTTCCATCCAGAACAAGGGTATCCAACCTTGTCAACTTTTAAGACTTGTGGACTTCAACTCCCAGAATTCCTCAGCCAGCCAGGGCTGGCTGAGGAATTCTGGGAGTTGAAGTCCACAAGTCTTAAAAGTTGCCATGGTTGGGGACCTCTGATCTAGAAAGTCTTAAAAGTTGCCATGGTTGGGGACCTCTGATCTAGAAAGTAGAAAAGACTTAGCTGACAAGCTGAGGCTGTTGTAACATTTTGGGGGCAACGTGTCTGCCAGGAAAATGACAACTGACTAAGCTTTATTAAAAACTGAAGGCCCAAATTAAAGCCAGAAATGGAGAAGGGAGAAGCTCTCCCAGACATTAGCTGGGGGTAAAATACACCAGCGTTCCAAAGGGCATTTCGAAGCCCTTGACTAGCCACTGCACGAAACCTCCAGCAGCTTCCTAGGCCAGCTTTCCCAAAATACCTCTGGAACAAGAGAACAAGGCGTATCTCTCCAAACCGAAAAGTAGGATAGTGTGCTCTTAACTCAGGAGTTTTCAAGGGACACATTCTGGATAACTTTGAGCAGAACATCATGCAGACATGCTCAACGTGGTTTAAAACATGGTTAACTACCAACGTAAGAGCGACAGCTGAAAATGCCCTTTACCTGCTGGTAATATTGTGGAGTTGGGTTCTGTGGCATCTGCATCTGGCCCGCAACAGAGTCAGTTCTTCCCTTGGCTGCCGGCTGCCTCTCAAAGGTTGCCCTGGGCCCCTGAGGGCCCCTGGGAAGCTCCCCCTGGGCTTTACAGATTCTGTCCCGTAGCACCATGATGTTGGGCTGCAAAGCACAAAACACCCAGTTAAGACATTCACAGGACCAGATCAAGGGAGTGAGTTATGAGATCGAATCTGGGACCAGAGGTTTACTCTTCCAAGCTTTTGGACACGTGCTGGAGCCCATCCTTGGGAAACTCCTCCCTACTGGAATATGTCCTTTGGGCTGTTCTGTGAGTTGTGTACATGTGGTGCCTTCCTATTGGCTGATTGGTGTGTTGATGGCTGGCAATTGGCTGCCATTTCCTTGGGCTTTTTTTGAGTCCAAACACTCGGATGAGTCAATCTCTGGTTGGGGTGATCGATTCAAATTAGATCTCACATCATTATCCCGGGACACGAATAAATAATAATAATAATAATAATAATAATAATAATAATGATGATGATGATGATGATGATGATGTTGTTGGAAGGGACCTTGAGGTCATCTAGTTCAACCCCCTGCTCAGGCAGGAAACCCTATACCATTTCAGACAAATCGCTGTCCAGTCTCTTCTTAAAAACTTCCAGTGTTGGAGCATTCACCGCTTCTGGAGGCAGGTTGTTCCACTGGTTAATTGTTCTAACTGTCAGGAAGTTTCTCCTTAGTTCTAGGTTGCTTCTCTCTTTGGTCAGTTTCCATCCGTTGCTTCTTGTCCTGCCTTCAGGCGCTTTGGAGAATAGTATATTTGCCTTCATTTGTGAGAATGAGTTAAGTTACCATAAAAGCCACAGAAGTGTTGGAACAGAAACAAGAAGGCAGCGGACTCATAGCAACCAGTTGGAGACAACTGATGAGCCTCTGTTCTCTCAGGAAATGTCCAATCATGTGCGCTAATCTAATACAGGTGGTCTAGTACGGTTCATTTAGCCACCATCCAAAGGTACTAAAAAGTGTGACTTATGACTATTGCAGCACCCCCATGGTCACATGATCAAAATTCAGACGCCAGGCAACTGGCCGATGACGGTCGCAGCATCCCTGGGGTCACGTGACCTCCTTTCGCGACCTTCTGACAAGCAAAGTCAATGGGGAAGCCGGATTCACTTAACAATCGTGTTGCTAACTGAACTGCGGTGACTCACTTAACAACTGTGGCAAGAAAAGTCGTAAAACAAGGCAAAATTCACTTGACTGTCTCACTTGGCAACAGAAATTTTGGGCTCGAGGGTGGTCATAGGTTGAGGGCTCCCTGCAAAAGGCAAAAGAAGAAAACATACATACGCGCGGTGAAGTCTGTTTACCTGGTTGGTATTAGCTGGGAGAAAAGCTAAAGCCGCAGCGATGCTGCCTTGTGAAGCCAAAAGGTTGGCATATTGGCTCATCTTTTCAGCCAGAAGAGCCCCAACAGCGTTGGCATCCATCACTTGGGTCTGCTGGACAGCTTTACGCAGAATGATCACTTTTTCAATGAGATCCTAGAAGCGTGAAATGGAAGGAGAAAAGCAAAGCAAAGGAGACCAAGCTTGAATCAGACTGGCTGATTGACTCTAAGCTAGAACTGACTTCAATCAGAATAGAACTGGAAGGGACATTGGAGATCTTCTAGTCCAGCCCCCTGTTCAAGCAGGAGATCCTAAATCATTTCAGACAAATGACTGTCCAATCTCTTCTTAAAAACCTCCAGTGAAGCCCCTACAAATTTCTGGAAGCCTTCTGTTCCACTGGTTAACAGTCCTCACTGTTAGGAAGTTTCTCCTTAATTCCAGGTTGCTTCACTCCTTGATTAGTTTCCATCCATTGTTTGTCTTGCCTTCTGGTGCTTGGGAAAATAAGTTGATCCTCTCCCCTTTGTGGCGACTTCTCAAATACTGGACTGACTTGACTGATTGTATATAACAAAAACTGGTTCATAACCAGTTTTGCATTCCCTCTGCTGTGGGTCAGTCTGTAAGCTTAGGCCTGGCTCATTTTGCTCTTTATAAAAGGCCCAATCCCCAGAAATGGTTGAAGCTCATTCGATGGAGCTAATCTCTCATGACCAATCAGCTTCCTTACTACTAATCTTGTAAAATAGTTATGTCATTTTATTTTTAATTTTGCTTGGGCAAAGAGTGGACCAGAAGCCCCGTATTGCCCATCTTTGCATTATATGGTACCTTAGCTGCAACAATCCACACATCAAAGTGAGAAAACAGACCAACTGCAATGGCTGCCCCCGTGGAAATACCTGTATGTCATGGGAATGGAAACTGTGACACTTCCTTACCCAAAGCTAGAGACTTTAAATAGGGGCAAACAGCCTTGGCAACTTCAACTCTCTATGGACTTCAACTCTCAGAATGCCCCAGCCAACCTTGCTGGCTGGGGAATTCTGGGAGTTGAAGTCCACAAGTCTTAAAATTGCCAAGGTTGGATACCCTTGCTTTATAAGGAGACTATAATGTGTATCTTCCAATGACTGAGACCAAAAGGGAATTGAAAATAAAAGGGCCTCACCTGAAGAGACAGTGGATTGTTTCCATCTTGGGCTTTAGTCCAACAAGCAACTAACTTCTCCACATTTCCGGCACAAATGTAACACAGGCAAGCCTGCGTTTGCAAAACACTGTCCCCTTCATTTTCAAGTCTTGAGCCCAACAAATCTAGTTAGGAAGATGAACAAAATGTAAATGGGAACCAATGTTAACCACAGAATGATTTATTCGGATTATCAGAAAGTGCTGGAGACTCATGTACACCTTCCCTCTCATTTCCCTGTCTTTGCTGGTGCTGTATGTGCATGTATGTGTAAATGTATGTGTATGTATGTGCATGTATGTGTAAATAAATGTGCATGCATGTATGCATTTATGTGCATGCATGTATGTATCAGATTTATGTGCTTCTCATCTCATCCGGAGGTGACTCTGAGCAGCTTACAAATATTAAAAAGGTGAAACAGTAATAACAATAATCAGTTGTGCTAAAAATTTATCATTAAAAGATTAAAACTGGGTGGGAGAGAAAGGAGCACGAAGTGGGGTTTTCTTTCAACAAATATCCTCTAAAGTCCTGCACATATGCAGCCTCCAGATATTTCTTAGAAAGTCAACAAATTTACACACACAGCCACACACAAAGGCATGCCCTTGAATGCCTCTGTCGAGGGGGGGGGAGGGAGGAAGGTCTAGCACTTTCTGGTAATCTGAAAAAAAGACACTGGAATGAGAAGTAGGTTAATGAAATTTTAGCCACAAAAGAGTTACCAACATTGTCTGACCTAATGTAAGTAAGCCCAGGAGCTAAGGTTGCTTTCCAGTTTTGCAAATTGTGCAACTGGACAATCCCTTTCCAAATCTAAGGTGACAACAGCTCTGGAGAGTTGGAAAGAAATCTGATCAAGACTTTCTCCTCAAGTCGGGAAGAGAGTAGGAGGGGAGGAGAGAAAGAGGAGGGAAGTGGGGAAGGATTAGAGAGGTGGACGTGGCCTGGGGGGAATGGGCAGGCGGCACCAATGGTTAGGAATTTAATTGTATTTTATATGAATAAATGGAAAATAAAAACTTTTTATTAAAAAAAAAGACTTTCTCCTCAAGTCGCTAGAAAAGTCACAGCTTTTACGGGGGGGGGGGGGGGATGGGAAATGGGAGGGGGGCCGGCTCCCTGTTGCTGCATTCTGAATGACAATTTTTTAACAGCTTAATAATTTTACAATTTCCTCTCAGAGTCTGGATATCCTGCCCATGTTTTCAAATATTAATTACCTGATATTAATCATGATGAATGCTACTTGTCAGAGACAAATTAAAGGCCATTAGTAACCAGGAAGGTTTAGAATATGAGGCCTACAAAAAAGGGAGCACTATTTTTACCTTCAGGCATGAAACCCAAGTGCCCGAGTTAAATAAATTATTTAGTAAAGGAGATGTGTCCAGGTATTGCTTCCCTGGACCGAAAACATTATTTATATGTACACATGCATGTCTGTCTGTCTGTCTGTCTGTCTCTCTCTCTGTGTGTGTGTGTGTAAAGGGAAATGGGGGAATATTTAGAATTATTAATGCCCATCTGGCTTACCACAAAGAACTGCAAATTCATCCGGCCTAGCGTAAGTCAACACAGCTGCCAAGGCCTCTTTCCAGTTTTGCAAATCGCACGACTGGACAATCTCCTTCCAGTTCTTGGTAACAACAGCAGTGATGAGCTGGAATGGGGGGAAAAACACACACAAATGTCAATAGTACCTTCAAAATGCCCTTTCCCAATGTTGAGTATTTTGCTGGGCAACAAGGACCAGAACACATAAAAGACCCTTCCCCAATCAGATAATATCTAGAGACGTGGGGACTGTAGCCTCCAGAATTTGACCTCCACTAGCTTCCCTTGCAGGCAACTGAGTCCCAGCAGTGCATGTGGAAAGCTTCTTTAGAACTTGGCTCACATTGTATTTCATTATGTTCATGTGGTGCACTGAGTTGGTTTCACAGTTGGTCATACAGGTAGTCCTCAACTTACAACCATAATTGAGCCCAAAATTTCTGTTACTAAATGAAACATTGGTTAAGCCAGTTCTGCCGCATTTTATGATCTTTCTTACCCCATTTGTTAAGTGATTCACAGCAAGTGAATCACTGTTAAGTCAGTAACACGGTTGTTAAGTGAATCTGGTTTCCCCATCGACTTGTCACAAGGTCACAAATGGGGAATCAGGTGACCCCGGGACACTGCAACCTTCATAAATGTGACCCAGTTGACAAGCGTCCGAATGTTGATCATGTGACCATGGGGAATGTTGCAATGATCAGTGTGAAAAATGGTTATAAGTTACTTTGTTTTAGTGCTGTTGTAACTCTGAACGGTCAGTAAACAAATGGTTGTAAGTTGAGGACTATTTCTACATACCTACTTAGCTGTTTTCTGGATTGCCCGACTCTTGAAGGAGAAGGGAGATAATCAACAGATTTGCCATATGTAAGTTTTGTTATTGCTTCCAACTGAAAAAGTCCACCCACCCTGGTAATTTTTCCTCTTGTTTTTGCAAAGTATTTCTTCTGCGTCTTGGATAAAAGCTCCTGGCCACCAGCTATGGCGAGAATGATGGCATCAGCCATGCGATTGTCATGCAGGCAAAGGTCAACAGCGCTTTCAAAGTTCCCCATCAGCAAAGCCTGAGTGATCAAACCATCAATGTCTGCATTAAAGAGAACAAACAAACAAAGACAACGGTCATCACCATCACCACAATCTTATAATCAAATGTAGAACATTTTAGCTACACAATGCTATGTAAATTATATATATATATATATTTTACCTCCAGTGACAGAAATGTTAAAGGTTTCATTTGTGGGTTGCAGTGAATCAACCTCAGCATTTTTACTCTGGAAAGGAAAAATAATGTAGCTTAGTAGACTTTCAGAATGTGTTATTTAAATGCATCCTAATCATAAGGTACTTTATAATGAAAACATTATGACATAGTTGCACTGAAATGAGAACTGCCACTTAACAATAATTTGTTTTTTTTCTGCTCACTATGATGAGAAATTGTATATTTACAGTTCTATCTTTTGCCCATTCATCTTTGGGAATGAACAGCATGGGCAGGGATAGACAACCTTGGCTATTTTATGACTGGTGGACTTCAACTCCCAGAATTCCTGAGCCAGCCATACTGAGGGGAAAGGGAGTTTCCAAGCTGAGCCATGCTGGCTCAGGAATTCTGGGAGTTGAAGTCCACCAGTCATAAAAGAGCCAAGGTTACCTACCCCTGAGCATGGGACTTAATTTTGAGCAAACAGGGGCAGCACTGGGTGTATAATCATTGGACAAAACTCCCTATTATCAAATTGTCCTTTTGAAAGAACTATAAAGGTAGGAGCTGATGGCACACAATGGTATGTTTAGTGACGGATAGTCCTTGACTTACAATCCTAATGGAGTCTGCCCCTTATGGTTGTGAGTCGTGATGGTCATAAAACAGGCCATTGATCTCACTGACCCAATTTTACAACCTTTTTTTTTTTTTGCAGAAGCTGTTAAGTGAATGACCTAGCTGTTATGCAAACCAATTGTTTGCTTTGTGTTGTTTCCGGCAAAAATGTTGTCATGTGACTGCAGGACATGGGAAACAGCCCTAAATGTAGGCCAGATGGCTAGCAGCCTAAGTACAGCCATGTGTGTTTGTGTGTGTGTGTGTGGGGGGGGTTGGCCGTCAGAACTTTGAAACCAGGTAGCAAGTCCCCTCGGGAAGGCAGCTAAGAGACCAGTCGTAAGTTGAGGACAATCTATACGTACAAAATATACATCATAACATTCATTTCCAAAAAATCCAATCACAGCAGGCTACATCCTTGAAGCAAGGATGCTGCTAAGACAAATATGGCTAAACCAGGGGTAGGCAACCTCAGCTCTTTTATGACTCGTGGACTTCAACTCCCAGAATTCCTGAGCCAGCCATGCTGAGGGGAAAGAGAGAGTTTCCAAGCTGAGCCATGCTGGCTCAGGAATTCTGGGAGTTGAAGTCCACGAGTCATAAAAGAGCCAAGGTTGCCTACCCCTGGGCTAAACGCTGAAGGTAAGCTGAATACGGTCTCAGTTTAAAGACAATCCCAGATATACAAGTAGTCCTTGACTCACCATAAATGAGTCCAACATTTCTGTTGCTATGTGAGACATTTATTGAGTTTTGCCCCATTTTACGACCTTATTCGCCACAGTTGTTAAGTGAATCACTGCGGTTGTTAAATTAGTAAATTAGTAAAGTCAAGTGAATCAGGCTTCACCACTGACTTTGCTTGTCAGAAGGTTACCAAGTGATCACATGACCCCGGGACACTGCAACCATCGTAAATATGAGTCAGTTGCCAAGGGTCTGAATTTTGATCACGGGATCAAAATTGCTGCAATGGTTTTAACTGTGAAAAACAGTCCTAAGTCACTTTTTTTTCAGTGCCGTTGTTAACTTGGAATGGTCACTAAAGGGTGGAAGTCAAAGACTCCTGTACTAAGAGAGAGAAATGGAAACACAATCCCTGTGATTCCATCATATTCAACATAAGGTCAAAATCTACATTTCTTGCGTGGAAGAGTCCATATTTTGAAACAGCTGAAAATCTAGAGCCAAGTTCCTACATCTGATGACATGCTACTCCCTTTGTTCTGTCTCCTGAAGAGAAAGCTTGAAAATCTTCCTTCCTGCTCAATTGGTAGGGAGGCAGGAGGAAGGCAATTCAGGGAAAGGGATCCAGGCATCCTGGCATCCTGCTGTAACAGAGCTCCCAAGAGCCACAAACATTGGAATTTAGAAAGCCAACCAGGCCTGTTGCTCACCGGTGGGACATTTCCTTTCACAGCATGTGTAACTTGTGTTAAGTGGCATGTTTATGCAAGCTGCAAAATTCCATGTTTGCTGTAAAGGGTTTAGTGTACAGCAGAGGTCCCCAACCTTTTGTGCACCAGGGACCGGTTCCGTGGAGAGAGGTTTTCCCACCGGCCGGAGGGGGGACGTGGTTTTGTGTGCTGCTGCCTTCATCCTGCAGATGGTGCTTTGCTTGTTTGTGAGGACCGGTTGCTGGCATGCTGCAGCCTGGTGCTGGTCCATGGACTGGGGGTTGGGGACTCTTGTTCTAGTCCAACCCCTGCTCAAGCAGGAGACTCTAAACTGGAGGTCCCCAACCTTTTGGGCACCAGGGACCAGTTCCGTGGAGAGAGGTTTTTCCACGGCTGGAGAGTGCGTGATTTTGTTTGCTGTCTGCATCCCGCAGATGGTGCTTTGCTTGTTTATGCGGACCGGTTGCGGGCATGCCACGGCCCCGTACCGATCCATGGACCGGGGGTTGGGGACCCCTGGTGTACAGAACATACGGCCTTGCTCAGTTCTTAAGGACATTCTCCTACTCAGTCACCCTCTCTTGCTGGCATTTATCTCTATATAACATGACAACATCTGTTAAATTAAAGGTAGTCCTCGACTTAGGTCAATTCAGCCCCAAAATTTCTGTTGCTAGGTGAGATAGTTGCTAAGTGAATTTTTCCCCGTTTTACAACCTTTCTTGCCACCATTGTTAAGTAAATCGCTGCAGCTGCTAAGTTAGTAACATGGTTGTTAAGCGAATCCGGCTTCCCCATTGACTTTGCTTGTCAGAAGGTTGCAAAAGGGGATCACATGACCCGGGAACAGGTGCAACGGTCATAAATATGAGTCAGTTGCCAAAGTCTGAATTTTGATTACATGACCGTGGGGATGCTTCAGTGGTTCAGTGTGAAAAACGGTCATAAGTCACTTTTTTCAGCGCCATTGTAAATTTGAATGGTCACTAAATGAATTTTTCTAAGTCGAGGACTATATGTATTGACATGAGGCCACAGGTACAACACATCAGCAAAAAGGTTGGTTGGGAATCAGTGCAAAATCACTCACATTTACTACAAATGCAAGTCAGTTTGCACGTTTAGCACAAAAGGGGATGAATACCTCTGCCAACAGCTGGTCCTTAGCAGTTAGACCCTCTCCACCATCAGGTTGTGCAGGCTGTCCAGGTTCCTCGTGAGCCTTTCCCACAGATATGAAGAGGACGTTTCAAAGATTAAAGCAAAGAAACCAACTCCTTAACCACTGCAAATAGCCCCAGATAGCCCCAAGATTCCTCCAAAAGGTGTAATATTAGTAAACCTAGAGCGAGGATAGACAACCTTGGCTCTTTCATGACTCGTGGACTTCAAGTCCCAGAATTCCTGAAACACCTTGGCTCAGCTTGGAAACCTCTCCCTTTCCCCTCAGCATGGCTGGCTCAGGAATTCTGGGAGTTGAAGTCCATGAGCCATAAAGCGGCCAAGGCCTAGGCCAGAGGTAGGCAACCTTGGCTCTTTTATGGCTTGTGGACTTCAATTTCCAGAATTCCTGAGCCAGCCATGCTGAGGGGAAAGGGAGAGGTTTCCAAACTGAGCCACGCTGACTCAGGAATTCTGGGAGTTGAAGTCCATGAGCCATAAAAGAGCCAAGGTTTCCTACCCCTGACCTAGAGTTATAGCAAGGAGAAGAATCCTATTTTTTTTGCTTTTAACATTTCTCTTTCTGAAGAATCAAAATATCTACTGCTTGTTAAGATATAACAGAAAACCTTCAACCCACACCAATAAAGGAGCAAGGTGAAGCAGAGTTGCAGAAGCCAGAGTTAGGGACAAGAAACTTGATGATTTTGAGTCACGAATACAAAACTTAGTTTGAAAGGAAAGAAGACAACGGGGTAGTGGAGTAAAATGTAATTTCGGCATTCTGAAAGTTCGGCAGAACTTGTATGACCTTTTACACTGGTCTGTTTTTAATTTATTTATTTGCAAGCATTTTTAGACTTCTTGGTCATACAGATTTTAAAAAAGTAATACACTTTCTACAAGAACTGACAGAAAGAAGACATATTTGTGTACAGGAGTTTCAGAAGACCTGTCACTATGGAGAAGCATTGCCACGCAGGCATTTTCCTCAGTGGCAGAAAATCTCGAGGTTCTTGAAATTAGAGACTAAAATAAAACGATACAGATAGTCCTCGGCTTATGATCACAACTGAGCCCAACATTTCTGTTGCTAAGTGAGACATTTGTTCAGTGAGTTTTACCCCATTTTACGACCTTTCTTGCTCCAGCTGTTAAGTGAATCACTGCAGTTCTTAAGTTGGTAACATGACTATTAAGTGAATCCGGCTTCCCCATTTGACTTTGGTTGTCAGAAGGGCGCCAAAGGGGATCATGTGACCCCAGGATATTGCAACAGTCATAAACATGGACAAAATCCAAATTGGCAAAATCCGAATTTTGACACGGGGGATGCTGCAATGATCCAAAGTGTGAAAAATGGTCATAAGTCACTTTTTTCAGTGCCGTTGTAATTTGGAATGGTCACTAAATGAACTGCAGTTAAGTTGAGGACTATCTGTTCCGGCTTGTGTAAAATCCTCTGGAACAATGATTCTTAAACTGTTTGGCCCAATTACTCCTTTTCCTTATCTTGAATGCACAAATCCACAAAAAAACAGACTCTGTTATTTTACACAAATATCTCCACAAAAGCAGTCCCCAAACTGGGTCCTCAGTTCACAAACAAGCAATTACAAAATGTTCCATTGCCCCCAGGATATCTCCAAATATTCTCCTTGGGGGGTTGTTGTTGTTATTATTATTATTATTTATGGCACTGTTATATTAGCCAGGAGACCCACAATGCTAGTGCAGAGTAGTGGTTTGGCTTGCCAAGATACCGGCCCTGTTATAGGACACGCTTGTGCGTTTCCAAGGTGTGCCACAGGAGGGCGAGCTGTCTTCGTCCCAGAGAGAAAGAGGAGTGGCTCTTTCTGCAGCATCACCCAAGGCTGCCTCCCTTCCCGGAGCTGCCTCACAAATAGGCGCTGCAACTGGGAAGGTTCAGAGCTATCAGGAATCTGATTGCCTGCACAGAGCACCAGCTCGTCTCCCCACCGAAGTGGTACCCCTCTATCTACTTGCACAGAACATACTTTCAAACTGTTAGGGGGACAGAAGCGGAGGCGAGTGACAGGAGCTCACCCTGCCACGCAGTGCTTGGACTCGAACCGCTGGAGCAGAAATCATCTCCTACTAACTGAGCCACCGGCACCTCCTATTTGGGAGTAATTACCTCCAGTTTAAGAACCACTGTTCTAGAACATCTTTTGCCTACTTGGCACCTTACAGACATGTCATACTACAGCTCCCCTAACATGCATGTATATGAAGGGAATTGTAGTCTAGCGTATTTACCCAGTGCCAGGTCGAAGGAGCCTTTTTTCATAGTGAGACAAATTTGGGCTTGACCACACAGACTGGATTAAAGAACTTAGTAGATCTTAATAGGGTCTGCTAAGTGGTTAAGAAATCCATCACTAACTCTTTTTTGGGACATCCCCTTCACTTTCAGAGGTTTGACCTTGGGGTCTTTCCTGAATCTTTTGAAAGGGTGCAACAGACACTTGTTTCAAAGAAAACCTGAATACACCTTTCCTTGTACTGGATAATAAAATTCCTTCTGCTTTGTTTCACATATTTATTTAGCTATTCCAAAATTCATTTTTCAACTCTGTTCTCATTATGCAGAGTTACTGATGGATTTCTTAACCATTTAGCAGGCCCTATTATGCATGCATGCTTCCAGGAGAGAAACAGTGTTGAAATTGAGATAAAGATAATCTAAAATAAGCATACAATCTAATCTATCTACCTACCCATCATGTATAAAAGGAAAAAAATAAGATAATTACAAAGCAAAAAAAAAATCAAAATCAAATAACTCTGTAGGAAGAGAAAACACGCCATAAATAAGGAGTAAAAGAAGAAAAGGAGAAAGATAGACTATGGCTGCAGAGGAATGAGGAGGAAATACTTTGGGTTAAAATTAGGAGTCAAATTAGGATTTAGAGAAGTGTACAAGGGAGAATAGCAAGAGGATGCCCAGCTCAACTTGAGACAACATTTAGCTTCTGCACAGGACGAGCAATAAAAATTATAGCTTTGTAATCCTTTGAAATGATTCACATTGTGGATGGACCTGTATGTACCCAGTGTGTGAAATCATAGTTTAGGGTAAAACTAACAAATTGCAATGAATACTGGGTCTTTCACACATCCTTTAGAAGAGATCAGTGTTTTCTCTTAATGGGTGTTGCACTGACAGGATTTTAAGTTTTTTCACTATATAAGCACTGGTTTGCCACAAAGTCAAAGAGAATGCTACTTTCCAACCTTCATCAAATTAAAAAACAAGTTGTACTGGACTGTTTTTTTTTGTTTTTTTTTACCTCATCTTGATCTTTGCCCCGAGGACTCTCCTTAGCAAGAGTTGAAGAACTCTAAGGAAATAAAACAAGCGGTGTAACATTCATTTTGGAGAATAAAGCCAATTTTTAACTTCTTAAAAAAACAGGCAAAAAAATTAAATATTTTCAATTTATCTAAGTCAGATCTTGAGCGATAACACTGAAACAACAAAAGCAATACTAAAACCGCCATGATTTTTTTTCCTTCCCTGATCATCCATCTATCTTTGTAAGTTAGTTGACCCAGATGAATGATATAATCAAGCAAAAACCACTTTGTGATGTCTTTGAATAATAAAGACTAGTTTTTTTCGACTTGGGTCCACAAGAAATGGTGATTGAAACCAAAAAACCATCAAACCATGTTTTTTGAGCTGAGTGCACTGCATAGTCCTGGCATTAGCAGCAGTGGGAACGTTTACGCGGTGCAACTCAGGTGCGCACATGTTGTTTTGCTGCTGTTGTAAATGCTGAAAAATATGGATTGTGTAGGCTAGACATGACTTGTATTGTGAAGTTTTTGTATGCTTTGCAATTTTTAGCCAGAGATATCCTAAGCCCCAAAATTATTTCAAGAGTTCTTTCAGGCTAAAAAAGGTTGGGGAAAGGCTGCTTTAGACTAAGAAACTATCAGCAAAAAAAGGGATGATATTTCAAGCAATTTATTAGGCATTTCATAATTAGTTAATTTCATTAATTCCTAGTAATTCCTGAGCACTTTACTAATCAGAGAACAGGCTCTTTACAATTATCGAGAGGTGAAAGATTAGGCTAGTTCTTGCCATATCTATTTTCCCCATGATTTCTTTCAAACCAAACCCAAAAGGCAATTAATAAATGCTTCTAATGTAGTTCTTAAAAAGTGCAATATAGCAATATTTACCTTCTGTCCCAAACCATCCTTTTTGTACCCCAAGAGTTCCAGATATTTGGCACGCGAGTCTTCCTCAAAATGCACCTTCAAAAAAACAAACACACCAGAAAAGGCATTTGAGAGAGCGGCTAGTTTCTCATTGCATCCGCAGTACAAAATGCCTCTTTGCCAAACACTTAGTGTACAGTATGGTAAATTTTAAATGACACCTTGACAGAGGGCAACAAAATCAGTTATAAGGAACGGCTGCTGGAATTGGGTATGTCTAGTTTAATGAAAAGAAGGACTAGGGGTGACATGATAGCAGTGTTCCAGTATCTCAGGGCCTCCCACAAAGAAGAGGGAGTCAAGCTATTCACGAAAGCACCTGAAGGCAGGACAAGAAGCAATGGATGGAAACTAACCAAAGAGAGAAGCAACCTAGAACTAAGGAGGTATTTCCTGACTGTTAGAACAATTAATTGGTGGAACCTTTTGCCTCCAGAAGTTGCTCCAACACTGGAAGATTTTAAGAAGAGATTGGACAACCATTTGTCTGAAATGGTATAGGGCAGAGGTCCCCAACCTTTTGGGCACCAGGGACCGGTTCCGTGGAGAAACCGAGGTGGCGCAGCAGTTAGAGTGCAGTACTGCAGGCCACTTTAGCTGACTGTGTTCAGCAGGTCAGCGGTTCAAATCTCACCGGCTCAAGGTTGACTCAGCCCTCCATCCTTCCGGGATAGGTAAAATGAGGACCCAGATTGTTGGGGGCAATGTAAATGTATATATACATTGCTTACTGGTGTACACCGCTTAGGGAGTGCTTGCACTTAAAGCGGTATATAAGTCTCATAAATAAAATAAATAAAAATAAATTTTCTGCGGACCGGAGAGTGTGTGGTTGTGTGTGCTGCCTCTATCCTACGGATGGGGATTTGCTTGTTTGTGCAGACCAGTTGGTGGTCCTGGTCCACGGAATGGGGGTTGGGGACCCCTGGAGGGGTTTCCTGCCTAAGCAGGGGGTTGGTCTAGAAGACCTCCAAGGTCCCTTCCAACTCTGTTATTCTATTCTATTCTATTCTATTCTATTCTATTCTATTCTATTCTATTCTATTCTATTCTATTCCTGTTCTATATTTTATTCTATATTCTATTCTATTCCTGTTCTATATTTTATTCTATATTCTATTCTATTCTATTCTATTCTATTCTATTCTATTCTATTCTATTCTGTTCTGTTCTATTCTATTCTGTTCTGTTCTGTTCTGTTCTAGCTCTACATGGGGGAAAATGGTAGGAAAATGACGGCAAACTGGATTTATTTTCTTTCTGCCTTCATTTATTCTTCTTCCTGAAAGAAGAGTAGTTTCATAGGTTAACTCAGCAAAATGCCATCTTTTCAAGATCTATTATTTCTAGGGATCAACCCATTTTCCAGGAGATGGAAACTATCTGGGGGAAGATTACTGTGAGCTGGCCAGATGGACTGCTTAGGGGGCTGATTTTTAGAAATATTGGTCCTTCTGAAAGTCCTCAGAAAACCAACATCGTCCCCCCAAAACTGCTGTCTTGTAAGCCCCATCCTACACGATCTACTTCTCTCCACACAGGTAGATCATTAAGAACTGCCTCCACCTTGTCAGAACCGTCAACAAATAGGAAGTGAAGGTCTGTTGCTTTACAATTTGCAGAGGCATGCATAAATCACCTCTTCTCAAATCACTAAGCAGCTATTTGTCATCTCCGGGATTTGCATGGCTGCTTCAAAATGATTTTTGGCAGTCTGTGAATGCCTTTTTCTCATTGAAGCAGGACTCTGCATGCCAAGACAACGAAGAGCAGATTCTGAAGCAGCCACCCAAACTCGCAAATGACACGGCGGCTTTAATGATTCAAAAGGAAGTGCTTTTAATGTACTATTCTGGGATGTGAACCACTGCTTTTGAACACTTCATAAATCTCTAGTCGAGTATAGCAAGGACAATATAACTTTATCTTTTGATTCATCATCTTACTTGGTAGCATGTGATTATCAAGTGGATGAAGTTGTGGCTGGTCCAGCATGGACACTTTCACTACAGGTAATCCTCGACTTATGACTGTCGTGGAGCCTGCTCACTGCAGCTGTGAGCTATGAAAGTTGTAAAAACAGGCCAGGCACACGATCCACTCAATTTTATAACCATTTTTTGAGCAGTCATTAAATGAACATTGCAGTTATTAAGTGGACCAATGGTTTGCTATGGGCATAGTTTTAGCCAAAAACTAAAAGTGAGGTCCAGTTCTTGGCAAAACCATCATAAAACATAGTCACATGACAACGAGATGTTGCAAACGGCAATAAATGCAGCAAAGTTGCTGAGCAGTCGAAGTTTGTTCACGTGCCTCCTTTAAGGGGTGGGGTGAGCACTGGAATTTTGAATCTGGGTCGTAAGTAGATCCAAAATAGGTCTGTTGTAACTCAGAATGCTTGTGAAAGCAACTGGTCATAACCTGAGGACTTACGTATTCGGGGGCCCAATGCCGGATCCAAAAATATTTCCCATTCTGGATCTGACTACTGCATGCCTCTTGTTTTTAAAGTGAGTGAGAGATTCTGTATGCAATCAACCCTGAAAATCACCTTGAGGAATGACCACACATTCTTCTCAAAGTCATTTCTGGCTGCATCGATTTTCTTCTGACAGTAGCTGATGAAGGCTTCGGCCTGAACAGCTTCTTGCAGCTGGTTGGACCGGTTCAAGAATTCCTTCTCAGTGACAACTTGACTGATGTAGACGTGGTAGTGCTGTTGGGGATGTTCTCCTTGCTGTTGAGTCTTGCTGTCCTCAAACGTGACCAATCTCCCTCCAAACTGGAATTCAAGCAATCAGTGGCACTGTTACCCACACATAGCCATACAACTAGGTTGGGGTAGGCAACCTTGGCTCTTTTATGATTCATGGACTTCAACTCCCAGAATTCCTGAGCCAGCATGGCTGGCTCAGGAATTCTGGGAGTTGAAGTCCATGAGTCATAAAAAAGCCAAGGTTACCTATCCCTGAATTAGATAATCTTAAAGCAAGCACTTTTGGGTTCTCAACATGAGTTATGGGAATTGAAACAATTTGCATCACAAGAAATTGACAATATGAAAAATACTTGTGAATACTACATATATATATACACACACACACACACGCACACACGCACACACACACAATGTTGGGTGGAACACCCGGTCTACCAAATACAAAGCAATCTGTTCTGCATTTTGCTCCAGTCTAGGAGCATTTTGCAGGCGGACGTCACTACTGTGATAAGCGTAAATTTAAAATTTTGGGCTGACAAATAGTTAAAGGGAGACTAGTATAGCTATTTCAAGCTCGTTAGCTCCCATCAGCTAGTCTTACCCCTCTGGGATTCAAAGCTGGGCAGCTTGCATGTTAGGCAGCTGTAGCTGATGAGAACTAAAGAGCTTAAAATAGCTATATTAATCTTCCTTTAACTATTTGTCAGCCACAAACTTTTGAAAATATATTTTTGTTTAGGAGGCCAACTCTCCTTTTAGGCCATACAACATCAATTATTAACACATAAATGTTGAATTCAAACAAATCTAAAATAAAAGCCATTCCTGAAAAATATAACCATGAATTCAACAATAGTGAACAATTAAGGCAAAATGTAAATCATAAATGTTTCGTGTAGTTGCTGTTAGCTCCTTAATTATGCTACAAGTACGGTAATGTATTTGTCTGTCCTTGTGATAAAAAGGTGACATTAAAAGGTGGGTTTCCTGTTTATTATTAACCAGAAATAAGGCATTCTTGGAGGTTTATACCAAATGCAAAAATGAAGGATATCCTCTACAGATTGTCTATGGAAATTCTCAGTGATCCAGGTCAAGGTTATCTTAAAGGTGCTTTTCAAAACATCTTCCAGAAAAAAACAAAGTCCAGTTGCCTTTTGAAAAGCATCTGTGGTACCCCATTGATTCTGTGTTTGGAGACCCCTTTAGTTATAAGAGCCATGGTGGCACAGTAGTTAGAATGCAGTACTGCAGACTACTTCTGCTGACTGCCAGCTGCCAGCAGTTTGGCAGTTCAAGTCTCACCGGCTCAGGGTTGACTCGGCCTTCCATTCTTCCGAGTTCGGTAAAATGAGGAGCCAAATTGTTGGGGGTCAATAGGCTGACTCTGTAAACCCCTTAGAGAGGGCTGTAAAACACCGTGAAGCAGTATATAAGTCTAAGTGCTATTGCTATAAGGTAATCCTTGATTTACGACACTTGGGACCAAGGTGATTTAGAGAATCACGCCTGATTTTATCACCTTGTTTGCCACAGTTGTTAAGCAAATCGTCGCAGCCGCTAAGTGAACCATGTAGTCATTAAGTGAATCAGGCTTCCCCCATCGAGTCTTGATTGTTGAAAGCTGGTTGCAAAGGTTGCAAATGGCAATCACATGACCCCAGTGCCACATGACCTTACAATGCCACTGTAACTTTGAACGGTCACTAAACAAATGGTTGTAATTCAAGGGTTTCCTGTACTATATTTGGTTTATGACACTCTGCTTTGTTCTCCTGGTCAGCCATGAACTTTGTTTTATATATATATATATATTATTAATTTTTATAGGATTAGGAATAGGGTGGGGTCAAGATTTTTTAAAATAACAATCTTAATATTTAGCAAACAGCATGTTGTCTGGGTTCATGTATTTAAAAAGAGTAATTATCATAAACAACATGTTAATTAATTGCTTGATAGTTTTCCTCTTACTAGTATATATTCAATGTTACACATCACATTCCTTTCTCTCTAACTTGTTTTTCTAGCCATGGATAGAAATTATCCCATGTTCTAAAATACACTGAGTCTTCTTTCTCTTTTATCTTTAAAGTCAGTCTATCCATTTCTGCACACTCTAAAATTTCCTTAATTAGTTCTTCTTCAGTTGGTAAATTTTCATTTTCCCAATATTGGGCCAATGCAATTCTTGCTGCAGTTAATACACGTAAAATTAAATATATACAGTCTTTATAATTTGCTCCTATTATTCCTAACAAAAATAATTCTGACTTAAAATCTATTTGTTTTTTGGTCATTTTCTCCAACCGTAAGTGTATTTTTGACCAACATCTTTTAGCTTTAGGGCATGACCACCAGATATGGTAATAGGTACCTGGCTTTAACTTTGTTTTTTAATATGCATTGCTTTTCTTTTTTTTATCTTTAAACTGCCCAGAGTGTCAAGCAATTAGGTGGTCTTGGCATTGGATAAATAAATTTTTAAAGAATTCTTCTGCCTGGAGGCCTTATGCTACACAAGGGTTTCTCTAATATAAAACCACAGATTTCTATGAAGCATCCTGCAGAAAACTTAGTACTCTCTAAGTAACAAGTCTCTTCTTTTTATTTAAACAGCAGAGACTTACGGAGAAAGATGCTCCCACTGGTCGGCGAATCCACTTGGGTGGTTTCTTCAGAGGCAGAACTGTGCTCTGTGGGATGCTCTGTTGTGGCAGCTGCAATGGAGGAAGGGGTTGCCCCGTTCCAAAGGGATCAAGATTGCCAAAAGATGAGGAGAGCTTTTGAAAACAGAAGAGAAAGAGAAAACAATTCCTTTGTCAACACTGCTAACATTGGATGGTCTTGCTTTGACAACATATGAAGATGCAGCCTTTTTCTTTCTTCTACTCTTAGAATTAGATGATGCTGGGGGAGGAGGAAAGTGATGGGAGTTAGACATAGCAATATTGTACTAGTGCAGGTGTTCTCAACCTTGGCAACTTTAAGACTTGTGGACTTCAACTCCCAGAATTCCTCAGCCAGCAAAGCTGTACTAGTGTGTGAATTCAGAGCTTGAAATAAGAGATGAGAAGAAATGGCGGGTTGGAGTAAAGGAGGGAAAGCCTACATTTCAAACTAATTGGAGAATGTGATTTATGATAGTTAATTAGAGGAGGGAATTGTGTTTGATATTACATGCCAAGGGGAGGGGAATCCAGATTTTGGCTTCGCTTATGTATGTGCCAAATCTATGCTGCTCAAATAAAGATTCTTTAAAGTAAACAATGCCTCAAAAGTTCTTTGAAAAGTTTCATCTGTCGGAACCATGACATCCTTGTTCTTTAGCTCAATCCAATTCCAGGGCAAACCTTTAGGTCTGAATCTGATCACCATTTATCAAATGTGCTTTCTACTATTGTTTTTAAAATCAAAGGATTATAAGTAAGGAATTTTAAAGGGATTAGAACAATCTCTCTGAACCTTGGCAACTTTTAAGAGGTCTGGGACTTCAAGTCTCAGAATTCCCCAGCCAGCATGGCTGACTGGAGAATTCTGAGAATTGGAAGTCCATATATCTTAAAGTTGCCAGGGTTGAGAAATAGCAGATTAGAGAGTGAAATGAACACAGCCAAAGAACCACTGGTACTGATCAACATCCAATCTGTTCCTCCTTGGCAGGGGGACATGTAGAGTCTCATTAAGAAACCAAGAACACTGAGTTCTGAGACAGCCAATATTGCGATCATTTATTTTTATGCATTTCATCATAAACTGCAAAACCTGCCTTTTCCCCCATTTTCAAAAACAAGATACCTTATCCACTTGTTTTTGTCGCAGGCTGTCTGTGCTTCCTCCCATGATTGAGTAAACACTGATCCTCCCATCAAAAGAAGCAGCGGAGAGAAGGGCGGGATTCCTGGGACACCACTGCACATCAAAGCACCACTGGGTAGAGGTAGGAAGCTCATACAACACCTGCGATCGGAAGAAAAGAAGGAGGACAACTAGGGCTGCCAAAATGAAGAACTGCAAAATTGGTCAGTGACATTCCTTAATATTCTGAGCAAGATGTAGAATTAAGGATATACTCTCCCGCAACCTCCAATTCTCCATCACATCCTTGCATACTCTCCCTGACCCTACAGTGCACCTTCCCGAACCCTCCCCCTCAGCTCCTTTCTTGCCTAAAAGCTATCAGGGACTTGCGATTTCCTGCTGGCTTCCCCACTGACTTGGTTATTGGAAGCCGGGAGGAAATTACTTTGCCTAACAGCCATTAGATTCAGTTAATAATGGCAACCAGGACCACAAAGTCTGCTACTGATAAATGATGCAGGTGTACTTTACAAAAACATTGCTTAGCAATGGAAATTCTGGTAACAACTGCCACTGTAAGTCGAGGATCCTCTGTATTTACAATTAATGGACTTTAAAAGGAACTCTGTGTTTTATTATGTATCCTTGTTTCATTAATCTCTTCGGTAGATAAACAGTAACATGCAAGCATTTCCAAGCCAACCTGCACCCAAAATCTCATCACCAAATACATAGTAAACATTATATTCAAGTTATACAAATAGTTTAAAAAAAAACCCAAACGAGTTAAATTGAATAGAACAAATCATATTCACAAGAGGAATGTTTATTTTTTTCATTAGGATCCTAAAAATTTAAAAAGTTGGTTGTCACAAGTTGTCTTTGATGCAAGTTAATAATGAAAAGGTGATGAGCTCTTTATGCACTACCCAAAAGACATATTTTTCAATTTGTAAAATTTAAATGTTACTTAAAAGCAAATACCTCTCCTGTATTTGGATTGGAACAAAGGATTTTAGAGTCTTTTCCACAGCTCAGCAGTAATTCAGGATCTGCCATACTCCAAGCAATTGTCAAAATACCTCTGTGTAAAATACATACATATATATATATATATATACCAAATGCTTATCAAACTAACCAAACATTGCAAATATGTAACCGATATCAATGGGACATTAAAATTTGAAAGAGGAAAGATAAAAACTAAAAGGACTTTTGTCATAAACAAAAACTCCAAAATAATTAACCAAAATGCTCAAGAGTCCCTTTTTGGCCCTTTTCTCAAATAAAATAAAATCTTATTCCGAATGCTGATTGAAAATACGGTATGTATCTACAATCATCTGCTTTGAATCCTGTATATTTATTTTCCAATATTATTTCATCGTTGTTTTGCCAAACCCCTCCCCCCCCGTATGAAAATCTGTCAATATATTTTGGCCTAACATCTCCACCAGTCTTTCTAACCCAGGGGTAGGCAACCTTGGCTCTTTTATGACTTGTGGACTTCAACTCCCAGAATTCCTGAGCCAGCATGGCTCAGCTTGGAAACCTCTCCCTTTCCCCTCAGCATGGTTGGCTCAGGAATTCTGGGAGTTGAAGTCCATGAGTCATAAAAGAGCCAAGGTTGTCTACCCCTGTTCTATCCCCATATATCAAATCTGTATTTTATGCACCTGGCATGGTTTTCAAGAACACGAAGAGGAGAAGATGCAAATCTTAGATCCCACATCTGGATTACGGGTAGCCGGTCATCTTCTGAAGCCAGAACCATTTGCGTGGCAACCTCAGGATGCCATTCCAGCCCTGAGCAATGCATCTGAAATGGTATAATTAGTGTTCATTTTTTTAAATAACAACAACAACAACCCTGTAATCCCTTGCATTGGGATGGAGTCGAGGTGACTGAATGCAGCTGAGCGTTTACTGGCTGGATGTCCATCCTGACGCCTACATGGAGTTCACAGCAATTTTTTTTTCCTTTATGCCCAGAGAGAAAAATATCTGCCACTATGTAGGATCGAACTCGCAGTGACTGTGAGGCAAGAGTTCCACCTCTAGGCCACCACGCTGCTCATTATAAAACTATTTCTCTTTAGTTAGTACATGGCTTCTCTTACTTAGAGATACTGTAGCATCCTATTAATTTTCAGCAACACTTTTCCTTGTTTAGCAAAACATATTCAACATGTAGTCCTGCATGCTGACTGCAATAACTGCCAGGGCAGCAATCAACGTGCAGAATGTGAAAATCGCAAAGAGATCAGAAGGGTAATCCCCTTGCATATTTATGAAACAGCTGGCTCATAACAAGCCAAAAATTAATCTGTAAGATGGGGTGATTAGGCACACACCCTGGCCACATACCATAAATGAACATGTGCTCTACCTACATGTGGCTTCACGTAGACGTAGAGGATCATCTCAAATACTTAAAAACGAGGGGGGAGAATGTAAGGATTACACAATCTGCACTGTATCAAACTGTAACTTCCACAACAAGTTATTTTACATTGGTGATGAAGGACAGTTTGCACTTATTCTCTATGAACGGTAAAGATAACCTGGCCAAGCAGCTGACTGAATATTTTCTAAATTGAACGCTTCACCTTTTTAAAGTCTTTACATGTATTGCTGTTGCTTTAATATGCAGAAAAGGGGAAAAAGAAAAAACAAAATACTGTATTATGCAATATATTTGGCCAAATTTTCAGACACAGCTTTAAAATCTGAGCACACTGAAAACACTGGTAAGTGTTTCCATTACACTAATACTGAGCCAGCCCATAAAGAAAATACTGAGCATGTCTAATAATCGTGGAGTTGTAATCTGGGGTTGCACTATTTTTCCAACATTGAAGAGGAATCTTTCCTACTGCTCCATGTTGGCTAAATTCGTAATTCCTCATACAGAAACAAGCTCCATATTTTTGATATTCAGTTCAGAAGTATGTTCATGTCTTTAAACTATTCTGATCTTTCTAACACTCTTTTAAGAAACTTAAAATCAAAATAGGACAATAATAAGAGAAACCCACATTGTATCAGCCTTTTTGTAAATGTTTTACATTTACCATATTAACAAGCCATCTGCTTTTAAACCCTCTGAGATATCCAATAAAGGCAAAAAAGAATCTTTTGTTGAATTAACCTCATTTGAAGAGTGTGGAAGCCTATTTACTATTTATTGTCCCTCACACGTTGTAATAAAATTCCTGCCATGTCAAAGTCTCATACGATGCAGCAAGACTTAAAACTTTTCATTTAGTGACTATCTGAAGTGACAACAGCATTGAAAAAAAATCACTCATGACTTTTTTTCACATTTATGACAGTTGCAGCATCCCAATGGTCACATAATCAAATTTCAGACGGTTGACAACTGACACGTTTATGACGGTCGCAATGTGCTAGGGTCATGTGATCCCCTTTTGCAACCTTCTGGCAAGCAAAGTCAATTGGGAAGCCAGATTCACTTAACAACTGTGTTACTGACTTAACAACTGTGGTGATTCACTTAACAACTGGAGCAAGAAAGATAGTAAAACGGGACAAAATTCGCTTAACAAGTGTTTCGCCTCGCAACATAAATTTTGGGCTCAATTGTGGTCATAAATCAAGGACCACCTGTATATCCATCTATTTTAGCAGATTCTGCACAAAGCAGAACGTTGGGCTAGATAACCCAAGTTCCTTCCAGAGCTGGATTTTGAGTGGGAAAAAGCCAAGGGTATTGGAGGATAGGGATATAACTGTACAGCAAACTATACTGTTGGCGAATCTTTGAAACACTCATTAGATAAGGAAATTTGTAACCTCCCCCGAAAAAGAGAATTTAATGGGCTAATAGCATCCCCATGCCCATGTGATCAATACTGACAACTGGGTAATATTTATGACAGTTACAGTACCCTGGGGTCATGTAATTAATTTGTGCAGCCTTCTGACAAGCAAAGTCAATTGGGGAAGCCAGATTCACTTAGCCATCATTTAGTTAAGTTACTACCTTAACAACTCCAGTGATTTACTTAACAACCGTGGCAAAAAAAAGCTTGTAAAATGGGGCAAAACTCAATTTAACAACTGTGTTGCTTAGCAATGTAAATTTTGGGCTCAATTGTGGTTGCAAATCAGGGGTTTTCAAACTTGGCCCTTTCATGACTTGTGGACTTCAACTCCCAGAATTCCTCAGCCAGGCACATGTGCCTGGCTGAGGAATTCTGGGAGTTGAAGTCCACAAGTCATAAAAGGGTCAAGTTTGAAGACCCCTGTTGTAAATCAAGGACTACCTGTAACTTTCTAAATTATTCCTCCAAATTAATTTTTGCCTGATCTGATGCATTTAAGATATAAATTTAACTCCAGAGCTGAATAGCTACCCGATTGCTGTGGTCGCTGACTTTGATGATCGGCTCGTTCTTCCTGAGATCCCACACAGAGGCACGTCCACTGGGGCTTGCAGAGGCCAAGATATGTTGGACTTGTCTGTTCCATGCAATACAGCTGATATCTTCAGGAGGCTGTTTGGGAAAAAAAAGTTTGGAAATTGATGCAACCTTCCTTAGCTTAATACTTACTGTGCACCATGAACGAGTTAGCTTTTTCTCTCCTGGAAAGATGTTGAGATGTTTGAAAAAAAATCAGAGAAGAGCAACTAAGATGATCAGGGGCCTGGAGACATAAACATACGAAGAACAGCTACGGGACTTGGGTTTGGCTAGTCTAAAGAATAGAAGAAATAGGGGAGACATGATAGCAGTGTTTCAGTATCTGAGGGGCTGCCACAAGGCAGAGGGGGGCAGGTTGTTCACCAGAGCACCAGAGGGAAGGACGAGAAACAATGGTTGCAAACTGATCAAAGAGAGAAGCAATCTGGAATTAAGGAGAAACTTCCTGACAGTGAGGACAATTAACCAGTGGAACAGCCTGCCTCCAAAAATTGTGGGCGCTCCCTCACTGGAGGTTTTTAAGAAGAAATTAGACAGTCACTTGTCTGAGATGGTATACGTTCTCCTGCATGAGCAGGGGGCTGGACTAGAAGACCTCCAAGTTCCCTTCCAGCTCTATTCTATTCTATTCTGTTCTGTTCTATTCTAATTTCTATTTCTATTCCTATTCCATATATTCTACTCTACCCTACTCTACTCCTAGTACTTAATGCAAAGAACACCAAGCAGGAAGTAGATGGAACAGAAGAATAATTGGGACAAACTTGTCAAGTCATATTTACAAGATGGTATTAAGAATCCAATGTGCCTTCAGAGTCCACACAGGACCTGGATACTCTCAACAAATACAAGGCTATGTATTTGCTATTTTAAGGAACATGATTCTTCTCTGACTCAGTGGTATCTTATTTGTTTTTAACCAGTTTTTCTAGAATAACCTGCAAACACCTAAGAATGTTTGGGCATTTTAGAACATTCATACACCGTGGGAGAAATCAAATGTATTTTCTTTATTTGAAAAGTCAACACTGGGCACCCACTAAATCTAGAGACAAGGCAAATCACCAGAGAGGTAAGGAAAATACAACTGTGCCTAGCATAAGTGCAACACAATCTCCAGAGACTTCACCCCACTGATCCAGTGATTTTCATAGCCCTCGCAGACATTATATAAACCCCATACCTGAGTCTTGGTTCCCGGCGTCATTGGCGTTGCAAAGTTATTTAAATCCCAGATGTAGATCTCCGACTCATTTGCACCAGAAGCTACTAGATTTGTCTGTAACATAAAGCAAATGCTAAAAATTAAACTGCATTAAAAGCACCTTTTTCGAGGAAGCGAATGCCCATGAGTTTTAATTAATTTACCAAATTTATTTGGTTGCCCATCTCACAAAAAAGTGACCATGATGGCTCGGGAACAGCTGGAATCTACGATCTATCAAATTTGGAGGGAACTTGCAGGAGCTTGCAACATGACAACTTTAAGACTTGTGGACTTCAGCTCTCAGAATTCCTCAGCCAGCATAGCTGGCTGAGGAATTCTGGGAGCTGAAGTCCACAAGTCTTTAAAGTTGTCAAGGTTGCAGGCCCCTGGGAACCAGAATGGGGAAGTTTGATCTGAAATGTTTTGAAGACACTATGAAAAGACATAAGGAAAATCTAACCTGGAATAGATTAACATCCAGAGCTCTTACAGGTCCCGTATGCTTGTCGTTCTGAGCAATCATGACTTCGGTTTCACCAGCTAATATCTTAGCTGGATCATACAAAATTATATTCCCATTTTCGCCACCAGCAATAAGAACCCCTGAAAGAGTCCCATCGGATATTGTTGTGTGAGGACTCCAGATCAATTTGTGATACCTGCAAGACAATGTCAAGAACACATGGATAAAAGTCATTGAGAAATTTTTTCCCCCTATCAGCTTTCTTCCATTCTTCTGAGAGGTGATATTATTTTCACTGGAACATGAAACAAACAGATTGGATGATAGCATCCTATATTAGGTAAAAGAAAGTCAGTTTGATTAAGCACCGGACTAAAACCTATGAAGACTGTGAATTCTAGTCCTGCTTTAGACATGAAATCAGCTGGGTGAGTTTGGGTCAGTTCCTCTCCCCCAGATTAGGAAGAAGGCAAGGCAAAACCACCTCCAATACTATTGACATCTAGGCAGCCATTAAGAGTCAAGTCTGACTGGAGGGCATCTAATTTATTTAAAAACTTTAGACTGAGCTGAGGAACTTGGGGCCCTCAAGCTGTGCTTCAGGTCAACAGCATGGTGTACTGTGAACCGTAGATCAGCAACAAGCAAAGGATACAAATTCTTCACCTATCTACTTTTTAGTTTTCAAAAAATTGGGCATTTTGTTTGCTTTAAGACAGGGCTCTTCAAACTTGGCCCTTTTATGACTTGTGGACTTCAACTCCCAGAATTCCTCAGCCAGCGTGCCTGGCTGAGGAATTCTGGGAGTTGAAATCCAAAGTCATCAAAGGGCCAAGTTTGAAGACCCCTGCTTTGAGATGTTTGAAGAGGAAAAGATTGATCTATTTGTGTAAAAAAGCGCAAACAACACTTAAAATCAAGATGCCTCTGGTGATAAGGACTGTACAGAAGAACCAGGGTTCAAGGCTTCAGTAAAATGTTGGTTTAGAGGTAAGCAGAACTCCATTTACTGATATTCTCAGAACTGACATCAAAAGCCGAGACCAATTTCACTAAAAAGATCAGTAGAATTCTTCCTGTTAATTAAATGCACCCAGTAGACAATTCCAGGTTCAATAGCTTTAAACCAGTGCCCAGGGCTAGTCAAGAAGACCACGATGGCTTGTTCAACATAGTATGGCTTGGTGTGACCTGTGAAGTCAGCTGAGTGATTGAAAAGGCAGATGAAGCTAGCGCATATGCCATGCATTGCTTGCTGTCAGCCTGACATACTTAACGGGAGGAGGGATTGTGGGGTGGGAGATAAGGAGTTGGCAGGTTAGCATGAGAGGAATGTGGGAGCTGCCGGCCACCTTAGGGTCACATTATGGAATGCAAAACCATCCAGCCCAGGAACATAGGGACTGTTACCCAAACAATTTGTTAGCACCTAATTCAGGGGTAGGCAACCTTGGCTCTTTTATGACTCCTGGACTTCCACTCCCAGAATTCCTGAGCCAGCATGGCTCAGCTTGGAAACCTCTCCCTTTCCCCTCAGCATAGCTGGCTCAGGAATTCTGGGAGTTGAAGTCCACAAGTCATAAAAGAGCCAAGGTTGCCTACCCCTGACCTAATTGGACACTCACAGATAACCAGGGGGAAGGTGAGAACAAGGAAAAAGTTAACTATATGCTTCCTGCGTGAAAATCCCAGATCTAGCTTTGCTTCTTCTGTAACCACTTGGCTTTAGTAGAGTGTACTTTCGCTAATAATGGATCAGAGAGTTTTTCTTTTCTAACTGACCAAGTTGGGACAGTTGGCAGAGCCTTACTTTCTGCTGCCTAAATCCAGGCATCCTGAAATCTAAGAAACCTGCACTTGTTGCATAATTCTTGCATCTTCCTTCTCCACTCCCATCTCCCAGGCCCCGCCAGTACAGAATAGGTAGTTATGTATCAAGTTTATTTCCTGCCCACCTCACCACAAGGCGACTCAAAACATTAAAAATAAAAATATACACAGGTGGTCCTCGGCTTACAATCATTTGTTTAATGACTGTTTGAAACTACAAAAACACCGAAAAACGGATGCAGCTTTTAATTGCCGTCCATACTCTGACATTTCCCTTTCTATTAAAAAAAAAAAAAAAGGTAAAGAAGTCCCTCGGATTTTACCCTATTCCTGATAGTCGCTGTTAATCCTAAGGGGAGGTGTTCATCTCTGTTTCAAGGCCAGAGCCAGCACTGTCTGAAGACATTTCCACAGTCACAGGGTCAGCATGATGTATCCTTCCCATCAAAGTGGTACCTATTTATCTACTCGCATTTGCATGCTTTCGAACTGCTAGACTGGCAGCAGCTGGGGCAAGGACAGGAGCTTACCCCGTTGCATGGAGCTCGGGTCTTGAACTTTTCCAGCTGACATGCCCAGCCTTTTAATTGCTGGGCCATCGTGCCACCCTTTCTCTTTCCATGGTGCGCTGCAATTCTCAAAAGCAGAAATAAATCTTTAAAAAACCCAGGACTTACCTATGAGGGGAGGAGAAAGTGGCACAGGACTTCATATCCAGTGCTGGGTCTGTCAAATCAAGTTCAAATATTTCTAGGGAAGCATTGGTACTGAAAGTGGCATCACACTGCTGAGCAGAGGTACCTGCAAGAAAGACACATTCATTCACTTAATGTTGTTGTTAGTTGCGAAGTCGTGTCCGACCCATCGCAACCCCATGGACAACGTTCCTCCAGGTCTTCCTGTCCTCTACCATCTTCTGGAGTCCATTTAAGCTCACGCCTACTGCTTCAGTGACTCCATCCAGCCACCTCATTTTCTGTCGTCCCCTTCTTCTCTTGCCCTCAATCTTTCCCAGCATTAGGCCCTTCTCCAGGGAGTCCTTCCTTCTCATTAGGTGGCCAAAATATTTGAGTTTCAACTTTAGGATCTGGCCTTCTAAAGAGCAGTCGGGGTTGATCTCCTCTAGGACTGATCGGTTTGATCACCTTGCAGTCCAGGGGACTCGCAGGAGTCTTCTCCAGCACCATAGTTCAAAGGCCTCAATTCTTTGGCGCTTAGCCTTTCTTACAGTCCAACTTTCACAGCCATACATTGCAACTGGGAAAACCACAGCCTTGACTATACGTTCTTTTGTTGGCAGGGTGATGTCTCTGCTTTTTAGTATGCTGTCTAGATTTGCCATAGCTTTCGTTCCCAGGAGCAAACGCCTTTTAATTTCTTGGCTGCAATCCCCATCTGTGGTGATCTTGGAGCCCAGGAAGATAAAATCTAATTAACTTAATACTGACATTATAAAAAGGGCACCTGCGAATTCCAATGTAATTCAGAACCTTAAACTAATGTGGTTCTGCAGGTCTGCTTAAAAACTTGTCTTCTTCTAAAGAATAACCCTTTGGCTGTTTATGACTAGGATAAGCGACACATTGTATGTCCAACTTTTCTGTGGGCAGATCAGCCGGTTTTCAGTATCTGTGCTTGAATTAAAAAAACCCCACATTTTGGATTTTATGGTTTATGCCTAAAAGGAAAAAGGGCTGCATTTTTCCATGTATGGACATCTGCTCTGGACAAGGCGGCTATACAGGTAGTCCTCGACTTACAACAGTTCATTTAGTGACTGTTTGAAGCTACAACTGCACTGGGAAAAGTGACTTATGACCGTTTTTCACACTTATGACCGTTGCAGCATCCCCATGGTCACGTGATCAAATTCCAGACACTTGACAACTGACTCATAATTATGACGGTTGCAATGTCACCTTTTGCGACCTTCTGGCAAGGAAAGTCAATGGGGAAGCCAGATTCGCTTAACGACCATGTGACTACTTAAGAACGGCAGCGATTCATTTAACAACTGTGGCAAGAAAGGGCCATAAAATGGGGAAAAACTCAAGTTAGCAAATGTTTTGCTTAGCAACATAAATTTTGGGCTCAATAGTGGAGGAGGATCACCTATATAGCCATCTATTTAGAATATTTTAGCAGATTCTTCACAAAGCAGAAGGTTGGGCTAGAGAGCCCAAGTTCCTTTTTCCCTTTTGAGTGGGAAAAAGCCAAGGGTATTGGAGGATAGGGATATACCGTATTTTCCGGCATATAAGACGACTTTTGAAAGTGTTGAAATCGGCGCCGAAGTTGGGGGTCGTCTTATACACCGTCGTCTTATACGACAGAAATAACAGTAGTTTCCAACGTATAAGACGACTTTCTAGGCATGCGACTCGGCGCCGAAGTCGGGAGTCGTCTTATACGCCGGGTCACCTTATTACGCCGGAAAATACAGTAACTGTACAGCATACTGTATTGTTGGTGAATCTTTGAAATATCATTAGATAAAGAAATTTGTAACCTCCCCCCCAAAAGAGAATTTAATGTGCTAATAGCCCCCTGGTGTTTAGGGCCCAAGTTTAATCTTAGGTAAATGCTGCAAAAAAGGCTGAAATTTACACACACAGCAGGGTTTTCTTCCATGTGTACAGGATTGTACTATAAATGGGTCTTTTCTCTTGGCTGGATGGCACAAAACTCTGTTCTGAGTTTTGTGCCATCCAGCCAAGAGAAAAGACCCATTTATGAAACAAACGTTATTTCAATTTTGGAACAATAGCTCCAGTAATTCATGAAGTCAATGGCTCTAAACGATGAACTGGACATCAACATACAAAGATAGGGCATGTGGTCCTAAATAGGAGATCTGAATTAGATAGTTACTGTCTGTTCCAAATACTTTAGTTTGTTAGGCATCCATTTCCACTTTCCACATAATCAAATAACTGTAACTTTTTGCCAGTTGTAATTTTCAACTGCAGTAATTATCAAGTATGTCCATGTTTGGAATGAAAAATTTAATTCAGTCCTGTTTAATCTGTCCAGCCCAACAGAGTGTTAGAAAACTGGAGGACTGGCGGCTAAAACATATAAAGAACGGTTGCTGGAATTGGGTATGTCTAGTTTAATGAAGAGAAGGACGAGGGGGACATGATAGCAGTGTTCCAATATCTCAGGGGTTGCCACAAAGAAGAGGGAGTCAAGCTATTCTCCAAAGCGCCTGAAGGCAGGACAAGAAGCAACGGATGGAAACTAATCAAGGACAGAAGCAATCTAGAACTAAGGAGAAACTTCCTGACAGTTAGAACAATTAACCAGTGGAACAACCTGCATGTTTACCCGATCCCCTTAAATTAAATCCAACAACTTACCTGTAGCCAAGTAAATGGGATGATGTTGAGAAGGGCTCCATGCTTGCATGGCAGTACGGTCTACCTCTTTCAGCTTCATCCTGCTAAGAAAAGGAATATAAAGAACATTAACACTACTATCCTACTAAGATCACTTCTTTTAATATGTTTATTTTTTTTCCAAGGAAAGGCATCTGGGAGGGAAAAAAATATAGGTTTTTAGAGAGTCATTGAAGCCATTTGGAGGTGTACCTGTGTCATCAGGGTTATCTAAGTAGTCCAAATGTGTGTGGAGCCAAGACACAGGTAAACCTCCAAGTGGCCTCAACCACTCTCTAAAAGAAGGCAAATGACCAGCTGTCTGCAAGGAATATAAAGCCTTCCATTCCCCATCATCCAGTCAGAGCTGAAGAAGCTTCTTGGATGAGAAGCGAAATGTCTTCAAAGAAAAACAAGAAAGTCCATTTGCCTCCTAAAAAAGCACCTTTGGGAGAATGCTGTTACCTTCCCACCAAAGTGGTATCTATTTATCTACTTGCATTTACATGTTTTTGAATTACTAGGTTGGCAGGAGCTGGAGCAAGAACAGGAGCTCACCCTGTCACATGGTGCTTGGGTCTCGAACTGCTGACTTCCTTGTCGACAAGTCAAGTGTCTTAACTACTAGGCCACCACACCCATAGTTAAACTGTAGAATCATAGGATTAAAAGCCATGTTGTTGAACCAACTGCAGGAATGCACTATTATAGACATCACCCTGCCAACAAAAGGCTGTGGTTTTCCCAGTTGCAATGTATGGCTGTGAAAGCTGGACCATAAGAAAGGCTGAGTGCCAAAGAATTGAGGCCTTTGAACTATGGTGCTGGAGAAGACTCCTGCGAGTCCCCTGGACTGCAAGGCGATCAAACCTGTCAGTCCTAGAAGAGATTAACTCCGACTGCTCTTTAGAAGGCCAGATCCTGAAGTTGAAACTCAAGTAGTTTGGCCACCTAATGAGAAGGAAGGACTCCCCGGAGAAGAGCCTAATGCTGGGAAAGATGGAGGGCAAGAGAAGAAGGGGACAACAGAGAATGAGGTGGCTGGATGGAGTCACTGAAGCAGTAGGCGTGAGCTTAAATGGACTACAGAAAATGGTAGAGGACAGGAAGGCCTGGAGGAACGTTGTCCATGGGGTCACGAGGGGTCGGACACGACTTTGCAACTAACAACAACAACAAGTATCCCCAACAAAGGGCCAATACAATTTCTGTTCAAATAGGTTCAGCTAAGCCAAGATCATCATTTGCTGAGCATCCTTTCCATTGTCAAACTCTTGTCAGGAAATTCTTCCTAATATCTAACCAAAGTTGTCTTATTATTTAAGCTTGTTGCCTTAGCTTCCAGTCACAGCTGAAGAACCCTCTTGGACGAGAGGTGAAATGTCTTCAAAGAAAAGCAAGGAACTCCAGTTACCTCCCGAAAAAGCACCTTTGGGACAACCATGATCTGGATGGCTGAGAATCTCCATAGATGCCACAGCGTTCTGTATGTCTCAGCATATGGTCTTGCTGGCCACATGACCCTGGAAGCATCTTTGGACAACGCTGGCTCCCTCGGCTAGGAAATGGGGATAAGCACCACCCTCACTGGCAGGGGAAACCTTTATCTTTACCTTTACAGTTTAACTATAATTTATTGAATAAATCCAAATTGATGGGTTTACAGAAGATATAAAACGTGATTCACAAATCACAATAGGCAAGTCTGTATATCATGCTAAGATCCCAAAACAGAACACATTAGGCCACAGAACTGTGAACACACTGTGATGTCCATATTGTATTGTATTTTATATATTCTTTGGGATCTTGCAACAACTGCCTAGGCCAGTGGTGGCAAACCTATGGCACACGTGCCAGAGGCGGCACTCAAGAGCCCTCTTTGTTGGCACACGCGCCACCGCCAGAAGCAGGTCCATCAGGCTGTCCCCACCACCCAGAGCAGGAGCCCCTCCCAGCACAAAGGAGGCGAAGCAGCCGACTAGCAAGCTCGAGTAGAGGTGCTACAGCAGAGGTCACCAACCATTGGTGGACTGGAAGAAAAGGGAGGGGGAAGCATTTTACATGGGTGCATGTGCACACGGGGCTGTGAGCACGCACACACTGCAAATGGGGCGGGGCTAGTGCCTACTCACTAGCCCTGCCCTGTTCTTGCGTGGTGCAGCGCCTTGTATCTGTACCCTGCGGTGCGGCGGCAGCCGTTTTTGAGCCTTGCAGCACAGTGGCCCATTTTTGCACCCCCGTTTTTTGCGTGCCAGAGGCAGCACTCAGAGGCACTTCTCTGCCCCCCCCCCGAGGGCACTACAATGCTGATGTGGCCCTGGCACTTTGCGATAAGTGGGTTTTGGGTTGCGGTTTGGGCACTTGGTCTCTAAAAGGTTTGCCATCACTGGCCTAGGCCATGTCTTCTTTCCACCTAAAATACTATGTAAATGCTATCTATGTCTTGAAATAAAATGCTTGAGCCACCGCTCAAGAGGAATCAAAGAATTAGCCATAAAATAGCATTTGTAAGAGACCTTAAGTCCCTACTTACTCACAGTCCTCCAGTGACAAAGCAGGTGTTAATCTGCACATGGGTGATTTTAAACAGATACAGGTTGCCCTCAACATACAACCGTAATGGAGCCTGCCCATTACAGTTGTATGTTGTGACAGTCATAAACTGTAGTCATTTAATGTGACAGTCATAAATTAACCAACCTGATTTTATCACCTTTTTTGTGACAGTCGTTAAGTAAATGTTGCAGCTGTTAGGCAAACTCATTGCCAAGTGACCGGTTGTAAGTGTAATAATACAGGGCACATTTCAAGAATTGAGGAGGACAATAAGGGAGAGGCCTCTGCATAATCATAACTCAAATAATTCAACCTTTGGCCTCTGGTTACTCTTTGCAGTTATAAAGGAATGCTCAGAACCCTCCATAGTGGAAAGTTCTACAAACCAATCATATCCTCAGCTATGAGTATTGAAAAGATATCTTCAGCACTCTTCGCTTTCTCTTGAATAAGCTGTAGCTTTTCCCTGCTCACCATGATGGAAATCAGTATGCCAAATACAAGGATCTAAATCAACCCATTATTAAATTAGATTATATTATGCTATTATTATTATGTAAAAGTTGGCTTGAAACTCAACATTAAGAAAACCAAGATCATGGCATCTGGCCCTCTCAATTCCTGGCAAATGGATGGGGAAGAAATGGAGGTAGTGACAGATTTTATCTTCCTGGGCTCCAAGATCACCGCAGATGGGGACTGCAGCCAAGAAATTAAAAGATGCTTGCTCCTGGGGAGGAAAGCTATGGCAAATCTAGACAGCATATTAAAAAGCAGAGACATCACCCTGCCAACAAAAGTACGTATAATCAAGGCCATGGTTTTCCCAGTTGCAATGTATGGCTGTGAAAGGTAGACCATAAGAAAGGCTGAGTGCCAAAGAATTGAGGCCTTTGAACTATGGTGCTGGAGAAGACTCCTGCGAGTCCCCTGGACTGCAAGGAGATCAAACCGGTCAGTCCTAGAGGAGATCAACCCTGACTGCTTTTTAGAAGGCCAGATCCTGAAGTTGAAGCTCAATTACTTTGGCCACCTAATGAAAAGGAAGGACTCACTGGAGAAGAGCCTAATGCTGGGAAAGATTGAGGGCAATAGAAGAAGGGGACGACAGAGAATGAGGTGGCTGGATGGAGTCACTGAAGCAGTAGGCGTGAGCTTAAATGGACTCCAGAAGATGGTAGAGGACAGAAAGGCCTGGAGGAACGTTGTCCGTGGTGTCGCGATGAGTCGGACACAACTTCGCAACTAACAACAACAATGCTATGGTCAATAAATGACCATGTGCCTGATTAGTATTTATACAGATAGACTCTCCAAACCAACGATAGCCTTATACAGAAATAGGTTTTAGTTTAGTATAAATTGCTACTAGGATTATTCAGATGCAAAGGCAAAGTATAGGACTCAGGGGTAGGTAACCTCGGCTCTTTTATGACTCATGGACTTCAACTCCCAGAATTCCTGAGCCAGCATAGCTGGCTCAGGAATTCTGGGAGTTGAAGTCCATGAGTCATAAAAGAGCCGAGGTTGCCTACCCCTGGTATAGGTAGTCCTTGACTTACAACCATTGTAACAATCACATTTGTTTAGTGATCATTCGAAGTTACAATGGCACTGAAAAAAATGACTTATGACCATTTTTCACAGTTTCGACCATTGCAGCATCCCCAAAATTCAGATGCTTGGCAACTGACTCACATTTATGACAGTTGCAGTGTCCTGGAGTCATGTGATCACCTGTTGTGACCTTCTGACAAGCAAAGCCAATGGGAAGCCCGACTCATTTAACAGTCGTGTTACTAACATCTGCAGCGATTCACTTAACAACTGTGACAAGGTCGTAAAATGAGGCTAAAAATCACTTAACAACTGTCTTGCTTAACCACAGAAATTTTGGGGTCAATCATGGACAGGGACTACCTGTACATGTGGGTTCTCAGGAAACACTTTCTGGTTTATGTAGGTCCTTTTAAAGAGCTGCATTTTTCCCAGCTTTATGCAGTTGCACTCTACAGGGGAAGCTCAATCCACAGAAAACATGCATTTGGTTTAAGAAATTGTGGACAGTTGCTCTAGGAGCTACCCTTTGCACTCCAAAATTTCCATCCTGTCTTTTGAATCCGAAAAGCTACACAGAGGGAACAATAAGTATTATTTTGCCATTTTAATCGGCTTTCAAGAACAGGGGGCAGAAGGAAAAGTCTGTGTTCACTCAAGCCATTGAAGGACAGTTTAGCTAGCACTTGTGCCCAAATCCTGCCTATGCAATTTATATTTCAGTATGTTGGGCAAATGCAGGACATAGAATAAACTATAATTCAATTAATCAGGTAACCTCAGCCACACAATGATAATTTGCACCAACACCATAACCATATAAATTAGGGAAGTAACTAATGAAAAGGAAGAGTGTAAATTCATGTATGCTATGATTTGTTGGCATCTTTTAAAAGGACTTATTATCTATGTGTTTTGCAACTGACACAATTACAGGTAGTCCTTGATTTAGAATTCATTTAGTGACCATCTGAAGTTACAACAGCAGACTGAAAAAAGTGACTTATGTCCGTTTTTCAGACTTACGACCATTGCAGCATCCCCATGGTCACGTGATTAAAATTCGGAGGCTTGGCAACTGACTTTTATGACGGTTGCAGCGTCCCAGAGTCATGTGATCCCTTTTTGTGAGCTTCTGACAAGCAAATCAATGGGGGAAGCCAGATTCACTTAACAACTGTGTTTGCTAACTGCAGTGATTCACTTAACAACTGTGGCAAGAAAAGGTTGTAAAATGGGAACAAAACTCACTTAACACATGCCTTACTTAGCAACAGAAATTTTGGGCTCAACTGTAGTCGTAAGTCGAGGACTACCTGTAATCATAGAAGCACTCTCTCTATATACTTTCCCATGCTTGGATATCCACACTGAAATTTAAACAAGAAAAGGAGGCAAAGGACTGGGTACAAAAGACCTTCTGCAAGATTTTACCCAGATGTGTGGTGTTCTTTTCTACAACCACAACCACAACCACAATCACAACAATACAAACTCAGAGTTCTAAAGAGGAAGGCAAGCAGAAGTTTGGAAACTGCCCGGCCTCCCTTTGAACCAGCTGATCCCCCCCCCCCCTTGAACCCTCCGCGTTGTGCAAATTCAGCCTGGAAGTTGAGTTAGAATAGAATTACAGAGTTGGAAGGGACCTTGGAGGTCTTCTAGTCCAACCCACTGCTCAGCCAGGAAACCCTCTACCATTTCAGACGAATGGCTGTCTAGTCTCTTCTTTAAAACTTCCAGTGTCGGAGCACCCACAATTTCTGGAGGCAAGTTGGTCCACTGGTTAATTGATGATTCACTGCGTGGCAGAAATACGGTTTTAGCCCGGAAATTGCGGCCACGAGCGGGGTTGCAAAAGCCACGGGCTGGCCTAGAGCTGCATCCAGGCTGGACCAGCCACGGACGGGCACCGGCGCCCTGGAAGCCACGGACAGGCCCAACAAGGCCGGGGAAACAAAAGCGGGGCCGAAGCCAGCGGCGCTCCCTGGGAATCGGCCAGCCTCTTTTCAAAAACGGCAAAGCCAAGGCGGGTGGGCCGAGGGGACGTCCCCCGCCCCCATTTCTCCCGCGTCAGCCTGCTCGGGATTAAAGGGTCCCCCCCCACGGGCAGAGCCCTCACCTGCTCGGAGGAGCGCCCCACCGGGCTCCGCTGCTGCTGCCGACGGGACCTCCTCCTCCTCGCCTTCCTCCAACTCCTCGGCGTCTCACAGCGGCCGCGGCTGCTCCACGTTCGGCTTCAACGTGGCAGCCGGAGCACCGCCTTCATCGCGCCGGCTTCCGGGATTAACCGACGCCCGCCCGAAGGCTGGGCTGGGCCTCCTCCGCCACGCAAGCGCGGAGCCCGCCGCCTTTGTCCCCTCCAGGGGCCGCCAGCTGAGACGGGCAGAGCAAGGGCGAAGAGCCTCTGCCCGCGTGCAAAGCGCCTTTCCTTTCCCGCGGAGCCGCCGACTAGGCTACCACGGCGAAAGGCTACACCGGGCTCCTGCCGCTCAGCCCGGAGCAGAGAGGGCGGGCATTGGGGCAGTCAAAAGTCTGCCTAATTTTGCAGACACTTGAACAAAATTTAGCTGCATTCAAGAGATTCGGATGCTCTCCTTGAATGTAGCCAAGTTGTGTTATACTGTGCAAAATTAGGCAGACTTTTGACTGCCCAATCCACCACCAATTGTTCAGTATTATTGTCTCTTTATTTCATTTGACTTTATTAATGTCTCAAAAGCAACTGGACAGATTTTTTTTTTTTTTTTGAGGAAGAAGGGGAAAAAAAAGATGTTTCGCTTCCCATCCAATAGTACTTCCATCTCCCCCACCATCCAGTACAACTGTTGAAGCTTTCCCAATGGGAAGCCAAACAGGTTTTTTTTTCTTCCTCAAAAAAATCAGTCATTGCTTTAAAAAATATATAACACCTTTGAGACAACTGTAACCTGGATGACTGAGAATCTTCATAGACATTTGACTTTATTAATGCTTCTTACTTGGTGTAAGCCCTCTTCCCACTCCAGCAGAAGGAAATATTTTGGGGGATATTAAAAAGGCAGAATATTATATCTCCCCAAAGGAAAGCAGGCCCAGGTTTTCTTAATAGCCCCAAACAACCGCAGAAGGAAATATTTTGGGGGATATTTAAAAGGCAGAATATTATATCTCCCCAAAGGAAAGCAGGCCCAGGTTTTCTTAATAGCCCCAAACAGAAACTCAGCAAGCCAGGTCTGTAGAAATGCAGATTTAATAATCCCATTCAGAAAGTCTGAGGCCCATTCATGAGCAAATACTACTGCAGAAACCCATTCAACACAGGATCTTTCAAAATCGTTTGGAGCAAAACTGATAGCTAACAAAAGAGTGATAGGATTGGAACCAGCAACCCCTCACCCAAAAAAATTCAACACAACCATCAGCCACAGGGAACCAGACATGAGCTTTAGGACATAATAGGATTAACCCACCACCATCAAAATACAAAAAGGGCACATTCAGACTCAGGTCAAAGTATATGACATAGGAAATACAAAGCCACATGCAGGAACAACTCCAAACATAAAAGCCCAAGAAGGTATAAAAAAACCCCACTCCCAGCAACAGGTGGTTAGCTGCTTGAGTCACATGCTGTTGTGGCTCTGCTCTTCGATAAACTAGAACCTTTTTTCTAAAGTAGTCTCCATTTTGTTTATTCCAGGCTTGGATTGGACCCTGATGAAGATTTTTCTTTCAACATTGGAATGCTGGTCTGTGACTGCAATAAAACTATTATTATGGTGGGCATCCAGTTTGGCCATTAGGTATGAGGCTGAATGCTTTTGTAATTAATCCTGGCTTGAGGAAACCCATTGGGTAGGTTCAAGCATCACACTAAGCCACATTGTACAAGTGATAGCAGTCTAGGGCTCTAGGAAGTACACTAAGCTACTAGTGTATAACTAAATTGCTTGCTGCTGGATCCTCACATCATGTTCAGACATACTTCATTTTGGCTGGAGGAGGTTACAGATTAGATCTATGACTAGCCCTGTTCTCTGCTTTTAAGCCATTGCACAGAATTGCTAAAAAAGCAAATATTGGGATATTTTGTTAACCACAGTAAGTAAAATCTCTTCATTTAACAAGTTAGCTATGCCATATACCACAAAAATAAATGAAATATTAGTGTCATCAGTTATCTATCTGTAGAGCCATAAAGCATGACAAAAATATCTTAGAACAGCAGCAAACCAGTATTTTCCATTTACATGAGATGAGGGAAAACTGCACTAAAATAGTCATACAAAAATCTGAAATATTTTTCAAGCAAAAGTTTAAAGCCATATTCTTTACTGATACATGTGTGATTTGTAACGCTTATAATTCCCAGCTAAAATAGGCAAAAACTGGGAAATATGGGTGCTTTAGTGTAAAAATATCCAGTAGTGCCAGTTTAGAAAAGATAGGTTTGAATTCTGTGGCAACTTGTAACATAGCCATAAGAGATCAGATGAGGAAATTTAAAGGCCTACAATTATATGTCATCGTGGTTTTTGACTCCTAGTGACCACATAGATAAGATGAAGTTCTGCAATACTTAATTTTTAAGCAATGACCCACTTTTTCCTGTTAACTCCAAAGTTTGCTCAGACTGATCATTTCATAATAAAGGACTTCTTTTATTTAAAGTTGTAACGCTGCATAGAAATTACATATTCATATGTCTTTAAATAAACATGTCAACACCTCTCAGTGCTTACAATACTTATGAATTCAACATCCCCTTTAATAATACAGAATAGAAATCAAAACACATAAGGCAACATTAAGGTATTTTTTTATTATAAACAAAATCAGGAAAATACAAGACATTGCCTTCTATATTTTTGACAAACCTTGAAGTTCATCTCCCCATTTGTGTTGGAAATTTGATCCATCAGATTACAAAAGAGTTAAGAACAGTTTTTAAAAACTGAGGGGAAAAAAAATCAGATGAATTGGTGAAGAATGTTCAACCATTTAAAACATACCTAAGGAATAAAAGAAAGGTTTTATCTGTAACTGATTTTTGAAACACATGAGACCTGATTTTTATAAGTTACATTTTTAATGTTGACATGCAGGTGCTGTTTTTTAAGTGAGATAAATTTTAGTGTTTGATAACAAGGAACAGTATATTTAAAAAATGATCCCATTTTATGTAAACATTTTAATTAAGGATCCCTACGTGGGACCTATCTAAAGGTATAGTTTGCCACAAAATACAGAATAGTATGTGCAAATATTACACAAAATAGTCCTATGAGTGATACCCGGTATATACAATGTCCCAATAATAAAGCTAATTTTACACAAAACATTTTGTATCTGTGCTATCAATCTGATAATATGCATTCAGAAGGACAGGCTGAGTTGTCACAGTACCTCTTTATTTAGCTGCCAAAACCACAACATTGCAAACAGTTCACTGGTTTATTCTGCAGCTAACGAAATACAGCTATAAGTTTAAGTGACTAGTATATGAACCCCACCTTTATTGACCGCCATTAAAATGTATGGTTTGCTCAACGTGATCCAGCTTAACAATTATACCCCCATGTGGATCAATTATTTTATTCTCCACTATTATTACAAAATATTTTAATGGTTACCTGTACATCTTCCAAGAGAAATTTTTGGTTTCCTGAAAGCAGGAAAAAGAGTACTGTGAATAATATATAAATAGTATAAATTATACTTTCATCTATAGGTTGAAATATACTTTACTCAAAACTGAAATATAACAGAATATGGTGTCCTCATCTATGTGGATAATAATCACAGCAAATCATGATGTGAACAGCAAAAATGTTTTAATCATTGAACACCACAAAAAAGAAAGATAAAAGCCTAAACATTAGTTTTACAAATATGCAAATATATTAGCCTGGCATTTTAAAAGTACATTATTTTTTAATAACTATTGTATGCATAGTATCTGCTTGGCTAGTCTGATCTAGCAGAGTTGGTGTGCTCCAGATTCCTTGGCTAGTCTGATCTAGCAGAGTTGGTGTGCTCCAGCACCATTTATTGGGACCCTGGAAGCACATGTTCTCTATAATAGTGCCTGCATTTTGGAACAAGATTCCTCCTGAGATTCAAATAGGACAATCTCCATCCTACTGTTATTTTGATGGTCTCTAAACATGTGGCTCTTTGCCCAGGCCTTTGGCAAGAGATGATTTACACCCCATTTCTTTTCCTTGTTCCTCATCCAGGCAGACTTCTGAATCTTTTATAAACAGTATCAATTCATACAAATGTTAAATAATCATAATAGATGTATGCATTCTTAGTTATATTTTAAGGGCACATTCATTGTAATCAAAACGATCAATGTTATAATTATCCTTTATTAATGTATTGTAATACAAAGTAACTCTGGGTGGCTTACATTAAAATATCACAATGTAAGAACACATAAACCCCCAACCCAGCTGCGGCAACCATACAAACCTATCCAAATCTGAAGAATCTGTTTCAACATACAATATAATACATGAAAAGGAATATTCAGGGGACAAAAAAATCCTAAGTCTTACCTCAAATTTTGAGACTCCATGTTCCAAACATTGCACGTGTATAACTCTTTAAGAAAGCAAAACAAAATTAACAATTCGTGGTTTTTTTTCCATCCAAGGATAAAATGGTAGATGTCTAAAACACAGACTACAGCTAGAGGTTTGGGATGCATGTCCTTAAAAGTAAATCACATTATGCATTTAATATTTTAATTGCCACATTTCACCATAAGGTAAAGAGCCACTTTAGTGAGTACACCAAAAGGGGCCACAAAGTCCTTGGCTCAGAGAATTCCTCTATATAACCATCAAAAACCAACTTAGCGCCAAGCGTTGCTCCGACCCCCGACCCCCCCCCCCAATCTAAGCGTTCCCGGAACTTCAGTAATTCGGATTTGCCACCCAACATGTGGTTTATAAACCGGGACGGCATCCGAATTAAAAAAAAAAAAAAGCAAGCAGCAGGGAAGCAAATCCCCACGCACGTGCCCTTCAGCCGCGCAGACTACAACACACATCATCCCCTCCCGCGAGCCTGACGCTCGCCTCTTTCGCCAGAACTGAAGGCATGAATCCTCCTCGTGCGAAGGAGCGAGGCGGTTACTCTCCCTCCCCCGACACCACGGAATCCTCGTACGCAATTCGAAGGAAAAAGAAAAATATCCACTGGAATTATTTTCTGATTTCTATTTATCTGACTAATCCCCCACGGCGAGGAGAGAGCGCCCTTTGCTCCATCACGCCCGGCTCAGGCACCCATTTCTCTCCCCCCCCCCCGACTCCTCGCAGCACCATCCACAGTCAGAGGCCCCGCGCGAAAGAAAGCCGCGCGCCAGAATCCGCGAATAAAGCCTACTCCAGGGGTAGGCAGCTTTGGCTTTTTTATGACTCGTGGACTTCAACTCCCAGAATTCCTGAGCCAGCCATGCTGAGGGGAAAGGGAGAGTTTCCAAGCTGAGCCATGCTGGCTCAGGAATTCTGGGAGTTGAAGTCCACGAGTCATAAAAGAGCCAAGGTTGCCTACTCCTGGCCGACTCCCTTTCCGTTCTAGCCGCGCGCCCATTGGCCTTAACCAAACGCTGGCTTTGATTGGCATATGCCTTTTTTCCGCTTCCGGTTGTGCGAGCGTTCGGCGGTCAGTTCCATAGCCATAGAGAGAGTTATACTAACTAAGCTAAGGCAGGAATGCGGCAATTCTCCTTAGCGCTTCCGGCGCCACTTCCGCTTTTGTTTGTCAAGGAGGTGATGGAGTTCTTTCTTACGGGGGTTCCGCTAAAGGGAAGACAGAGAAAGCCAAGGCGCCATTTTCCTGCGGAAGGATTCCTCTCCCCTGCAGGAGAGAGGACGTCGGTTCGAATTTGGTATCTCAACGGAAGGGAACCAAAGGACAGGCAGGATCCCTCAATTGACCCGTCAAGGAATGGCGCCTCTCAAAGGGAGACTTTTTCCAGTTGTTCTCTGTTACGGCCGATCGCCCGGGCACATCCATTTAACTCTCTTGACAAGGAAGCTACCGCCATCTTCCGCTCTTCCACTTTCCAAGCTATGCAACGAGATTCTTGGAATATCCTGGTGTTCTTCAAGCCAAGGTCTGCCAGAGGCAGCCGTGGGCTGTAGTTGACTACGTTGGAGCGCTACCGTTATAAAGTCCTAAACGCACCTTGGTGCTTCGTATTGCAGACCAAAGTTGGAAACTTGGCGACTTTAAGATGTGTGGACTTCAACTCCCAGAATCCCCCAGCCAGCATGGGGAAAATAGTCTGGCTTGGCTGGGGAATTCTGGGAGTTGAAGTCCAAACATCGTAAATCCGCCAAGGTTGAAAAGCATTGTAGTGGGACAATGTTAGTTTGCGGTGGCTCGGAGTTCTTCAGCCGGAAGTTCAGGACCCGGGACAGCGGGATGAGCCGAGAGAGGAGTTTTTTGGCAATGACGTGAAAGGGGCTGGGTCCCACCACACTTCTAAAAGCAGATTTGGTGGAGAATGCAATAAAGAGTAAACCCCACTTTACAAATGACAGTGGCTGGATTCATAAAACACTGAGCCAGGAGTTGTTAAGTTGTATCGTGGCTTAAAGTCTCACATAGTTCAGTTATATGTGGCTTGGTTTGGATTCAGCAGGTTGGGTGATCCCAGTCATGGTATGTAAACACAGTATGGTATCAACCCAGCCGGGTTAGGTTTGAAGTTCTCATTAAAACGTGGCTAACAAATCATGGCTTAAGACAAATATGAATCTAATAGAAAGGAGAAAGAAAATAGAAAGAAATACAGTACTGGCAATATATGCAGGAACCCTAAACTTGGTTCTTTTAATCTTAGAATTTTTTTAAATGTTGCATTATGGATATCTCAGCATATCATGGCAACATCTGACCTGGAGATAAAAGAAACAAAAGTCTGCTACAACGACTCCCTGTCCCCAACAACAACAACAACAAAATTCTAAAGCTCACAATAGTGTTTGAATATCACCTTCATGGAAATAATGGTGCTGGCACTTTGCAGCCTCCCAGTTTCCTATTTATTTTAAAGCAATCTGAAAGCAAAATAGTGTATCCCAGGCACAAATCTGTACATTCCCAGTAAACAATTTAAATAAAAATCATACAAAACGAATGAGGAAAAGCTAAAAATAAAAACAAGCTGTAGCTTGCTGTTTTTATAGGCAATTCAGCCATGGGGAGAAGGCTCAGACAGGAAGCAGCACAGGGGTTTGCAATTTTCTCAGCAGCCTGTTTTTCCACAGACTGTAACGGTCATTTGGTTGGTTCTGAAACTGAATGTGGAACGCTCTAATCCTCACAGGCATCCTTAAATGTTTACATCCTTCAATATAGCTATGTTACATTTCTGCCCTTGTCTGCAAGTGTGTTTCCAGGAAAATGCAAGGGGATGGTTGTCTGCTCTAAAGCCCTTCATAGCATGGAGCTGAGTTATTTGCAGGACTGTCTCTCCCCAATTGTTTCTGTCCTATAAAGTCTAGCACAGTGTTTCTCAACCTTGACAATTTTAAGGCATGTGGACTTCAACTCCCAGAATTCCACAGCCAGCGTTGCTGGCTGTGGAATTCTGGGAGTTGAAGTCCACATGCCTTAAAATTGTCAAGGTTGAGAAACACTGAGAGACATGCTGTAAATCCCATGTTGAATAAACGTTATCTCCAGCAAATTCAGTAAATTTTACACCTTTATACCAGTTTTTAAAATGTTTTAAGTTGTAGTAGATTAACATACAAAACGAATGCAGAGTTCTATTTGGCAAATAAAGGGAAGGGGGAGAGCATTGAATGGCATTCAAAAATCAGTTCAAGGCTGCAAGATTGTGATGGAAATTCAGCTACCCGAATGGTTCATACTGTAGCGCAGTTTAAAAATAAGGTGCTAGAATGACACAAGTTTCTGAAGTTATGAATGTGCAAATAAATGGGCCAGGTTGTATAATAGAAGCTGTTCGTTTCTGGAGTTTTCGTGATACAACATGTTCTTGGTGATTTCTATGTAATAATTTAATATGGTAATATTCAGCATGGCTGGCTATGGAATTCTGGGAGTTGAGGGCTACACATTTTCAACTGGCCAAGGCTAAGAAATAGTAGCATAGCTTCCCTTGTTCCCTAGAGAAATCAGTGGCAAAAATTAAAGTCCGGATCTCTCAGTGGGTCCCATCTATTATGGGGAGGTAACAGTGCAGGGCAGGGGTCTTCAAACTTGGCCTTTTTATGATTTGTGGACTTCAACTCCCAGAATTCCTCAGACAGACCCTTGGTGTAGAGACTTCTTTCTGTAATACTATTCAGATGACAGACCACTTTGGAGATGTCATGTCAACTAGCTACATGATTGTAGTTCTATTAATGACACCATATCAAGAATTAATCTGAAAATAGAAGTAGGCTTTCCTGAAGGGTGTCAATTATAACAACTTCAGGATGGAATAATGTAGTAGGAATACCTAAGAGCATTAGAAGTTTTGTCTTCTGAGTCTCTAGTGAAGTATGAATGTAATAATTTCCAGTGGCCCTAATGGAAGCATAATTCACCCCAATTACTGGATGGTTATTCAGGATACGATGAAAGAATCTTACGTAATGATCGTTTTAAAACACTGCTTTTTACGACTAGTCCATATCACAAGCCCCTGTTGTGATAAACAGGTGATCTGGTTAGGTTGTCATCCCTTATAAGCAGGACTTGGGGCTGAATATTTATAGACATGAATTACAGGCTTTTAAAAATGTCTTAACTTGTAATATAATAATCTAGACTTTTATAATTAAGTGTGCTTTTACTAACCAGCACTAAGCTGATGAGGTTTTGTTAACTATTCAACAATTATGGAAAAGGACAGCCAGTAAATGCCTTGCTTTCGCAAAATTTTAGAGGAGAAACAGTGTTTTAACAGAGGAAACTTAGAGGACAGAGAAAGCAAAGTCTACATGTCAACATCAGCATCAATAACAACGTAACAAATTATATAAGGAAACATTCAAGCAAAAATGAGAAGTTTAATTTTGAAAAAAGTTTCAGATGACACATTTTAAAAATTAGTGACAAGTGAATTGTCAAGTTGTGGTGGTTATGCTAATGAAATCTAGTACAGTGGTACCTTGGTACTTGACTGCTTCAAAACTCGTTGAATTTGGTACTTAACACATTTTGAAGTGAAAATGTTGTCCCGGTACTCGTCTTTGTTTGGTACTCGACGCATTGCAAAAGGAGTTGGGGGACAGCTGCAGAGGGTGGACAGGAGGTCAGCCATGCAGGGAAGGTCGCTGACATAGGAAAAGGGACAGATAGGAAGTCCTTCCCACAAAACAAAGGATCACGTAGTAAGTCACATGGTTTGTTTGCTACTCATCTTTTTTAGTACTTGCCGTGCTTCCCAGAACAAATTAAGCACAAGTACCAAGGTACCACTGTAATTTCTTCATATTACTTAGCAAAGAAAAACACCTTTGTCAATTTGTACATAATAGTATAAACATTTTATTTTTTTTCTTTATCTGACATTTGTTTTTACAATATAGAAAAGTGTATTCTTTTAATAGGTCTAGTAATATAAATTTTATCTATTTTTGGATGTAAACCATAACTAGAAAATTTTCCCAAATACCCTCCCCCATCTCAAAATCTGCTAATAAGGGGATGCATTATAAAAGCATTCTGGCTAAGCAGCTCCTAATTATTATTATAGGGGCTTTGAAAGAAACACTGCAGAATCTCAGCTGACAGAGAGGATCACAATGCAGGCATAATTTGATAAGCTGCTGTCAAGATCTTGATATATTTTTTACTAACCTGTGAGCACTTTCATGCAAACAATCAAGAAAAACTCAAAGGGGAGAAGATCCAAGCTATGTAGAAGAGACAGCTTGTTTTATGAGACAAAAAAACTAGCTCTCTTTGATTGCACCTTCTTCAAATCTTTTACACACAATTCCATTATACATAATCTACAACCAGAATCCAAACTTCACAGGTTTTCTGCACACTTATAAATACACATCACAAAAAAAGGTGCAAGTTAAAATAAGACACAGAATATGTACAACATAAAACAAATGTAATTCTAGACAAAACAATGGATGTTTGAAAAATAACTTGATCAATTTTTACTTTACCCACTTACACTAGTTTACATTTATACAAATCTTGTTGTATGGACATTTATGAAAGTAGTAAAAAGGCAAGTCTTCATCTACTCAGAAAATTAACAAACTCTCGCCCACCCAAAAATAATTCTATATGTAAAAGAATTATATTGAAATAAAGAGCTTCCCTTTCAGGGTTGTGTGTAATTTAAGCAAGTCTGCTATGTACATACATATTGTAATACAATAGAACATGTGTTTGCGTGTGTACATATATCTATACACACCCCACAATTCTATGGAGATAACATCCATTTCGAGAAAAAAAAATTTGCAGCACTATAATTACAGAGCAGGCTACATTATCTAGCAGGTGCTTGCTAATTCAAACGTGGAACTTAGACATTCATAAACTCATTGAACGATTTCTTCACTACAAAACCATGCAGTTGTGTTTTGCATTTTAATAGCTTTTATTTCAAAGGCGCTCTCTCTCTCTCCTAAGCAGTTCCATCCAAATAATGTTTTTCCGCTCTTTTCTCTCTTTCCCAAAGAAATCTCTTACATTTTTGTCCTAAGACTATGCTTCTAAAATACACTTTTAAAATATAAACTAAGCCAATTCAATAACAAAAAGACGCACACAGCTTGAAATTGGTTTGAACGCTGCTAAAAGAACATCTCGACTGAATACTTAACTGGGACTAATGCTTGTTCTTGGCTGAAGAAAAAAAAAGATTAACCACCTCAGTAATCCTTCCCCTCCTTCTCCAACTGAAATATTTTCACATACTGCACAAGCAGATATAGCTCTACAAGTTTCCACTGTCTTATCCACTTCAGCCATAGCCCAACAGACTGAAGACACATGAAAGGTCATGGACGTGAGTACAAAGTCTATCATTATTGCAGAGTGGCCACTGTTCCTCCTACTGAAGCCTGCAAATGACAATCACACAGCTGGTTTTTTGTTTTTTTTTAAAAAAAGACCTCAGCCTTCAAAAGATGCACTCTCCACACTGCGCCATGCGCACTTTAAAACAAAACTCACACAGTTCTTATAAAGGCAGTAAATGAGCTACGTCTAAGTAATTCGCTGACAATGGATGAGAACCACATTAGGAAACGTACTGACTTCTTCCTTTTCCATTTAGAAATCTCTTTTCAAAAACAATTTCACCATGTATAATCTGGAATGGAGGCAAAAAGATTTGAGAAACATTTAAGAGGCACAAAAGAATTGCTAAAGTTTGCTTCTGCTGGAATCTCAGCATAGTAAGAACACCCACCATTTTACACAACTGAAAGTAGCCTCTAATTTTAGCACCTCCAGATATAATGTGGGTTTTGGAATCTTCAGGGATGTGGAATTTTGTGAATTGAATGCCAGATTTGGGGAAGAAACAAATATAGGGAAGTGTAAACTAAGGATCATCTTGTCATCCTTTTAGCATTAAAGAGGAAATTTTACCAAGAATTCCTTAGTTTACAAATATCCCCAGTATTGCTTCCATTAACACATATGGGCACGGTTGTCAATTTATTTCCACATATTCCTGCCATATGAGTAAAGCTTAGACACTACAAATATAAATTAAGATTAAATTAATTTAAGATTTTTTTTTATTTGTCTATTGAAGTATTTGAAGGAGAAATTGGGAAACTCAACGGTTGACTGAATAACAATAGTTAGATTCTAAACAAACAAGAGACAGCTTTTCCTCATTTTGTCGTAGGGCATTTAGCAGAAATGTTAAAAATCTAATTATACTGACATTTGTCAAATAAAATATCAATCCCCTTGAAAGCTAGACATTAAAATGTCTCATTAAAATTTGGAATATATATATTTTACAGTGATGTATTTTTAAAAACATACCAAAATAATTAAGATATCAATTATGACCTTGATTTTTTTAAAAAATCAATGTTATATTTGCAGCTATCACTGCTATGGTGTCAATAGTTTAAGATCAACAGACAAGGCACTGTCACTGAGTTAGATTGGGGTCAACAAGACAACTTCTAAATTTGCATTATTTTTTTTTTTAGCTGTTTTCCAGCAAATATTTATTTTTAATAATTTCCAGTCAGCATTATCTCATCCACAGATGTACCACTGCCTATATTTTTTGCAAATATAATCTGTGCTATGATGCTGAATGATTGGGCTGGAAAAATCTCTCCAGTGTACTGATATTGTTCTTATAAGAATATCCAGGCATTTCAATTAGTTTTGCACAAACGTTGCTCCTGATAGACTGACTAGTTTCTTTCCTCTTCTCCTAAATACAAAAGTCAACTGTATCAATTGCAAATAATAATTTAAAGCAGGAGTCTTCAAACTTGGCCACTTTAAGACTTGTGGACTTCAATTCCCAGAATTCCACTAGTCTTAAAGTGGCCAAGTTTGAAGACCCCTGACTGAAAGAATTGCTTCTAGAATACCCTTTTAAGGAGAACAAAGGGAAGGAAACCAGCTAAGCTTTGCACTGTCCCAAGTTGTTTAGAGGTTGGGAATAAGATGCATCTTGTATCTGTGAAGTAAAAGAGAGTTAAGCTTAAAAAAAGGTAAGCGTCATTGCAAAGTTCCTACATTAATGTATACACCAATGGAAACTTCACAGCACCAGTTAACCAACGACGAATGCTGCTGTGAACCAGAAAGTGTCCGTGTGCCTTTTAGTGTCCCAGTTCGAGCAAAGCCCATTTTTCAAGAATCAGCAGTTCATGGCACAAGGATCACTTTTGGATTTTCCTGCCGAGTTAATGATTTTCATTAGACAACGTCCAAATTCCTCTAGAATCATCCGTTCTGCTACGGCTTTTGATTTGCCTGCTTTCTCGGCCTGTTCGGCTTGCGCCAGTAAACAGTCACATGTCACGTCAGCAACCTCCTTTGTTACAAACGTAAAGGGCAATCTGGAAAGGGAAAGAAAAAAAAAAAAGCATGAGCTGTGCACTTGGAACCACCACACTTTTTTGAGTTAACTGATAAACCGAGCTATTCACAAACAACAAAAGGAAGATTTAGGTCAGTGATGGAGAACCTTTTATAAACCAAATGCCCAAACTGCAAACCAAAACCCACTTATTTATTGCCGGGTGCCAGGTGGGCGTGGCCCACTGGGTGGGCGTGGCTGTGATGGTCATGGCAGATTAGGTCGGTGTGGCCAACGTGGACGTGATCACTTCGATGTTGCTCGTGGGGAGGGACGCCTGTGGGAGCCAGGCAGGGTTGGGGGAGATCCAGGGGGTCTCTGGCAGGTGGGGTGGTGGGCAGGAGGCGAGGCAGGCCGGGGGTGCCATTGTCACAGGGCAAGGTGAGACAGGAGCCGGGGCAGCTGCTGCCTGATACCATCGGCCCCTGCACACAGAGGCCAGTGAGCGCATGAGTGCTGGGATGCATCTGGCCATGTGGGACCTCGGCAAGTTAGCGGGCGGCTGGTTGAAGACGGATGGTTGCCATCTCCGGGGCATGATGCGCGTGCCCACAGAGAGGGCTCTGAGTGCCGCCTCTGGCACGCGTGCTACAGGTTCGCCACCAGTGATTTAGGTTCTTAGCAGTGCTAATGTATTTGAATTGTATTTCGCTTCCTTTCCTCTTTAAGACTTATGCATTCAGCCTTCTATAGATTTTAATTAATTAGTCTGACAGCTCTTTCTTTGGGTTTAAAGGTGCTGGACCTTTAAATCTGCAACAGGGAAAATCGTAAATCAGCACCCATTCATCTATGCCAGGGGTCTTCAAACTTGGCCCTTTTATGACTTGTGGACTTCAACTCCTAGAATTCTTCACCCAGGCACGCTGGCTGAGGAATTCTGGGAGTTGAAGTCCACAAGTCATAAAAGGGCCAAGTTGGAAGATCCCTGTTTTAAAGCAAATACAACATGCCCAATTTTTTGAAAACTAAAAAGTAGATAGGTGAAGAATTTGTATCCTTTGCTTGTTGCTAATCTACGGTTCACAGTACACCATGCTGTTGACCTGAAGCACCGCTTGACGGTCCCAAGTTCCTCAGCCCAGGCACGCTAGCTGAGGAATTCTGGGAGTTGGAAGTCCACAAGTCATAAAAGGGCCAAGTTTGAAGACCCCTGCTCTATGCAATGTATTCCACTCTCATGATCAGTCTCAGAAGCAATGAGGGAAAATAAAAAGAGCTTAGCAGCCAGCCAAAGGAAGAGAGGAAGAAAGCACTTATGTGGGGGGTGGGGCAGTCCTCCTCTCAAAATCTAATTTGCACGCAAGAAATGGTACAAAGCTAACAAACCAGAAATGAACACACCTCCCCCCTCCACTTGTCAGCACTGGAGCTGGCCTGGTTAACAGATCCGAAATCTGCGAAGACAACTTGGTCTTGGCAGCCGTTTGCTGCTGGACTCGCACTTCAGCAGCATCGGCTAAGTGCATCAGTGTTTTCCGTTCTGGGCTTTCTTCAAAATTCTTGCAGCCGATACATTTGCAAATTGAAGAACACATGATCTTTGCCTGCAACAGGGAGCAATCAAAAGTCAACTGAATGCACTTTCACTGTGGTTTAGAGAACTGCATGGAATGTACAGAATAAAGTGTTGCTAGGTACAAAATCAGTTACATGGGGAGCTTCACCTTTCAGTGTAACCTCCGCGAGAAAAAATACTGGCAAATCCGTGATAATTCAAGTATTGTCACAATGACCTTTCTTTCATTCCAGCTCTGTACATGAAGATGTTCTAGTGCTGGGGATTGTTTATGCAAGTATAAAGTAGATTTTCTGACCTAGAGAAATTCAATGACTCTCCTCCTCACCACAGCTCTATTTGGCATCTACATCACAATTTCCCTAACCCAAGACAATTTCTCCATTTAGATATTATTTTAGTCTGCTATTCCTCTTATTTAGTTTTGATGATTGTTACAAAACACCCTTAAGTTGTCCATTCTTCTGAAGCCCAAATTAAGGTGAATGAGGCTATAAATATGCTGTAAAATAAATACCGTATTTTCCGGCGTATAGGACTCGGCGTATAAGACCCCCGACTTCGGCACCAAGTTGCATGCCTAGAAAGTCGTCTTATATGCCGGAAACTACTGTAATTTCCGGCGTATAAGACGACTCAGCGTATAAGACAACACCCGACTTCAGTGCCGATTTCCACGCTTTAGAAAGTCATCTTATACGTCAGAAAATACGGTAATATCTGATTGCCACCTCAAAAATAATACAGGCTTTCAATTTCTGTCTCATTTCTGGCAGGGAAACACATTTATCCTGAATGAACTTTTGAAACTGTATGATCTTGATGTAGCAAATCCTCTCAGGATGGCTTTCTTGATTGTTCTTGAACCTTTTTTATAACTAAAGATGTGGCTAGCATTTTTTTTAAATTTACAGCAAAGGCATTTTGACAAATAGTGTAGAAAGTTAATACTAATAGAGTAATCCAAAAACTTACTAACTTGGTATGGACAGGAAGAAATAAAATTGAATTAAATCAATTTTTATTGTTCCTGAAAAGCTTACTACTCTGAAATATCACCTCATCTTCTATAAAAGAATTTTCCATCTGTTGCTTGATCAGAATATAGGATCATTTTTAAATAGAGGTACAGTTTTACTTCTCTCAAAGAGCTACAATTATGAAGCTTCTTTTGTAGAAATGATACTCATTAAAACAATTTCACAAAAAGTTATGAAAATAGAAGCTGGAAAATCCTGAAAAACAGTCATCGTCAAATACATAGAAAGATTACTAAATAGGGAGAGAATGATGGAAGGCCTTTATAGAAGTGAGACACTGGGATTGTCTCCATTAAGATCAATCGACATTAGGAATTTTTTTAGAAGAACTGAAGATATTTTTATTAACTAGGTTTTTGGTGACTTAACACCTACTTAACTTGAGTTTTTAAGAGGTGTAAAATATTAGTATTCCACGTAAATTTTAGAACTAAATGGTTAGATTTTTTAAAATATTAGATTTCATAAGACTAAAAACAAAAAAAGCATCACCAAAAAACTCCTTTTTACCTCATAACACTCGCAATAATTTTTGAGGCATCCAGACCTTTTGCAGTTACAACCTTTGCTGTGTCGCCTGTCCGACTCGCCTTCCTTTCCCTTTCCTATTTTAGGTTTAAAAGCTTCAGGATTTCTGTCCAGGCAGGCCTAACAAGGTAATCGTAAAGAGAGAAGGGAGAGAAAAAAGAGAGAAAACAAAATGTTAGAGTCCTGTGCAGGAAAAACTGGCAAAAACATCCATCTAATGTAGTAAAGACAACAACTGTGCTTTCCACCCACTATTCAGGAAGGAATTCATGGGTACCGTGAACTTGGGAAATGTATTTCCCCAAGATTTCCCTGCTCATGACACAAAATTGTTATTTTTTTTTTAAAAAAAAACCTTACCTTGATTGCTTTTTGCCTATCATTTTCATGGTCCAGGTTGTTATAGCAATTTGTACAGTTGCAATTGTTACAGAACTCCCCGTTTGCAAAGCAATCGCAGTATCTGTTTAAAAATTAAAAAAAAAAATCTCTAATGATGATTAACCAATTCAGTGCTGAGTTTCTGACTCTTTCCCATCCTCTATCCTCTTCTGCATCCAACCACACAGAAGTGTGTTGGGAGAAACTTCTGGATGTGGAGGGTGGCAATCTGCTGGACTTTATCTTTATCCAAACCTATAACCTAACCTAGGGATAGGCAACCTTGGCTCTTTTATGGCTCGTGGACTTCAACTCCCAGAATTCCTGAGCCAGCCATGCTGAGGGGAAAGGGAGAGTTTCCAAGCTGAGCCATGCTGGCTCAGGAATTCTGGGAGTTGAAGTCCACGAGTCATAAAAGAGCCAAGGTTACCATCTCTGGCCTAGGCCTAGGCCGCTTTATGACTCGTGGACTTCAACTCCCAGAATTCCTGAGCCAGCCATGCTGAGGGGGAAAGGGAGAGTTTCCAAGCTGAGCCATGCTGGCTCAGGAATTCTGGGAGTTGAAGTCCACGAGTCATAAAAGAGCCAAGGTTACCTATCTCTGGCCTAGGCCTAGGCCGCTTTATGACTCGTGGACTTCAACTCCCAGAATTTCTGAGCCAGCCATACTGAGGGGAAAGGGAGAGTTTCCAAGCTGAGCCATGCCGGCTCAGGAATTCTGGGAGTTGAAGTCCACGAGTCATAAAAGAGCCAAGGTTACCTATCTCTGGCCTAGGCCTAGGCCGCTTTATGACTCGTGGACTTCAACTCCCAGAATTCCTGAGCCAGCCATGCTGAGGGGAACGGGAGAGTTTCCAAGCTGAACCATGCCTGCTCAGGAATTCTGGGAGTTGAAGTCCACGAGTCATAAAAGAGCCAAGGTTGCCTACCCCTGACCTAACCTAAAGATAGATGAGTGTGCGTGCGTGTGCATGCGTGTGTACCCTGGTTCCTTTATTCATGAGTGTGAACATGTTAACCTTGGGCTTAACAGGAACTCTCAACATGTCATGAGCCATAAAAATGGTCCCTTCAAAGGAACAAATAAATTAAAGACCAGAAACAAAGGCTGCCTCTAAAGAAAAGGCTTTTGACATTCACCTTACATGGAGTTGGACTGATCCCCTCCTGATTCAATTGGCTCCAACCTCGCTGGGCTTTTGTAAGGCATTAAAAAGCTGAGTTTTCCACAGGCATTCAGGCTGGAATGTTAGATGTGCCCATTTTGGGAGATGTTATATTATTTATCTTCATTATTGTTTTTATAACATTTTGCTAGCTACCCAGAGTCACCTAGGTGAGTGGGCAGCCATAGAAAATGGATTAAATTAATACAAAAAATAAGAAAATAAACTAGTATGGACTGCTCCATAAAGGAAAAGGTAGGTTTCCTTCAGGTTAGCAGCCATGAATTCATCCTGGGAATAACCTGTGGACATCAGAAAAAGAAATGTTGCTTGTACCCCTTATTCTGCGAACCAGGTTTACTGTTGGTCTGCCTCTAAGTCTGAATCATTCAGCTACAGATCAACGCACAGAGACCTATTCTAATCATGCAAATGGACAGTATCATTTCAGAAGATTTTAGAGAATAATTTTTGAAGTGGAATCCCTGGGGAAAATGTGGCTTTTGTTCTTCCAGGTTTTTTTCCCCCTAATGTACAGCGAAGTGGATTTTTAAATCTGCGAAGAGGTTATGTGTTTAATACTCACAGCTTAAGACACAGTGATTTTGTACAGTTGCAGGGTTTTCTTGGACGATTTGCAGATTCAGACGAGATTATCCTGGAAAACAAGATGTAAGTATGATTTTTATTTATATTTCTTATTTCTAAATCGCTGATCTGCCTCAAACAGGGCTCTGGAGTGTGTATAATATAATACAATTGATAAATGAAATCTACAAAAATTAAGATTAACATTAATTTAGGATTAAAAATTAAATGACAAAATAACGACATTATGAACTTCTGAAGGATGAAAATCCCAAGAGCGGCATTTAATGCTGGTTACTGCAGGCAAGGCCGCACAACCAAATTTTGATCCCTTTGCAGAAGGCTAAGAGAGTGCGAGCCTCTCACATCTGGGGGCAGGACATTCCATAAATTCAGCAGGGAAGGCTCTCTTCCTAGACCAGGGGTAGGCAACCTTGGCTCTTTTATGACTTGTGGACTTCAACTCCCAGAATTCCTAAGCCAGCATGACTCAGCTTGGAAACTCTCCCTTTCCCCTCAGCATAGCTGGCTCAGGAATTCTGGGAGTTGAAGTCCACGAGTCATAAAAGAGCCAAGGTTGCCTACCCGTCCTAGACCCTGCCAGACAAAATTCCTTGACTGACCGGGTCTGTAGCATACCTTCCTTGCCTGAATGAGTGAGACCAGCTGATGTGATGGGGTGAAGTCCCATTTTGTTTTCCAAAGAAGAATATGGTATTTCTGAATTTTTTTTCCCATTTAAACAGCATAACATCCCTTCACAACTTAGCCTACTCAACTCAGCTCAACATGTTCCACAATCAGAGGACAGAAGCATGACTCAGAGGCATTGAGCAAAGGGCTCCTACAGATGAGCATTTCAAAAGAACAAGGTTGATATGTTATGAGAAGCAAATTGTCTAAGACACTAAGTGAAGCACAGCTTATCTGCTGTGGCTTTTCCCCTGGGCTCTTTCCAGTGGGGCACAACTTCAGATGAGAATCAGGTGGCAATTGGCCATTCATTCATTCCAATGAGGAAGAAGCTATCATCTGACAACAATGCCTAAATTTTAACACAAATCACTGTTTTTGGATGGTCTCCACTTTGCACATATGCCCACATTAGCAACAAGCCAAAATTCATAGGTGAATTTCATACGCACGTACATACTCTAAAACAGACATGTCAAACACACGGCCCGGGGGCCGGATGAAGCCTGCGAAGTGGTTTCATGTGGCCCGCGAAGCCATCCTGGAAACAGTGAGGGAACGGCCCCCTCTGCGTTGGCTCTGGCCCAGGCCAGCCGGGAGCCAATGTACAATTTTGTGGTGGCCATCTATGCTGAAACGCATTCAGTCTTAGCTCCATAAGCCCCCCCCCCATCCCTGCATGGCCCGAGTGGAACAGTGAGGCTTCTCCAGTGGACCATGCCTGGCACTTGCCCTGGTCCCACCCCCTTCTGCCAGAGACCCTCAGATCTATCCCACTCCTGCCCAGGCCCCCACAGGCACCCTTGATGTGAAAAATGTAGAACTGGCCACGCCCACCCAGTAGGCCGCACCCACCCTAGCCACACCCAGCCGGCCCCCTGAGGGCAACCGCAATGCTGATGCGTCCCTCAATGAAATTAAGTTTGACACCTCTGCTCTAAAAAGAAACTTATCCAGGTAGCAACTACAAAACATCCCTTTTTCTAAGAAATGGAAAGGCAATTCCAGGTAGGCCATCTTCCTCAAATCAGTCTTTAGACTCTGCATTATCAGGAAAACATGATGTAAAAATAAGCTAGATGGATGGACTGGCTCTTCTTTTATTGGATTCTTCTATATAAAGGCTAAGCCTAACAGATGGCTGCAAGGTTATATTCTAATATTTGTAAGATCCTCTCTCTATGTTTATCTCTTTTTAACCGCCTGTTTTCAAATTGTTTTCTGTCTTGAGACTCTGGGATCAAATAACCAAATCAATAACACGACAATCTGGTCAGGTAGCCAAGTTGTGCGAAACAAAGAAGGAAAATCTTCAATATCTAGTATACATAGACAAGACGCTATGATTGCAGCAGCTGTTTTTTAGTAGCTGAACATTAAACACTTCTTCCAATCTCATTTCCTTCCATGTAATATGCGTATTGCGTAATTTATATAGACAATACCCACCCATTGAACGGAAGCCGGGCTTGGGTCTGGATACTTGATGTCCCACTTAGGTTAGTACTGCTCGCTATGGAGACACAAGATGGCTGCTGTAGCTTAAAAAACACACACACACACAGTTAATGCATCACATGCTGTCTGTAGATGAGGATTTTCACAAATAGTTGCATTAATCACACTCCCTTCTTTTTCCATTCTTGGAAGTCATAAGGTGGTCATTGGTATTTTTAGGCAATATGGCTTTCTAGAAACTTGGTCTTGGATGGTATCTTCCAATTTAGTATACCTACAAGGATAGCCTAATCCAGGGGTCTTCCAACTTGGCCCGTTTTTATGACTTGTGGACTTCAACTCCCAGAATTCTGGGAGTTGAAGTCCACAAGTCATAAAAGGACCACGTTGGAAGGCCCCTGGTCTAATCTCTTGTACTGTAGTTGCCATGTTGATTATGAATAAAGGCTTAAAGTGAAGAAAGAGATAGGCAAATTTACCAGATGTCACTTAAAATAACAGCCTGCTTGACTGCACATACATAAAAAAATGCTACGTTGATTTGCAATTGGCTCTGTCAAAGCACGCTAACTTCAGGAGGTTAAAATTCCACAGGTACATGAACTGTAGAAAACTAATAGGAATCCTCTGCTAAGTATGGTACATCTTGTTCCCACCGTGGACTTTTACAATAATGTTATAATTCTCTGCAGTTCCAGTATTTGCTTTGGGCTCTTACTGCCTTAGTGGATTTCTGCAAAACATTTCTTTACAGATTTTCTGAAACTCGTTTTATGATAGCCCATTCCCCCCTCAATACATTTAAGGCTAGATAACATCAGAATGGATGAGCATCTTAAAAACAAAATACAACTGATCCAGGATTTATTCAGAATGTGTAATACCTGGAAAAAAACTAGAGTTGAAGAGAAAAGTGTAACCCAAATCAAGCTTGTGAACCTGATTTTCCCTATTCGCATTTTATGCTTCCCATAAAAGTATTCTGCTACCATAACTTTTTTTTTTCTGCATCTTTTACACAAGCTGGCTGCCCTCCAAATTATGGATTTCAACACTCAGGACTCTTAGAAGGCTGGCTGGGGAATTCTGGGTGGTGACATCCACACATGGGAAGAACGCACAGGCTACGGAAGACAATGTTGAAGAATAGCTGTTCTTTCTTGCCTGCAGTTGTCTTTTAAATATTGCCAACCTGAGTTTCTCTAAATGAGACATTGCAGAAATATATTCTGCTTACCCACCTAAGGGGAGGGGGGGTGGGGGGAAGGATGGGTTGAAGGTTAAATAGCTCAGATAAGTAGAAATAGTTTTATTGTATATAATATTGATGTTTTAATTTGGAGAGAGGAATTGCTTGGGCATTTCCCCTGGACTGCATCTGGAGTGAGAAGATAGGAGGAAGGGGAGAAGTAAGTAGGAAGGTTGAGGAGAAGGAGGAGAGGGGGAGAGTGAGGAAGAAGAGGGAAAGAGGGAAGTGAGAGAAGAGGTTACTGGGTGGACGTGGTTTGGGGGGGAAATGGGTGAGCAATACCGAAAGTTGTGTGTATAAATTTATTTTACTCTTTATCTGAAGTATTTTTTATGAATGTAATCTAAAATTGAAAATAATTTTTTTTTAAAAAAAAACATCTCAGATTATTTCTAAGATTTAACCTTACTAATGAGCTGTTTCTCGCAGCATCCCTTAAACCAGAGCTTCTCATCTCAGTAACTTGGGTAACCCAAATCAAGCTTGTGAACCTGATTTTCCCTATTCATATTTTATGCTTCCCATAAAAGTATTCTGCTATCATAACTTTTTTTTCTGCATCTTTTACACAAGCTGTGGACTTCAATTCCCAGAATTTTCTAGCCAGCATGCTGAAAAGATTTGGAAGGTGAGAAACTGCCTCCAGCTACCAAATATACAAATTCTCTAGTCTCTTCTCCAAGAGTATTAGTTATAAACGCTATTATTTTTTATAACTTCCTTCCCATAATATCATACCTGTGTGACATACTGAGCTGGGAGAAATGCATATCCCACGTTTCCTGTGCCATGAGCAGGGGCGAAGACAGTGCCAGGGGAAAGATTGGTGAGGTTGGGTTGGATCTGTGGCAGTGGTGTGGCAGGCATGATAAGTCTTTGTTGTGGCTGGCTTGTGGTAACTATCTGTGAAGTTGTGTTCATTGGTTTGGGGGCTACCTGCAAGGAAGGAAACATTCAGGATATCTTTCTTGTATATCACACTACAATCTTTTGCAGCAAATAACTTTATAAGGATAGTCAGAGTTAAATTAACTGAAAGTTTCTGTGAAAAACTAGGGATTCATAGGAAGCTGCTGTACGTGGAACTTACTTGTTTGACTGTCTGTGTTGCTGGGATAATAGGAACAGACATCCGTACAGGGGTCGCGTTCACCACCACTGGTTTTGCTGTTCAAAAGAAATGGAATGAGATACAATATGCAACTTTCTAAGACATTAGGAAAATGTTAGGCAGCTTCCTTAAATATCCGGTCATCCCTCATTCTGGTAGGTCTATCTTGAGCTATGTCATGTTCAGCAAGATACGTTACCCAGCAGGTCATATCCTCCAGTCCATATATAAATAGCTACAGAAAAATGTCATGAATTGAAAAAATGTTTGTTATAAAAAGCAGATACAATTTTGTTTAGAATCTAATGCCGGGGAAACAAAATAAGAACATGGCCCATATGAGCATTTTGAATGTAGCAATATCATTTCCATCAGTAGCACATACATTCAACATATTTGGGTAACTTCAATGTCAAAAATAAGTCAAAGCAATGCTGAGCTGTTTTCAGGGTTATACATTTTAATTCCAATTTCGTTTCCCAAGAATTGTTACTTATGTTGCTATGATAACACTAGCAGACTTGGTGGACCACAGGCTGCAAATGGCCTTAAAAATAAAATACAGAATAGCCTAGGCCAGGGGTAGGCAACCCAAAACACTCAAAGAGCCACTTGGACCCGTTTCCCACCGAAAACAAAACACTGGGAGCCGCAAAACCCTTTTGATATCTAAAATGAAGATAACACTGCATATATCCTTTTTTACCTTTATTACAGGTATATATAGATATACATACACACATACATACATACACACATGGATTTTTTTTCTCGTAGGATGCCCAGAACGGAGTTCCGGCACCTTTTTGGATGGAACCTTGAAGGGTAGACAAGGCGGGTTGTATGATGTGTGTGAGTTCTGGCACCCCCCCCTTTTTTTTTAGAAAAAAAGCACTGCATACATACATGCATGCATGCATACATACACACACACACACACACACAAGGTAAAAAAGTGTTATCTTCATTTTAGATATCAAAAGGGTCTCTCTCTCTCTCTCTCTCTCTCCACCCCCTTCTCTCCCTCTCTCCGATCTTCTGCTCACCTGGCAAGCTCTCCAACAAGCTCAGGGGTCGGCAAACTTGGCTCTTTTATGACTCATGGACTTCAACTCCCAGAATTCCTGAGTCAGCATGGCTGGGCTAGCTAGCTCTCTCCTGCCCTTCCTGCTTCCTGCAGAGATGCAGCAAAGGGAGGAGCCCCGCCCAAAAAGCTTTTCAGCTTGTCGGAGAACACCGTGAGTCCACTCTCTTTTTACTTACTTACACACACACACACACACACACACACACACACACACACACAGAGAGAGAGAGAGAGAGAGAGAGAGAGAGAGAGAGAGAGAGAGAGAGAGAGAGAGAGAGCGCCTCTCTCTGTCTCTCTTTGCAAATGGAGGCTGGGAGCTGCAGGAGAAGGCTCAAAGAGCCACATGCGGCTCGGGAGCCGCAGGTTGCTGACCCATGGCCTAGAGCAGTGTTTCTCAACCTTTTTAATGCCGTGACCCCCCCCCCAACTGGTCGTAAGTCGAGGACTATTCAACCGGTCGTAAGTCGAGGACTACTCAACTGGTGCAGCACCGTTTGTCGAATGGGACTTTTGGCAGGCTCAGCAGGGCAGAGACAGCCTGGACAATTCCTATTGGCTTTTGAAAGCCAATAGAATTAGACTCTATTCAAGAGAGTCTATTCTATTGGCTTTCAAAAGCCAATAGAATAAAAGGGAGTAGCACAGCTAAGGAAAAGGGGAAAGAAAATGGCGGACTGCGTTGTTTGGCGACCCCCGTGAAATGGTCGTTCGACCCCAAATGGGGTCCCGACCCACAGGTTGAGAACCACTGGCCTAGAGGGAGACATTCAACACAACAATAACAAACATGCCCTAGAAAGGGAAAAGTTCAGCAAGAGAAGGTGGGAAATTGTGTTGCAGGGGTGTATAACATGAGTCTCCAAGCTTGGCAACTTTTAAGATTTGTGGACTTCAATTCTCACAATTTCCCAGCCAGCTTGGGTGGATGAAGAATCCTGGGAGTCCACAAGTCTTAAAGTTGCCACGGTTGGCGACTCCTGGTCCGTAGGAATGCTTGGAAGCACTCCACCCTGCAAGGTTTTTCCTATGGAGCCCGCTAACAATTCACAAGCGGGCTTAAGAGAATTCCAAGGTATACAGATGCAACTTGAGTAGGAAACCTCCACCCTCAACCCCCCCAATTCCAATGAAAACAAAAATGTGTCCAGTAGCTATGAAGTGGTCAGTGTGATGGGAAGAATGAAAAGGGGGGGGGGGAAGTAAAATGAAGCAAGCAGGAGGGATATCAGTGCGCACTGCAACGTTCTGATGCAAATCCCAGTTGCAAACATATATAACTGAAAATTGATTAATGGTTCAAATTACTATTTGAAATTAAATAAAGCTTTACACCCACGTTGCCAAGTGGTCTATTTTTAAAAGAAAATCTTTCAGAACTTTAAATACAAGTGAACATAAATATCAAATCTTTATTACATGGCTACACAGGCCATGAAAAATAATGCAACAAGCATTAGTGTAATTCTGAAACACCTCCAAGAATTCTGAAGCAAAGCCGATCACGGGAGTAAGACGAGCAAACTATGGTCATAATTAAATCTTAATGAAATGGCATTTCATTATGGCATTCTCCAACTAAGCAACGATCAATAACAAATAACCATGTTTCAATTCTAAATCTATTAAAAAATAGAAAACCTATTCCAGCTAAGCAGTAGGCTTTCGACTTGCATAAAGCATCTCCTCCAATTTACCATTCTCATCAAAATTCTTTTGTAGTTTCCTACTTGCACCTTTCTTAAGCACCTTTCAATGATCATAAAATATATTCAAATAAAGAGTCTTCTAACCTTGCTGGAGATTTGCAGTGCTGGTGCTGGGATTCTGATTGACTGGCTGTGCTGTACTATTGGCAGTTGTGGCAGTGACAAGCCGGACATAATGGAATTTGCTTCCAGGTACCTGAATTTGCTGAACGTTGGGTGCCGTTGCCAAGGGAATTATCGTTTTAAATTGAGACGTGCCCACTCCCCCAACGGTGAGGGTCTGTACTGCAGATTTCATAGCCTGTTGAAACAATATAAAATTATTTTTAAGATTGCTGGCAAACCAATTCTTCATTTCTAATGAGAGTCAGCAAAATTTCCCTCAGGTCCGAGACTAACAGACAAATAAAACACTGCTACCGTACTGTTCATTAATAGGCCAGAAGCTATTCGCTGAGTATGGTACAGTTGCTTGATTCTAGGTTGGCTTTAAGCTATTCAATAGTGCTTTAATTTAAGACAGACAGACAGACAGACAGACAGAAAGAAGGAAGGAAGGAAGGAAGGAAGGAAGGAAGGAAGGAAGGAAGGAAGGAAGGAAGGAAAGGAAGGAAGGAAGGAAGGAAGGAAGGAAGGAAGGAAGGAAGGAAGGAAGGAAGGAAGGAAGGAAGGAAGGAGACAATCACTCGTGCCTGAAGCTATGCAATGCTGCAAATCACAATCTGAAGAACAGGCTCTCAGAATGGGACTCAAATTAGTGTGTACCTGAGCAGTTGTACTGTTAGATACAGCTTTTCCTGGGGAAGAGGGCGTTGAATGCTGCACTGTGAGAATCTGCTGTCCCAGGGCTACGTTTAGAGGAACACCAACTGTTTTCTGTGGGGAGCTTGGAGGCTGTGAGGCGACCGACACCACCGTTAGCTGCTGAACAGGATCATACAAGTACAGAATCCCAACTTCAAAATATGTAACACTGCAAATGCGTTAAGAGGTCAAGACTTTCCACAATATGGGTAGGATCGGGAGGCAAAATGAGCAAGGGAGCTCAAAATGCAGTGGGGCTGTTTTACTCCATTTTGGAAAAAAAAGTAAACCTATAATCAACTATGGAGGGGGGGGGAGAGGGGAAGAGAAGAAAGGAGGGAGTGGGAGGGGTCGGGGCAGTGGCAACTACAAGTCCGTTAAATCCAGAATTTGCATTGGTGTATTAATGTATAGGTAGTCCTCGACTTACAACCAAAACTGAGCCCAAAATTTCTGTCGTTAAGTGAGGCAGTTGTTCAGTGAGCTTTGCCCCATTTTACAGTCTTTCTTGTCACAGTTGTTAAGTGAATCACTGCACTTGTTAAGTCAGTAACATGGTTGTTAAGTGAATCTGGGTCTTCCCCATTGACTTTGCTTGTCAGAAGGTCACAAAAGGGGATCACACGATCCTGAGACATTGCAACCGTCATAAATCTGAGTATGTGGTCAAGCATCTGAATTTTGATCACGTGACCATGGAGGAATGCTGCAACGGCCGTGAGTGTGAAAAACAGTCATAAGTCACTTTGTACAGTGCCGTTGTAACTTCAAATGGCCACTAAATGAATTATTTTAAATCAAGGACTATCTGTATCTACATTCCTTCACCGACACAAATATTCTTTTCTGTCATATTCAACTTTAATTGGAGGGCTTGTGAATTTCCCTTTAGCACATATTCCCACGGCAGAATGATGCCGGAGAGCAGATGATTCTAAAATAGCTGAAAACAGTCAGAGCCCTTTAGAAAGTCCATTTCAAAATCACACTAACTTAGTTTAAGTGGAAAATACTGCAATATAAAAGCAATTGAAATATACATTTACCTTGTTTGGTGATTTCAAAGGAGAGATTGCGATCTTATTTGAGGCCTCCTGTATTGTGGAACTTAAAGTTGTCCCAATAACGCCACTTTCTGATATAGTTACAGTTTTGGGGGGTGTCCCTGGAGCAGTCTGTGTAAGAACTCTACCTGTAGAAAAACAGAAAGAGCTATAATCTTATTCATCTTCTCAGCTGATAAAGCCCAAGATTTTCTGGTAAAGGCATTAACCCTTTCCATGCACTACAGGAATTGGTTTTTAAGGCAGACACCACTTAACTTTAAAAATAAACATACAATTTAAATTGAAACTGCTGCAATCATCGTTTTGTGGCACTATAAAATATATTATATACTTCACTGAATTATCTCTCTTTCTTGAATAGCCTACCTACCTATTTTTTTAAAAACAACAACAACAATACTTTGGCAATCAAAAACAAAATGGTCTTCACCTAAAAAGCCACCAAGTAAGGTAGGGGTCTTCAACCTTGGCAACTTTAAGACTTGTGGACTTCAACTCCCAGAATTCTGGGAATTGAAGTCCACAAGTCTTAAAGTTGCCAAGGTTGAGGACCCCTGAAGTAAGGAGACATCCCAAATAGCAGTTAAAACTTTTTCGCCTGTAGAGAATCATCCACATTGCTAAAAAAAAACCAAACCCACTATTCTCTTTTGAACAAATACAATTTTTATAGTAATGCATCTTAGTATAATCCCAAATGCTGATACAATTTTGATTACGATCTTAAGAATTTGTTAAACATCGTAAAAGACAAATGAGATTTGTATTAATCTGATCAAATGTTGCCCAGTCACTCCAAACAGTGAGAGGATGGTATACAAATTTAATAAATAAAATATTCAAGATAAATTTATATCAGAATTTAACTCCCTTTCCTCTGCAGCCCACCTCTCCTATGTACATTTTGTAATTGAATCTGCAAATGTTTGCCCTATATTTCCTCAGTAGTAAGAAAGAGAAACAATTAACCTTGATTGTAAGAGTGATTGTATGACTATTTTTTTCCTTAGACAAAAGAAAAAAAGTAAATAATTCCACACATTGCTGCACTAAATATTTCCTAAGAATAGATTGATCTTTTGCTCTAATGCAAAAATAAGTATGCTGAAATATGGCAGTAATGCTTCAAATAACATGTACAATCAATATACTGATTTCTTAGCTGCAAAACTTGTCAATAATTTCAGATGGAATGAGAGCATAATTCAAAACCAACCAAGAATGCATTCCTGCACTTTATCACATATTCATAAAACTAGCAAGCTTTCTATATTTAGAACTTGATAAGATGATTGCCTGGATTCCCACATAAACCAGTCCAAGATCTGAACTTTTAAAGATAAGATGCTAAACTTTTATATATTTTCTACTTGGCTGGAGAACAAATCTTTTTATAGCTGGCATTCAAAGCACCTGTGCTCAGAAAAAATGTTTCTTTAAATCAGACATGTCAAACACAAGGCCCGGGGCCCGGATGCGGCCTGCGAAGTGTGGTTTCATGTGGCCCGCGATGCCATCCTGGAAACAGTGAGGGAGTGGCCCCCTCTGCCTTGGTCCTGGCCCAGGCCAGTCGGGAGCCAATGTACAATTTTGTGATGGCCATCTATGCTGAAACGCATTCAGTCTTAGCTCCATAAGCCCTCCCCCCGCATGGCCCGAGAGGAACAGTGAGGCTCCTCCAGTGGACCATGCCTTGGCACTTGCCCTGGTCCCACCCCCTTCTACCAGAGACCCTCAGATCTATCCCATTCCTGCCCAGGCCCCCACAGGCACCCTTGACACGAATGATGTAGAGCTGGCCACACCCACTCCATCCACGCCCATCCAGTAGGCCACACCCACCCGGCCCCCTGAGGGCAACCGCAATGCTGATGCGGCCCTCAATGAAATTGACTTTGGCACCCCTGCTTTAAATCAGAAAAGCAATCAAGACATTCATAAAAGAAATCTGACTCCCTTTTACACTGAGTAATGCTCTAGAGCAGGGGTCCCTAAACCCCGATCCATGGACCAGTACCCGGCCATGGTATGCCAGCAACCGGTCCGCACAGACAAGCAAAGCCCCATCTGCAAGATGCAGTCAACACACAAAACCACGCACCCTCCAGTACAAGGAAAAAAACCTCTCTCCAAGGAACTGGTCCCTGGTGCCCCAAAGGTTGGGGACCTCTGCTCTAGACTGCAGTGTTTCTTGGGGACTTTAAAATGTGTGGACTTCAACTCATCTTAGCTGGCTGGGGAATTCTGGGAGTTGAAGTTCACCTATCTTAAAGTGCCCAAGGTTGAAAAACACTGCAGTCTAGAGCAACTTTCCTCAAAGTAACATCCAGGTGTTTGGACGACAACTCCCCCAATTCCCAGCCAGCATCCGAATATATCTGAACAGCATCTCTTCTAATGTAGTTTTCCCCAATCTGGGTGCCCGCCAAAGGCAGGGACCAACTCCCAGACTTCCCCCATCAGGTATATTCTGCGGAGCTGAAGCTTAAATATCTGGAAAGGACCTAGACCAGGGGTAGGCAACCTTGGCTCTTTTATGACTCATGGACTTCAACTCCCAGAATTCCTGAGCCAGCATGGCTCAGCTTGGAAACCTCTCCCTTTCCCCTCAGCATCATCGCTGGCTCAGGAATCCTGGGAGTTGAAGTCCACAAGTCATAAAAGAGCCAAGGTTGCCTACCCCTGGCCTAGAGAGAGGAAAGCCATTCTGGGGCTTCCCATAACCTAATGCTCTCCCAATGCTTGTAGGTAATATTGTTTTGACAAATTTCAAGAAACTATGAGTGAGAAAGGACAGAAAATCCGCTATGAAATCAAAATCCATCAAATGTCACTTTATACTTCATTTACCGTACTTTCCGGCGTATAAGACGACTTTCTAAAGCATTGAAATCGGCACCGAAGTCGGGGGTCGTCTTATACGCTGAATCTTCTTATACGCTGGAAATTATGATAGTTTCCGGCATATAAGATGACTTTCTAGGCATGCAACTCGGCGCCGAAGTCGGGGGTCGTCTTATACACCGGGTTGCCCTATACACCGGAAAATATGGTACCTGTAACACACTGGGTAAATGCCACAACATAAACAAACCATTAATAAATATATTCAGATACAAACCTGCAATGACTGGTGATACTTGAGTTGTCTGCCCCATAACTGCCTTGCTATTAATTGGTTTGGTGATGATGAATTTCGTTATCATTGGGGCTGAAGTTGGTGTCCTGGCTTTCTTAGCAATCTGGAAAACAAGGAGAAATCCAGTAACCCATCGTTTCTTAAGAAGTGAGCCCAAACTACTTAGAAGCAAGGGAAAACCACCCCTGACCCAACTCCACTGAAACCCCCACCCCAAAAGTAAAACAACAGTTCAAACCTATCGCATGAAAGCTACATGGGTAGGACAAGTACAGATGGTCCTCGATTTATGACCACAATTGAGCCCAGCATTTCTGTTGTGAAGTGAATTTTGTCCCATTTTGTGACCTTTTTGCCACAGTTATGTGAATTGCTGCAGTCGATAAGTTGATAGCATGGTTGTTAAGTGAATCTGGATTCCCCATTGACTTTCCTTGTCAAAAGATTGCTAAAGGGGATCACATGACCTTGGGACACAGCAACGGTCATAAGTACGAACCAGTTGTCAAGCGTCTGAATTTTGATCACACGGTCATGGGGATGCCGCAAAGGTCGTAAGTGTGAAAAATGGTCGTAAGTCACTTTTTTCCGTGCCATTGTAACTTTGAACGGCTACTAAATGAACTGTTTTAAGCAGAGGACTACCTGAACATGCAGATGGGGGGTGGGGTGGATTAGGAGTGTAATAGAGGGATGGGAGGCAAATAAAAAAAATGACTCAGTTAATAGATTTATACATTGGTTTGATTATTACATTTATATACTTTTATTATGAATAAGAATCTTCCCAAACTGGATTAAAAACAAAAAAAAAGCTGAAAGTACACACTGGGTGAAGAAAATGTGAAAAGGAATGAAAACTGTATGTACAAGCACATACACATAACGCAAAAATGTAAACCTCAGTTTAGCAGTTATTCATGGGCTTAACTATAAGCTCAAGATCTGTAAATCTTCATGCTTATTATGCCTTTGGTTTGGGCCTGTTATAAAAAAGTTTTTTTAAAAAAGATAATTATAAATATAGACTAACCCACTTTTTTTTTTTTTGCTTTTTCATAATAAACCAGAACCAAAGGAATATTTTTCAGACATGGCCATGAAGGTTAGAGTTCTTGAGTTTATAGTTACCCTCATGAACCGCTGCTAAACTGAGGTTTAAATTTTTGCATATGTTTATATGCTTGCACACATAGTTGCCATTCCTTTCCACATTCTTTTTCACAGTGTGTACTTTCATTCTTCAAACTGCCAACTTACACTTTTAGTAATCATCTGATCGATCCATTCAGGGAACTGATCAACACAGTAAGACTCTGAATCGCATGCGACGTTAAAAACCACAGAAGCCAAAATAATAAGAATAGGACAGGTCCCAGAGGGAAATATTCAAAGTAACAGATAAATCCTGAAAGAGGCTCACTGTCTCACCAAAATCAAGACCCGGGGAAAAAGTAAATTTTCTAAAGTTTGGTAATTTGGGGGGAAGGACTTTCTGATATGTGCTGCTACAACCCCATCTCAGTGGACAGATTCTTTTACCTGGCCAGCTGTCCTCCACACCTACTGGCTGCCACCAAAGGGAATTCTCAATCGAACATCAATTTTATTGCAAAGGGAATAACTGTCAGAAATCTTTCTTACCTGAACCGCTTTTAGCTGCTGGGTCTGCAGTACGGATGACTGGTTTGTGGCGTTTACCAGCTGGCACCCTGGAGTCAAGGTCGACACACCAATGATGGGTTTCACCTCTGACCTTCCTCCGATTGTGACCACCTTGAATTGCTGTGCTGGAACTTTGGAGTCACTTGCTTGTACTTGCGATGTGGTCTTCTGAGACTGTGACAGCTGGCTGTGGGGCAGCGCCAAGACAATCGGCTGTCCGGGCTTGCCCAGAGTTGTTACTATGAGTTTTTGACCTTCCTGCTTTATGGCCTGTTTACTAATTTTCAAGTCCGTGGCTTTGTTAAGAATGATTTGATTGGCTGATAGAGAGACTGGAGTCTGGGTGCCTAGTTTTTGGAGGCCGCTTTGAAAAGAAGGTTGTGCGGTCACACTGGCATCAGATTTTACGAAGGCAGAATTGCCGGTAACGTGGCTCACACAATTGCTGGGCAATGTGACAGATTCCGTGGTGACTGATGATGTACTAGTAGCAGTAGGATCATCAGCAGAGCTTACGTTTGCTATTCCCTCCAGTTCTGTTTCCATAGGAATAGGGTCACCCACAATTACAGCTTGGATGCTCTCATCTTCCTCCAATGTGATACCTGTGTCCATGATCTCCTCAGGGAGCAAGCTGTTCACTTCTGCTGACACAACCTCCATTTTGCAGATGTTGATGGTGGGTTCAAGAGAAGCCACTGCAGTGATATTTTAAAAAATGTTCAGTTTTCATGTCCCACAAAACTATATAACTTGAAACAGCAGATGTGTCATAGCTGCACAGCATATAACCGTGGAAGTGATATATTAGCAGCTGTGGATAAATACACCACTAGCATCCCCTCCCCCATTAGCTATCATTAATTAATCTGTTAGCTAATAAGAATATTTACTAATTGTACTGAAAGGGAGATAGCTTAGAAGCTAGGAGCATTCCCTGTTCTAATCACTTATTAGCCATAAATATATTGAATAATCAACAAGATCTTTTTCAGCTTCAGCCAGTCCGGGTGAGCTTTCCTCCCTTCCAGGATAATGCTTATGTTTTAATGCAGAAAAATTCCCATCAGCAAAAGCATGACATATATTTGTGAATGAAAGATACTTTGATTTTGTATTACACAGGGAGGGGATGGTTAACCAATTACTCACCAAATATAAACCATAGCCAGATGGGAATTAAAATGTTTTAAAATAACCTCCTTTATTAACAACGTAAGCTTTCATTATACCAAATCACTGGGCTGGCAGGATTTTTGTTGGAAATGACAGTATGTAGGGACAGGTTAGCCCAGGGGTAGGCAACCTTGGCTCTTTTATGACTCGTGGACTTCAACTCCCAGAATTCCTGAGCCAGCCATGTTGAGGGGAAAGGGAGAGGTTTCCAAGCTGAGCCATGCTGGCTCAGGAATTCTGGGAGTTGAAGTCCACGAGTCATAAAAGAGCCAAGGTTGCCTACCCCTGGGTTAGCCCATCCTCCTTCAACAGCAAACTCTCTGAAAGTGATCCACGTATACAATATGTATAGATTTATTCAAAATCTTCCAATGGCACCAATCCTACATGAAGAGACTTGGGTTGGGGCAAGAAGGGGACCCTGTGGCTAGCCAAAGAGACACTAAAACTTTATGTCCATAACACGTATTATAGTGGTATTGTTATCCAGCTTTACGGAAGCAAAGTATTATAAAGAATGTTGGGGATTCATATTTAAATTCAATATTTTGATGAAAAGTAGGGAGGGTACAAAATGCTTGACATGTTGACATGTCTAGATTGGACATTGGTGCAATGCAGTAGTGGCAGTGATTCTGTGAAGTAGAAATAATTCTAATTACCTGAACTTCTTTTAAATCCTGCTTCACATCAGTGCACCTCCAAAAGCATCATCATGCAGCACCATCTGCTGAAGCTGCAAAAGATAACAATGTTTTGTCACTTTCAGATCCATGCTATGTTGTCAGAATATTTTCCTTCACCTTTGATGTTTGTTTTTTTTGTCAAGGCCAATTACACATACACAATGTTGATATCCTCTCACAGTGCCTGAAGGCAGAAGGGGGCTGAACAACAGGCTTCAGGTGATCCTGGCTAGACTGAGGGGTTTTAGGTTGTAGGGTCTTCTGGATTTGGAGATTTGGTGCTCTCGGTGAGCTTGCATTGCCTTATGCAAAGTGCAATCTGGGGTCCTTCTGGACTCACAACTCCTACTCAAGAAGCGGGTTCCAGTCATGGCTAGGAGGGCCGTTTTGCAGCTTAGTATTGTCCCCAGATGTGCCCATTTCCCAAAGGACTACTGTATTGTACTCTATATGGGGCTGCCCTTCAACAGCATCCAGGAACTTCAGCTGGTGCAAAATGCAGAGGATTGTTTATGGAAATTCTCAAACATCCAGGTCATGGCTGTCCCACAAGGCAAGTGGACTTTCATTTTTTTTTCTTTGAAAACATTTCGCTTCTTACCCATGAAGCTTCTTAAAATTAGAAGATAAAAGCAGTTTCAGTTAGAATTGAAGAAGCTTCTTGGATGAGAAATGAAACATTTTCAAAAAATAAGAAAGGGAAAAAAAATGAAAAAAGTCCAGTTGCCTTTTGGAAAAAGCATTTTTGAGACACTGGCAGTGACGTGTGCGTGCCCTAGGACTGCACATGCTATGCCTATGATCCAGAGCTGAAGTGGTTTCCAGTTTGCTTTCCAATTCAATGTGCTGGTTATAACCTCTGAAGCAGACATGTCAAACACAAGGCCCAGGGGCCAGATGCAGCCCGCAAAGTGGTTTCATGCGGCCCGCGAAGCTATCCTGGAAACAGTGAAGGAGCAGCCCCCTCTGCCTTGGCCTTGGCCCAGGCCAGCTGGGAGCCAATGTACAATTTTGTGATGGCCATCTATGCTGAAATGCATTCAGTCTTAGCTCCACAAGGCTGTCTGGAACCAGCGAGGAACCAGGAGAACCTTGAGCAGCAGCCTTGTGGAAGTGGGGTTGGCCTTGGTGCCATGGGCACGCAAGAGCCAGGCTGGGCATTTGACCTCTGTTGCTCAATGCTCCAGGCAGCCCGCACCACCATCCAGCCCCCCTCCCGCATGGCCTGAGGGGAACAGTGAGGCTCCTCCAGTGGACCATGCCTTGGCACTTGCCCTGGTCCCACCCCCTTCTGCCAGAGTCCCTCAGATCTGTCCCACTCCTCCCCAGGCCCCCACAGGCACCCTTGACACGAATGATGTAGAGCTGGCCACGGCCACCTAGTAGGTCACACCCACTCCATCCATGCCCACCCAATAGGCCGCACCCACCCTGGCCAAACCCACTCAGCCCCCTGAGGGCAACTGCAATGCTGATGCGGCCCTCAATGAAATTGAGTTTGACACCCCTGCTCTAAAGCCTACATGATATATGAGGCCAGGTTATTTGATGGAGGCATCTGCCTAGGAACATCTATCCATCATATCAGGTCCAGCAGAAGAGGCAAATTGTGGGTCCCTTCAGGCAGGGAGTGTATCAGATAAGATCTAGGAAGAAAGCTTTTTCTATCATAGCCCCTGACCTGTGAAACACCATTCTCTACAAGGTGAGGCTGACCCCAAGTTGTTTCAGAAGGCTAATAAAACATGGGTTGATCAAGCCTGGGGATATCATAATAGAGTAGAGCGTGCTGTGAGTTAATAGAAAGTACTCTGTGTATGTTTTACCACTATTTTGTTGTTTTATTTGTTTCTATCTTTAAAAAAAATAATTTAAATACTTTTAATGGGTTTCTATTATTATCATTCATCGCACAGTCAGCCAGATATTCAGACTGGATTTGGCATTTTGTCTACCTATCGAGTCCTTACCCAGGACCTGGGATAGGCAGATGTGGATGTTTGATGGTATTACAGGTATCGTCGCAGGATGGAAGCAGTTCCTAGTAAGGCCGCCTTTTGCAATTGACTAATAGCGAATTTGTCAATGCCAATGGTGTTCAAGTGGTGCTCCAGTTGTTTTGGGATTGCACCCAAGGAGCCTATGACTATTGGTACTACCCTTGCTTGCTTTTGCCACAGTCTTTCTATTTCTATTTGTAGGTCTTTGTATTTTGTTATCTTCTCCAGTTCTTTCTCTTCTATTCTGCTATCTCCAGGCACTGCCACGTCCACTATCCAGACTTTTTTGTCTTTCTTATCGACAATTGTTAAGTCTGGGGTGTTATGTTGCAGGTGCTTGTCTGTTTGAATTCTGAAGTCCCAGAGCAGTTTAATTTTATCATTTTCTATGACTTTCTCTATTTTATGATCCCACCAGTTTTTGCTTACAGGCAAATGATATTTTTTGCAGATCTTCCAATGCACCATTGTTGCTACTTTGTCATGCCGCTGCTTGTAATCAGTCTGTGCAATCTTCTTGCAACAGCTTACCAAGTGGTCCACTGTTTCTTCAGCTTCTTTGCATAGGCGGCACTTACTGTCTGTTGCTGTCTTCTCAATTTTGACTTTGTATGCATTTGTCCTTAAGGCTTGGTCTTGTGCAGCCAGAATTAGTCCCTCGGTCTCTTTCTTCAATTTTCCTGCTCTTAGCCATTGCCAGGTTTTATTATTATCTGCTTTCCCAGCTATTTTTTTCATGTATTGGCCATGTAGTGCTTTGTCTTCCCATGCCTCTATTCTGTTCTTCATTTGGTCTTTCTTGTAGGCCAGTTTGGTCTCTCCAGTAGTTAGTAAGCCTTCCTGATATACTAATTTCAGTGCATCTTCATCATTGTTCTTCAGATATTCTTCCAAAGCCATTTTTTCTTCTTCAACCATCTGATGTACTTGTAGCATTCCACGCCCACCTATTTGCCTTGGTAGATAAAGTCTATCAATGTCACTGCGTGGATGAAGGGCATGATTCATTGTCATTATTTTTCTGGTCTGCCTATCCATTGCTTTTAGTTCTGCTTGAGTCCAGTCCACTATTCCAGCTGTGTACCTAATGACTGGGATTGCCCAGGTGTTGATTGCCTTTATGGTATTTCCTCCATTGAGTTTGGATTTTAAGATCTTCTTCACTCTCTTGATGTATTCACCTCTAATCTTTTTCTTGACTTCAGTGTGCTTGATGTTGTCAGCTTGAAGGATACCCAAGTATTTGTAGTATTCTTCCTCATCCAGACTCTTAATGTTATTTTCGTGGGGCATCTTGATTCCTTCAGTTTTCACTATTTTTCCTTGTTTGATAGTAAGTGTGGCACATTTGTCCAAGCCAAACTCCATTACAATATCTTGGCTATATATACGGACAGTGTTGAGCAGCGATTCTATTTCAGATGATGTTTTTCCATACAGCTTCAGATCATCCATGTAAAGGAGGTGGGATAGTCTGGCAGATGTTTTTGATGTTTGATAGCCATGTCCTGAGTTATTCAGTATTGTTGACAGAGGAAACAGTGCAATAACAAATAGTAATGGTGATAATGAATCTCCTTGAAATATTCCTCTCTTGATATTAACCTCTCCCAGCTTCTCACCATTGATCTGCAACTGTGTCTTCCATTGTGCCATCGATCTTTGCACAAATTTTCTGATGTTTCTACTGACTCCTGTTATTTCTAGGCACTTGATTATCCAATCATGTGGCAGAGAGTCAAATGCCTTTTTGTAGTCAATCCATGCCACATTCAGGTTGGTCTTCCTTCTCTTGCAGTTTTCCAAGATCATTTTGTCTATTAGGAGTTGATCTTTTGTTCCTCTGCTATTGGGGCGGTTTCCTTTCTGCTCAGGTGGAAAGAGATTGTTTTCAACTAGATGCTGTTGTACTGCATCAGCTACCACACCAGTTAGTAATTTGAATGTTGTTGGCAAGCAGGTAATTGGCCTGTAGTTACCTGGTGTTGCCCCTTTTGCTGGATTTTTCATTATTAGGTAGGTTTTCCCAGTTGTTAGCCACTTTTCAATTTCTCCTCCTTGTAGTATATTGTTGAACTGCTTTGGCAATGAGTGGGTGTATAACAGTTAGATGTTTCAACCAAAACCCATGCAGTTCATCTTCACCTGGTGCTGACCAATTTTTGATTTTCTTTGCTCTTTTTTCTACCATTTTTGTTGTTATTACTAGTTCTTTCATTTCAACTTCTGTTTTATTTGCATCCACCTCTTTTAACCAAGCCGCATCCTTGTTGTATTTCTTTGGGTTATCCCATATCTGCTTCCAGAACTGCACTGTTTCTTCCTTGTCAGGTACTGACTGATTCCTTGCAGTTTCTCCATTGATGGATTGGTAGAAACGTTTCTGATTGGATTGAAATTGGAGGTTCTGCCTATAGTTTGCAATTCGAGCTTCATATCTACTGATTTTCCTGGCTATAGCTGTTATTTGTTGCTTTATTATTTCCAGTGCTTCCTTGATCTTCCTTGTTTCTAAGTGGTATTTCTTGATTAGGTATTCTTTGGTCTTCTTGTTCTTCAGCTTCTTTTCTTTCATCTGTTCTAGCTTGCTTGCATGTGATCTTAACTTGCTGATCTTATTTTCTAGTCTAACCTTCCATTTTTGTGGTGCACTGTTTGTTTGTTTTTCTTTTTTGTTGATTTTACATCCCAGGTATTCTGTTATAACTGCAGCTGTGCTGTACATTAGTTGGTTTGTTTCTTGCAGTGAATTGGTGCTTATACTTGCTATTGCAGTATTTGCATCTTTTAATGCTTGTGCTAGCTGTTTCTTTGGAACAAGCTTCAATGCAGGCAGCCTTATTCTGTTGTTTTTGTGCTGTTCTAGATGCTCAGTTATTCTTTGTTTCAATTCTTTTATTTCTTTAGTTAGAGGGTTTTGTTCTTCCTGAGGAAGAGGTGCCTGGTTTCCAAATGAGAACAGTTGTATATCTCTGCTGGATTCCTTCACTGCCAACTCCCCCTGGTTTGCCTCTACATTCTGAATTACTTCTGGTAAGGCTTTGATTTCT